ACTGTCTCAAGAAATCTAGTCCTACTAGTACTTCTGGTCCTTCGTATGCCATAACATCCAGTCGAGTTGCAATCCTGAGTCCTTTTCCTAGATCTAATTCTGCTTCTACATATTCGGTCACTAAAGTCGCGGTAGTTCCATCCAGGAACCTAATTTTTCGTGGTACCTGATATTGTTTCTTTGGGAATAGATGGTATAATGGACAGGCCGGCTGCACATACCTTCCTGTAGCCCCGGTATCGATTAACATTCCAATCTGCAGGGTATCTTTCTTTGTTTGTATTTTTATATATATTATGGCCGAGTCATTACTGAGATCTATTGGTATTTGAATTCTCTGCGATCCGGGCAGATCCTGGCCGCAAGTGGTCGCATCACTTAGGCCAGGTAGTCGTTTCCCTCTTCTTCAAAGGTCACCGCCATTCCTCGAACTAATGGCCCTTTGGATCCAGTTGGGATCGAGTTCGATCCACTAGGAATCGGTGAGCTATGCGGATTTGGGGATCCCCTAATACTGTTTCTCGTGTTTCCTCCATTCGGACAGTTGTTGGCGTAATGTTCTGGACTTCTACATTTGAGACAACGTCGGTTCTCCCTCCTCCAAGTCATTTCGTTCTCGCTGAGACGTCCTCCGTCCTCTGTCCAAGTGACCGGAGGGTCATTTGGTAGACCATAATTCATCATCCCTGGTTTTCCACCGGGCAAGGGTCCTCTACCAGTCGATTGTGAGTGGCGTTCTACCGGGTTGGGCGAACTAGTATCCAATCATATCGAATTCGATCGAGGGGGAAGCCAGGTCGTCTCATGTTTGCGTCTAGCAGCCCATCGATTCGCTGCAATCATCGTTTCAGCCATCCGTTGGTTCTCCTCAGTCCCTATCACATGCTGTTTGAAATAGATCCAGTCCGATTTGGTTCGAGGGTCGGTGTTATTTACCACTACCACCTTCAGTAGCTCTTCCTTCAGGCCCTGTATGGCTGAGGCGATTTTCATTGCATCTGGTACCTTTCCAAGGTGTGTGGACCAAAGTTCAAAGTTGGCAAAATACTCGGCGGCCGTATCAGTCTGTCTTAACTCTTGCAATTTCCTCATAGCCGTACCTGCCATGTTACTATCTCCAAATTGAGTTCGTAAATGCTGAATGAATTTGTCGTAGCTCTCTAGCCATTCGGTCGAATTCCATATACTTGGATTGGTTATGGCCGGGGTTAGAAGCATTTGAGGGGTGCCTCGAAGATACCCGTACATGAACAGGATCTTCCTGCGATCGGTGGCGTACTCTGCCCCTTTGAACTTGAAGTTCATGTGACATGCTGCAAGGAAGTTGTCCAATTCTCCTCGTTCTCCACTGAAGGTAGGTGGATCCGCACACCTGGTTCTTCCTGTTCGTTCGTTGTTGGTAAGTTTTGGCTCCAAACACGGCTTGTTTTCTTCGACTTCGATCGAACTTGCCCCTTTCGATGTGAGTATCTGTTGGTTCTGTCGGTCAGCTTTCATCGTAGCCAGTTCTTCCCTTAATGCATTTTGTTCCTTTTGTTGCATCGTCATAATGGCTAACAATTGTGACAACTGCTGCGATAATTCATTTAGCGGATCTGGGGTAGTGGTGGTAGAAGTGAGATCATGTGAAATGGTACTTCTCGAAGAACTTGTTGGTATTTCTTCCTCTGGGACCAGCCCTTGTTCCAACTCCTCTTTTTCTGGTATCATTTTCCGCGCTTTTCCTCTGGTGAGCATACAGTACTCTCCGATTCGACCCAAGGTGCGTAAGGCTGATTCTTCAACTTGTAACGGTACTGGAAACACGACGACTAGGTCGCAGGTTGGGTCGAACTCGATGGATGTCTCGTGGAAATCTAGGGGCTCTGGTGCTAATGGATCGTGTCTCCTCTGCAATCGATGTAGCCAAAGAATGATATTGAAGAATCAGCAAAGTTGGTACTTTGCTGATTGTACTATATACTTGTCTACAGGTATTCGTGTCCTCTTCTCAGTCCTACTGCAAGCGTCTATGTACATACTCGGACAGGTGAAAAACCGCTTTTGAGCAAACCCAGTGGGGAAATCTCGAAAAGGGAAAACCCGTCCCTACCTACTGCAGCACTGCCTCCAACTCTCGCCGTTTTCCTTCCTAATCCGTCGAGTTCGATGGATGTCCCTCGAGTCGTGTTACTCCGTAACAAGGAGTTTATCGTTGTACCACGTCTCACGAGAAGCAAGGTTGGGAAATCCATTGTCTCCAAGGCTGCCGGCCTGAAATCTAACTGAGTTAACACGCATATTAGTTTAGCTAAACCGACGTCGGCCGACGTCGGCTGACATTCACTCACCGAGCAAACAAGTAAACTGCTAAGATACCCACAGGACACATAAAAACGTCTTTGTTGCGTATCAACCCCGAATACTCTACTTTTCCATGCTTGTTAACCTTTCCACGTCTACTGACACACACAACAACTAACATGGGTGTTGGTCCCTCGTTATCCCACACAGTGTAAGCCAAGTCTGAAAGTTCCATGCCTCGTTGATTATCGCCCCGGTAGAGCACATACAGGCCTAGGGCGTGAGCAACAGCATCACGAAGGCCTTGCTCAGTATTTCGAGAGACGTAAGCACTGAAGCAATCCTCAATTTGTTTTCTACTTTGATATCCGTCAAAAATCGTATCTAATGATTAATTAGGCCCTTAGCTGTGCTTACTTACTACTTGTTTTATCGATGAACATTTCCCTTTTCGTTTGTTCATCTACTCGTCTTAAGACTAACAAAAGGCTTTTCATTGCTGCCGAGCGCGGGTGAGGATGACTGTTCATGCCTTTGTATTTTTGCTGTTTCCATAGACTGACCAGAGCAGCTACATGCAGTTTGATTGACGCTAAACTTTGCGTCATTCGGCTAAGCTTTAACAAAACTGGCATTCAGCAAACGCTTTATGTTAAAGGCAGCAGATGAACACACCACTTTCCCTAGCTGTTGTTGTAGGCACTTTTCCTCCTCGAGTTAGGTCTTCAACTACATCCAAAGCTCGTAGTTGACTTTCCTCTAACGTATCAAGACTAGTTTCAACATCTTCAATTGAGTATGCGGGCAGCAAATCAGAACTTGCTTTTCTTGCTCCAGCAATTGATGTCTCTGCTTGCTCAGGTGTACTTTGACGTTGCCTTTTGCTTGTATCTGTACGATTATTGGGATAAAATAACACTTGCGTATATATCCATCTAAGGGCGTACTCTGGCGTAACCGTATCTCTGGAACAATTAGCATCTTTTGATCGTTCCTACTTTGCCCCATCAAGCAATCCGCCGCCGACGTCGGCCGACGTCGGCCAACTCATACAAAGTCACGTACCCGGTGCTAAACTTCATTCTTTGACACCATTCTTGCCATCTTCGTATGCGTACTTGGTAATGAGCTTGTGTTGAGGAAGCATTACTCATTTTCTCAAGTTCCCCAAAGTCTTCACGCCAATTATCTGACGTATTCCAACAATCTGCAATCTCATCATGTATAGTAGCGTTAAGACGGTTTTGACGAGACATTGTGTAGTTGAATAAAGCAAAAGCAGGTGGTAGAGAGCTGAAATGAATGAAAGACAGTTGCAGATAGTGAAAATAACGTTGCATTGTTCATTGTAACCCTTTTTTCACACTCAGGAACCCGCGGAGGTCTGTAACCGCGGCTGTTTGTATGGTGTAATTCCTGTAACCGCGGTTACAAGGACGGGACCTCGGACGCTATGGGCAAAAAGGGGGGTGTCACGTGACTTCGTGGCGGACGACGTCCGGACGCGAGCGGACGGCTGGGTAGGATAACTTTCAAAATCACAATATTGATACTGATATGTACCAAAAATTGTAACAGGTGGAGCATCTTGAGGCGCAAACTCCATGAATTTAAGGGTTTCAGGCAGGGGAAGCTACCTTAGGCTGCGGGCTGGGATGATGGAGCGGACACACAGCCTTGAAATGATCAAAGGTGACGAAGAACCCCGAGAGATATTGTTGTCCGCTTTCTTCCTCACCTCAAACTCTCTCCTTTTCCCTTTCCACTTACGAGATAGGGGGCATGGGAACGTGGGATATCGAGCTGATAAGAACACCAAGTATGGCCTATCATCACGGACATGTTTATCATCGTGTACTCTCCACTGCTCACGGATTCACGGACCATCATGGCAATCGTCATGAAACAGTAGTAGGTCGGACGAGCGGGAGATCCACATTTCTCCACACCAGTTTTTAGTCACCAGATGTACCAGTCGTCCGCTGGCCGCTGGCCGCTGGCGCGGCCTCACACATTGTCTCAATAATAATTCGAGTACTGACCCTGATTTATATGTTAGACGCCACATGCCACACGAGCCAATTTCATCATTGGGTTCCCTTCTTTCCTTTCAAATCTTCATCTTCCACTCTCTTCACTTCGTGAAGTATACTCTGTTCCCCTCAACCCACTGTATCAGACGCATGTCAATTGTTCAGCTACACTTGGTCATAAATTGACCTGAAGAATTCAGGTCGCAAATCCGACGGACAGGATATGGCCGTCGTAACATCCACCGATTCCGCCCACAAGAGTCGACAGACCACGACGGACAGTGGACCTTGTTTTGGAACGATGGAGACCCACGGGACTAGTAGAGAAGGGACGGAGACGTCGGAAACGATGGGACCTATCAAGAAGAAAGAAACGACCTGGAAAGATTTCGAGGCGATGTTAGAATCCACACCATTATTCATGAATCATACACCTGTCGAAGGGGAAGAAAATGAAGTTTTGGAAGCTTTACGAACGTTAAAGTTTGAAGGGAATGGGGATGGTACGTCTTTCTGTTTTTCTTCACCTTCCTCAATCGGCGTGAAATAATACATCATGATGCTGATAATTCAGAGGTCGCTCTTAATCTTAAAGATCACGGAAACGAACTTCATTCTCAAAAATCATATTCCAAAGCCATCGAAGCCTATACTCAAGGTCTCGATGCAGGTCCTACAGACATTTCACTCCGTATTTCTCTTCTCAACAATCGAGCTGCTTGTAACCTTCTTTTGAAAAACCACGGATCTGTGATACGAGATATAGGAGTTATCATTGCTTTATGTGTCAAGAATGGATTATCTGTACCTGTTAAAAGTATGTATAGAGCGGGGCAGAGCTTGATAGCTTTGGAAAGATGGGAAGAGGGAAGGGATTGCGTCAATAGGGGGAAAAGGTTGTCTGGACAGGGGGAGGAAGAGATGAAAAAGTGGGATAAGTTAGGTGAGGAGATAGAGAAGGGTATAAGAAGGATGAATGAGAAGATAGAGAGGTTGAGGAAAGAAAGAGAAGATAAGTTGGAATTGAGAAAAGCTATCTTGGTCAGTATACCTTACTTGATTTCGCAAACGTTGCCCATCACTTCATCCTCCTCGATTTGATTTCGTGCGACTTATAGAATATTTAGTCAACGACCCAACAGACTGATACACAGGAACGAGGACTAGTCATTATAGATACCCCTAATCCTCCTGATAACCCTCATCCGGTCCATTTCGAAACCACATCCTCATCCAGCCCCGAACAAACACCCCGATCTCTCATATTCCCAGTATTCCTACTTTACCCTCAATACACACAATCAGACTTAATCACACATTTTCACGAAGAGACAACATTCGAAGATCAAGTCTCGGCCATGTTCCCACCTTCTCTCACTGCCCAATCTGGTTGGGTACCATGGGATGAGAAACATGAATATTGGTATGGTAACTTAGTTATATACGTCGAGACTGCTCAAAAGCGTTTACTCAAAATCGGTAAAGGGCTGTCATTACGACAAGCTTTGAGTAATGCTATCAAAGAGGATGAAAAGGTGAAAGGCGGGAAAGATGGAGTGGTCTTACGAGATGGTTTACTCAGTTTTGTCGTTCTTCCAAAAGGGGAAAGGGAGAAGGAATGGGTAGAGAGATTCAAAAAGACAAGAGATAAAAGATGACATTGACTGCTGCATATTCCATTGACTTATTGAAAGATGACCGGAGATTGAGATCGACTATTGTGTCTTTTTTGTCTCTGCGACCGTCTTATCACCCACAGGCTCCGCCTTTCCCTCTGCCACTTGGCCATATTCATTGACACGGCTGTAATCGACACGGTAGATCCAGCGCTGCACGTCAGATATCCAAGAAGGAAAAAAGAGGGTCTGGAGCTCACTTGATATAAGAGAATGAGGAAGACAACGTCGTCCCTGAAACAAGCAAGACTACATGGTCAGTATAATATAGCAAAGCCGAGAACAAAAAGTACCGATGAAGCCATGGCATTCGGATACAGAAAGCACTGGACGTCAATAGGATGATCATTTGTCCACATGCACAGACTTACAAGAAATCATCGACAACGGTCGATACTACATGTCAGCCGGTTATCATATCGCGATTACCAAAGGACATGGAGAATTCACGCACATGTTTTATACATCATGGCTTTCATGCTTTCTGTCAGTATACTGTTCCTAATATATAGACTGAACTTACGGCATATGCGCGACACTCTTAAGTTTATAGTTGATGATTAGTTGAGGGACGAGTTGGACAAAGCCGAACATGTAGATCGCCTGGGCTAAAGTAGTGATGATGAAAGAATACCAGCCTCGGTGGGTTTCATACAGTACTATGCCATGTCAGCAATGGCTGGACCGAAGCTGGCTGACTCACATGAATAAACGGTGTAACCCATCAGAGCAGGGATGGCAAAGTATGACACCAGACGGAAAGCCAATTTGTCATACTCTTGAGTCTTCTTTTCGTCATCGGACAGAACTTTCTTATCTACGAGATCAGCGACGATGATGAACGGATGGAGTTGCAAAGTACCTTCAAAGGCGACAGAGTATCCTAACAGCGAGTTAGGGTTTGGGCGCACGCGAACGTCGACAACTGCGGATGTCAGCTTTACCCACGGCATCGGAACGATAGACTGACCTTTGGTGATTTTCCAAGCCTCAATAAGCAGACCACTGAAGTGATTAGCGAGCAAAAATAGACAACACGTGAGAATTTAGCTCACATTCCTTGTCCGAACAAGATCATGAAACTTGTCTCCTCGGAACTGTCATGGAGATACAGCAGAATGACCAATTGCACAAAACAATTTGTCAGAATGGTCCTCAATGACACCCCCACCAAGTCCTTGTCCTTCTTCCTCCAATGACCGATGTCACTGGAGAAAGCCAAAAACTCGAAGACAGTATGAAGCAGCGTCACGATAGCCGTCGTGATGAGCAGCCAAGGACTTGTTTCGGTGAGCATCCGTTTCACCTCGTCCATCTCTTGTCCACCACCCTGTTGCTGCGCTGCTTGCTCGAACGATTGGGTCATCGTGGCAAACAGGTGGAATTTCCAGTTGGTGATTGGTGCATAGCTCACATGCAAGGGTAGCTGATAAGAGGTATCGTTGATCGGTAGCATGTTCTCACGAAGAAGCCAGAAATCGTTTGGAAAGACCGGAGGATAATATTTGGGACCATCTGGACGAGTGACAATCTGAATATGCGGGACGACGAGTGGCTGGAGAGACTGAGTGTTGATCTTAGGCGACTCTGACATGATTGTCAAGGTCAGATTTGAGGACCAATGAGAGACGATTGTAGCAGGAGGTAATTCGGATGGTTCAGTCTCTTCTTCTTCCTGACCTTCACCGCGGATAAGTTTCTTCTCCTTCCGCACTCGTTTTTTTGGTAAAAAACGAGTGAGTTCTGGTGAGATCAGCAAAGATTTAAGAAGAAGAATTCAACGCACGTTTGCGATATGAAACCAAGTCTTCTTGAGTTTTTCCTTGTAGATCTGTACCACCACCTTTGACGAGAACGATGTCTATCCACCAAGTTCCATTATGGAGTCTGACGATTTCCGGGACTTCGAGCAATAAGTCCGCCGCTCTTTCTTCTTTCCAATTACCATATGTCAATCCGTCCCAAGCCAATAATGGTGATGAAGTGTCGACGTCATTTCCAGTGGGTGATGTTGACACAAACAGAAGCATTGACATAGGAGTACCTATAGGCCAAAGAGGAACGGCTACAGTATCAGGGACTGTACTTTGGACGTTGGGTATTGTCGTGGAATCAGGAGATGCTGGGGGGGCTGAAGTTGGTGCAGACTTATTCAGACCCATCTGATCTGTCAGTCACTGGCTCGTTATTTTTCCGACGCTGGTGAAGTTGAAGATCAGAACGAAACATACATAGTCCATACCATATCTCATGACTGATTATCAGTGATGAACACTGTACATATGACGAGGAATGCTGACCCATCTGAACGGCAAAGAACATAGCCATGGGCTTGAGAAGACCCCCGAACCTTGACATCCAATCACCATCTTGAGCTGGCGCATTACCTCCCGGGGCAGCGGCACCAGAAGCCCTGGCGGGCTGAGACATGCTGAGTGATATGGGTTGGAGGAGGAGAAGATTGGAAAACTTCCAGTGAAATGGGAGAAGAACGGAGATGGATCATTTGTCCGTGTCCGATCAAAAGTCACGTGTTCGGAATTCCGGCCATACACTTCTGTAATTGAATGTGATTTCCCCCCTTTCCTTGCCCATTCACTTGTTCTCTTAAGGTGAACCAGCAGACATCAACATGCCCCGGTCCAAGAAGAGTAGCGTGACGTCCCAGGTAAGTGAATGTTGACTTGTCGTTTTGGGAATCAGCTGAAGTGATAGACTCATGCCGCTGCTGAACCTACCGGAATACCTGTTCCCTCGCGACCTGACGACACAGGACCTTCGACCCAAGCTGAAACGACATCATCCACGTCTCTGAATTTCTTCGAATTCATAATGAAGGATGTCTCCCGTCATGATCTTGCTCTTCTCGCCATAACTTACTTCATTTTCGTTCACGCCATCGGCCTTTATATATTCACTCGTGGCTTTCTCCTCACTCGTCTCACTATACCCTCTACCGCCCCGCCATACTCCGTCTCAAACCCTCCTCCCATACCTCCCACTCACTCGAAAGCAATCGTACTAATCATTGACGCTCTTCGGACCGACTTCATCTCTCCTCACCATCCTCAACACTCATCTCCGTATCATCATGGGATTCTCACCCTTCCTGCGGAACTGGCCGCTACCACACCACACCATTCACTTATATTCAATGCCTTTTCCGATCCACCCACAAGCACCATGCAGCGACTCAAAGGGATCACCACTGGTTCCTTACCAACCTTCATTGACATAGGCTCCAATTTCGCCTCAACAGCAATAGACGAGGACTCTTGGATATCTCAACTAGTCGCTGCGGACAAAAAGGTCATCTTTATGGGAGACGATACATGGGTCAACCTTTTCCCTGAAACATTTGCCATTCAACATCCATATGATTCTTTCAACGTCGAAGATCTCCATACCGTTGACAATGGTGTCATACAGCATCTATTGCCTTATTTGGCGAAGGAGAATTCTACCCGATGGGATGTCCTTATTGGGCATTTCCTAGGTGTGGATCATGTGGGACATCGGGTGGGTCCGGAGAGAGAGACAATGCGAATCAAGTTAGAACAAATGAATCTCGTCCTTCGGGATGTTGTGGATAGGATGGACGAGAACACTCTTTTAGTACTGCTAGGTGATCATGGTATGGATCAAAAGGGAAATCATGGGGGAGACTCGGACTTGGAGACAGCCTCGGCTATGTGGCTGTACTCAAAAGGTGTCCCACTGTCTAGCAATATGGACGTCCCGACGTTGGTACGAAGCTGGCCGAACTATACATTTCCTGGTAGTCTGACACCCCTACGACACATTGACCAAATCGACATTGTGCCGACACTATCGCTCCTTCTGGGCATCCCAATACCATTCAATAATCTAGGTTCGGTCATACCTGAATGCTTCACCAGCAATATGTCCAGACTGGAGATGGCGACAAGGGTGAATGGGGAACAAATCAAACGATACTTACACGAATATGGGGATAAAAATGTCGAGGGTGGTCTCGATGATCCATGGGCGAGAGCTTCCGCAGCCGCCCGCCTTGTTGACATGGTCAACCCAGATGGCGAAGCCTATACAGCGATTGGTATTGACAATGCTACCGAGGCGGTAATACCACCGGCGGATTGGGATCCAGTGAAGGGCGGAGCGATGGCCGCGTTGCATCATTCCATAACCACTCACCGTGTCTTCGCTCAATCTTCTCTATCTCGCCTTCGTAGTCTATGGGCTCAATTCTCGCTTTCGTCCATTCTTGTTGGATTGACAATTCTTCTCCTTAGCGTGCCAGCCTTAATTCCGCTTTACCACCGCTCTCAACAACCCGGATGGGAAGAATTTGTTCGTGCGGCTTTGACCGGGGCCATGTCCGCTGCTGTAGTCGGTATGCTCCTACCTCTCCCTGTCCTCATCTTCATGTACTCGCCATTGGATATCCTCTGTATGGCCATCCCACAAGGAATTATCGCTTCTGAACTTTTCCTCTGTTCTCCTTTGATTTTCATTGTTCGCCTTACTCATCGTAAACTCACTCTCGAACGAGTCATCGGTCCCGTCATCCTCCTAATACACGCCTTATCATTCGGTAGTAATTCCTTCATCATGTGGGAAGATCGTATCGTTGTATATCTTCTCGTTACGATCCTTATCGTCTTTTTGATCAAATCTTTCACCGCTCCTACCGCAGCTCTACGACTTCGAATTCTTGGTCTATCTCTTCTTGCCGGTCTCCTGGTCCGATTGTGCGGTGCCATCACGGTGTGTAGGGAAGAACAACAACCTTATTGTCGTGTCACCTTCTTTTCCGGATCTACACCAACCGCTCCTACTTGGGCTCTTATCGCCATCCTTCCATTAGCCCTTCAATTACCAAGAGTGATAGGATTGACACTTGATCGTTCCAAATCACTCGGAGGACCAGCGAGACTTATCGTAGGTATTTTATGGCGATCAACTTTATTCATTTCAGCTTTATATTGGTTACTAGAATATGCAGAAGGAACAGATTCAGTCAATCCTGCTAGAATCCCTCTTCTTCGACTCATTCGTATGTGGTTGGCAAGAATAGGTTTCTTCATTCTTATCGGATCAATACCATATTGGTTAATCTCAGGATTGTGTATCACCATACAACGCAATACGAATCAAATCGAAAATGAAGATGAAGCTCCAGTGGTAGTATTAGGTTTCGCCAATGTTTATGGGTCAACTTATCTCTTATTCTATCTATTAGTATTTGGATCAATTTATCTTGTCAATCAACCCATGGGACAAATAACTCTATCTCTGCTGCTAATATCATTATTGGCATATCTTGAATTGATCGATTCTCGTCGAGATTCATTTTTGATCCATCGTTCATTTTCTTCTTCCATCATCACCACTCAACCTTCCTCACCTCACGATTCTACGTCAAACTCGCATACATCCAACACTTCCCGTAATCCCACATATCAATCAATCTCATCCCCACCCATTGATCCATTCTCGACACTGGAAACGACCCACGATCCCCTGTCTCCGTCATTTACCGAATTAGTCCCTTTGTTGTTAATGGGTTTCATCGGTTTTTTCGCCACGGGTCATCAAGCCGTTTTAACTACCATTCAATGGAAAGCTGCTTTTGTGGGAGTATCAAATGTCGTCTATCCTTGGTCTCCATTTCTAGTGGCATTGAATTCTTTCGGTCCCTTCCTATTATCTGCCTTGGCTGGACCTTTATTAGCATTATGGAACGTATCACCTTCTCTTCAATCCCCTACATCACCTACCGCCCAACGAATCCCTTCAACATCGTCAGCCTCACTACCCCCTTCCACGTCAACCCCACAAAGTTCATCGACATCAACTCGAAATACTACTCAAGAAATACATGTCACAAAGACAGAACCAAATCAAAAATCAACTGCACGAAGACCAGTTTTAGGTCACACATTACGAATAGGAATAGCGACCATGATTTACCATACCGTCTTGACCACTAGCAGCGCAATATGCGCCGCTTGGCTAAGAAGACATTTAATGGTTTGGAAAGTATTCGCACCGAGGTTCATGTTGGCAGCAGTCACTTTGTTAGTGGTGGATATTGGGGTGTTATTAGGGTTGATGGCGATGAGAGTTACAGGGTGGAAAGTATGGAGAACATTTAAATGTGAGAGTGTATAGGTCATGATGATGCATTGTGTGTGGGATCTATTTACTGTCTAGGACAATAATTGATGGTAAGGGTATGGCAAGGCTAGTCGTTTTCGGTGGGTGAATGAGAGAGATCAGAAAGGGGGTAAAAGTATGTACAGATGTCGATGATATCCAGGAAAAGGAAGGAGAATAGGGTTGGTAAAGATTGATAAAATGTCGTTGTCATGACCGTTAGAGGGAGAATGTCAACATGCGAACTGAAGAAAAGGAGAAAGATGAAAAATGGAGAATTATCATTTAACTTATCATATCAACATGTAATATCAAATAGCTATATACCTCTTATCTTCCCACTTGCATGAATTTGTTCAATCTCGTAATATACAGGTAAAAAAACGCTTCGATGATATTACCCCCTTGGATGGATCTTGGAGAATGTTCTTCCCAATCTTTCTCCTCCTAATTCATATCACACACCTCCTTCACTTCTCTCAACTCTACACACCTCATTCACTCCTCTCAACTCTACACACTCCTCCACTTTCAAAGTCCGAATTTCACTCTCAAACGTTCAAATCTCCCATTGTATACTATCGCCAACTGAGAACGACCTCTCATCTCTCCATTCGCTCTTACCAAAAACGTCGAATAGACATCTCAATTCGCCTTACCTCTACCACCTCTTTTCTTCTTCTTATCACCTTTATTATCCCCCACTTGTGGGCCTGAGACCCCACTTCCTTCTCCTTCACCTTCTTGACCTTTAGAAGCCTGACTTTCCATGGTTCTCACACTATTACTCCTCTTAACACCTTGATCGGAAATACGTCGAACGAAACCTTTAAGACTTGACAACCTCTTTCGTCTCTTATCACTCTTATCATCACCCTTATTTCCCTGGTCTGAAGATGTCGACACGACCGATTGATGGGATGTCGAATGAGGTAAGTTTGGAGCTGGCGGAAAAGCTATTCCTTGTTGACTTACTTTGGGAGGTGAATCAAATGAGATTTTGCCTTTGTTAGGTGAAGGAGGGCGGGATATATCAGGAATCGAGCTAGAAGGGGTTTGTTCTTCTTTAGGTTTTGATTCATTTTGCATGGTCTGAGCTTCGGGGATTCCTTCTGGTTGAGGTGCGAGAACGGCTTGAGCGGGGAAAGTATTGGTCGGTGTGGAATTACTTTCGGTCTGTTCTAATTCACGACTCACGTCCATGGGGTTTTCATTGGTTTCTTCATGGGCGACAGAGTCGTCTGAGCGGGCAAGAACCTCTTGTTTAGGTTCTGCACTGGGCGTGGAGGTGAATTGTCCCCTTGTATTCCAACCCGCCTTGACGGTAGCATAAGAAGCAGGTGTAACTTCCTCCGTATGCTCACCTTGTACTTCGTATCCATCAGATGGAGTTTCTATCGGGGAACCTTTCAACGACGAAGTTTTGATAGATGGAGTACGGATAGACGCTTGAGAACTGGTGGCTACTGAAGGAGATGATTGAGGTGCGGGAGTAGGAGCTTCTGAGTGACTTGCCAGAGTAGATTCGTCTGTTGATATGGTCAAAGGGATAGAGCCCGCTAATTCGATTACTTCTTCAGGGATTAATTCGACTTTGCTGGTGTATTGTTCATAGACTTGTTTTTGCCACCTGCGGGAATCAGCCAATCTTCGCAAGCACTTCTTCTACGGTATGACCTGTACAGTGGAACCAGGCTGGACCGATGTCAAATGGTGTCTCATTGGCGGTCTGGTGCATAGAGCAGGGGTTGAAATTCTGCGAGAGAGGCCGGGGTGAAAGAGAACTCACATCGACTCGAAAGCACCTTTCTTACGAAGCAATTCCCTGTAGCTGCCCATCTCAACGATGGAACCTTCGTCCATCACCACGATCACATCCGAATGAACGATTGTCGATAATCGATGAGCGATAGACAAACTTGTACGATTTTTCGACTAAATCATGAGCACCTCCACTTCATCAATATCAAATAGGATTCCAACAAGTCACATCATATGACGGTAGAGAGTATCCAAGGGAAGTTTATGGTGAAACTTACCAATTTCTTAAGAGCCTCTTGAATCCCACGTTCCGTTTCCGTATCTAAAGCAGAAGTCGCTTCATCCAATACCAAGATCTTTGGAGCTTTTACAAACATTCTCGCTAAACTGACTCTTTGTTTCTCTCCTCCCGACAATCTCACACCTCTTTCTCCTACCACCGAAGCATATTCATCCGGCATACTCATAATCTTATCATGAATCTGTGCCGCTATAGCAGCATCTATAATTTCATCGTCTGTACATCCGGGTTTACCATAAGCGATATTTGCTCCTAAAGAATCATTCCATAAGACGTTATCTTGAGGAACTATACCTATAGCTTGTCTCAAACTGAGTTGAGTGACATGAGCTATATCTTGACCATCTATAAATATTTGTCCTTCTCCAACATCGTAAAAACGATATAACAATCTAAGTACTGTTGATTTTCCTGATCCAGATCTACCTACCAAAGCCATAGATTGACCTTTGCCAACTGTGAATGAAACATTTTTGAGAGCTTGAACTTCACCATCATAAGAAAATGAAACGTTCCGAAATTCGATGACGCCGTCGGTGATGATTAAATCTTTCGCTTCTGGAAGGTCGTTTACATCTGCTTTTTCGTCCAGAAGATCTATCATTTTCTCTGCGTCTGTCATATTGTTTTGAATTGATCGGTATAAATAGTTGAGACTACTCAGAGGACTTTGTAAACGACTGAGATAAGAAGCGAAAATTACAAAATCCGCAGGATCGGCTTGACCATGAATAACTCTAATAGCAATGATAAATTCACCTAAAAGCATTCCTAACATCGTGGTGAGAGAAATGAGAAGTTCGAATATATAAGACATTTTGATCCATTTCCTACTCATACTTTGAAAATACAAAACTGAACCATCGTGTCGATTCACCTCTCTTTGTTCGGAAGTGAAATATTTGATAGACTCCCAGTTTGTCAAAGCGTCCGATACGATACCACGTGATTTTATATCGGCGCTGATGTAAGCTCGACGATGTTCTTTCATCGTATTGGTACGGTAAAATGATAATGCGAGATAAATACTCATGATGGATATCATGGTTATCGTGAGTGCCCAACCGTAGAAAAAGAAGAAAACTCCAAAAGCGATGACAAGATCCAAGAGGGTAGGAATGACCGTGAAGAGAAGAGTTTCAAGCATACTGTTTATAGATGATCCTCGATCGACGATTCTTTGAAGTTCTCCTGAATTACGTTTAGTATGAAATCCTAGTGAAAGATTGAGGAGATGATCAAACATGACATTGGCCATTTGTCGATCGACGTTTTGTGAAACTGGCATCCAAATCACTTGTCTTATGATGCTGAGAGGACTTGGGGACGTTTGAAAACCTAATTGTATGGCGAGATATATTCCAAAAGGTTTCATGAGAGCTCCAATATCATCGGTTCCTCTATAATTCGTAAGAGCACGAACTACGCCACCGTATGCCAATGGAGTGATAGGACCTATGACTCGACCTATGAGCACGATGATGAGTGCACCTAAACATGCTAATTGTAATCTACCATTTTTTGATGGCCAAAGATGTGGAAGTAATTTCTTTGCTTTTTTTAACATATCTCTAAGAGATTCTTTTTCTTCTTTCTTCTTTTCTCTGGGGACTTCTCCAAGTGTTTTCGGTATTGTCATTTTGGGTCTTCTCGGTTTCCCAGCATCCTCTTCGGCAGGGGTTTCTCCCGTTTGTGTTTGTGTTTGTGTTTGTGTTTGTCCATCGGTGGAAGTTTGACCTTGTTCAAATGTTCCATACGCCTCTCTTGCATCGGAGGATTCGGCTTGAGCATGATCTTGAGTGAGAAGTCCGGTAGTCTCATCGGCAGGTACGTATCCCACACGTGGTTTTGTCACAGCGACAAGGAGAATGATAAGGAATAAGATACGAAGTGCGGAAGGAGGGATGAACAATATAGCAAGTAGTTTATTACCAGCTGATCGGATCAGCAAGAAAATCTTTCAACTTGAAAAACAATAATGTCACCAGGACACACATGTTATGATGCATCAAAGAATACATCAATTGTGACATTGTTGCAAGAATTAAAGCTGAAAGGGAGGGATACAGGAATGAAAACCTGAACGAAAACTTACGTTGATGAACTTCCCTCAAGATGAGAAAGATGAAATTATGAATATCACAAATCAATCCGAGAGTACCTAAAGCAACTAAAGCTCCATTCCCCCACTTTTCCCTCCACTCAATCGCGGCCAACGTCACGAGCCAAATGACAAATCCACTTATACCGTAAATGATAGCGCTGGCCAGTGTCAAAGCGTCCTTGTATTCTTCTCGCTGAACAATGGAGATGTCAATGATGATCAAAACGGCATCGTAGATACCGGTAGCGGTGAGAAGAAGGAGAAGGGAATTTATGAGTGCTCGACGAGGGGTGATAGTTTGGATGGTGATTGGGATGATGCCTGGTATTTCTTCAACCGGGGGTTTGGAGGGAGTCAAGAGGAAGATTAGAGGTACTATGAGAATAGGAGGGGTGAGTAAATGGAGTAAAGTGAGTAGGGAGATCATGTTGGATCGCACTTTGAGGTAAAGGTGAAGATGAGAAAATTTCCAAAGGACAAGAATACCTTATAGCTGGAGTGGAGCTATGACCTATGTGGGCGTCGTGGTAGAGCCATGCCACTTCAAAGGGAGACTTGGTGTGCTTTTTGAGGGGATCCGTGATAGACTATGTGCGGTCTAAGGTTAGGGAATGCGGTGGGTGGAAAAGAAGAATGAAAGGAGAAATGGGCGGCGGCACAAGGAGAAGACCAAACTACTACAGGGGGTGTCAAAAGTTTTCGGACAGCCGGTTTGTCCCGGGTAATGACAGGGACAACTTTACTAATCAAAACCTATTGCGTAGAATATCAATCAACGATGGCTTGTCCGAAAACTTTTGACACCCTCTGTACTAAAGTTACTTGTGAGGCTGATCGATCAAAATGTTTCTAACCACGCGTCACTGTACGCAATCGTGTCTCATTTCCTCACCGCCAATCTGTCTTATCTTGATAGGTACAACAAACTCAAATTGCAGGCGCATATTCACAAACCACAGCCGTCACTCATGCACGGGACCCCCACCCGACGCCATATGACTCATGGGGCATGGTGTAACATGTACTAACGGTCACGGTTGCAGGGTCCACATTCGAAACGCCCCGAGCAACTTGCTAGCTACACTGGCTAGGGCTCACTCATGCTCCACTCTTCGCCCGAGTGTCAGACTGATCAGGGGTCTTATTGGGAATCACACGATGCATAGCATCTTCTGCACAGAGAAAACATCCATTTATTAGTCGGCCACGTGGACTGGCGCTTATAGGTCGTATTCAATATAGGATTCGGCAACGGCGAGGGAGGGAGGAAGAGGTGAACGGTTGATTTAATTCTTCTTCAAACCAATGGCCAGACCGATAGCCAAACCAGCAATGACAAGGATGAGCACTGAAGGTCAGCTAAGCAAACGACCAAACAGCTGTAAACGTACCGCAGATCCAGAAACAGATCCACTTCTTCCTTCTCGCCTTTCGGGCAGACTCCACAGCCTTTTCGGTCTGTTGCAAACTGGATATTAGCTGTCCGTACCCAACAAAAACAGGGAGGCATTAGTCGAGCAGCATTGACTCCTGCTCGAGTGAAAGTGTAATTGGTAGAGATGGAAGAATCATAGCCATGAATAAGTTATATGAACGAAAAACTCACCCAGCTTCAATATTATGATCCACATCAGCAGCCTGTGTCTCAACATTGACGATCGTCTCATCCTGTTGTTCCACGAGCATGGCCATCTCCGAAAACATCTGAGCCAGCTCGGTAAGAGTCTTCTCGATCTTTTGGATTTCGACGTGTCGTTCTTGTACTTCTCTGTAGGCGGTGCGGGCGGTACCATAGCGGTTAGAGGTCATCAACTGCACGTGAGCCGAAGTGCCGACTACTGATGGTACCAGGAGGATGGCTGAGTAGTTCAAGTAAAAGCAGAGACTCGAAGACTCACCGCATCCGAAAACACTTGAGGGCTGTCACTGTCCACCACTTGTCTGACCTCTTCTGGTGTCGCGTCCGGCTTGACGATCCTATACTGACGCTCGACTCGTAGCTTGAGCTTTTGTCGATAATCTTTCTCTACCACTTGATGTTCGTTGAGAAGAGCAGTGAAGCGCTGCTTGACTACTTCGGCTTGATTTTTCATCGCTTTGTCACCTTTGGCAAGCTTGAATAGACGTTTCGTTTGATTCTTGCATTGTTCACGGGTGGCACGAGCTTCTTCAGTGAGCTGTGCCGCGTAGTTGGTGGCTTGACTATCGGTTGATGCCTGGGTAATTAGCTTGACTGACTCATTCACCCCGCTTCGTTCAAGAGATACCACGCATCAAATCGCGATCAACGTCACTGCGATGAAGTACAAAGAATGCCCTTCTTCTCTAGGAGGGTTGACTCACCAAAGATTGGTCATGGGCACTTTTCAAAGCTTTTATTTGCTGCTCCAAAGTTGATAACAAGGCATTGGTAGAGCTCAGCTCTGCCCAAAAGTCACCCCCTCCGTTCATCCCACCTCCAGCATCATACCCCTGTTGTTGTCCATACTGCTGATTGTTCTGAACATACGGGTTGGCTGGCGGGGCGTTCTGCTGCGCATAAGGGTTGGGACCTCTAGTTTGACCGATAACCCCGTTCGAAGGAGGTGGATAAGCGTTTGATTGAGGAGGATAGGCGTTCTGTTGAGGAGGATAAGCAGTTGGAGCAGGGGCAGAAGCATCACTATCATATCAGCTATCATCCTACTGACACCGCATCAGCCAAGAAAGTGGCACGGACCCATAGTTGCGTTGCTGAACATTAGTGTGATTTCAACAGATGAATTGGAAAAAACACTGACAACGCCGGCAAGACGATCTCTAGCCATATTGATGAATGATCGAAAAGAAGATTAGAAATTAAAGTAGGAAATGGCAGGACCAGCTGCTAAGGGTGTGTGAGAAAATGGGCGCGTATATGTCCGTGGAGGGATTATACAAGATGTGGTCGAAGTCCGGAAGGATACGAATAGCGGTGTAGGAGATGTGAGGATTGAGAACGACTGAGGCTGGTCAAAGTTCCGCCTTGGGATGAGACGTCGAGTATGTACGTGGACAAATAGACGATTTGGGTATTGAACCCGTCTGGTGGGAACAAGGGGGTTTCCGTTTGAGAGAGTGCTTTGTGACCTCGTTCAAAGGATGATAAATACTCCAATTGTCTCTCGAAGCAAAGGAGGCAGAACTCGGAGCAAGGAGTCAAAGTCTTTCTTTGACCGTTGATCCTGAGTCGTGTTGCCAGTTGGAAAGAATCGATTCAACCAAGATGGGTGGGATGAGAGATGGCCAGATGTGGACGGGCTATGCTTGGCCCCTCAGCTAGGCCGAGGAAACAAGCACCGAGTGTGGCACTCGCACACGCTCCCCCTTCTTGGCCCGTGACCCTGTCCTTCGCGTGTATGTATGGTGCTTCATGCTTCACTGCTTTCAGATGGAGCCCGCTGTCAATATGCTCTCATGACCATTTGGCTCGGAAGCGGAATGTACATAGATCATACTCGTAAACACTGTCCTGATTGACCACAGAACTTCTTATACGCTGTACTCTATGGTAGGTCACCCCGGGAACCCATCTCTGACGTGTTCACCACGCCCCGCTCAGGTCAAACGCGGATGTCAACAGCAGGAGGAAGCATAAGACATGCAACACGCAATATTTGTATGCACGGACGAAACCTGACTAGCATTGTAGTCGCTGGAAGTAAGAATGAGGTCACCAATCGATAGGGTCGCGTATCATCGAGTTTGGGGTAAACATTGCGATATAGTGTTTTAGATGACAAAGAGATTAGTCGGGAGTTGTTTACATTATCGTTAGACGATCTCGCCTTTTACTAGATCGACCCGTGCAAACAGCTCGCAAACCGACGTTCGAATTTGTTCCCCACTCATCCTTATGAGTTTTTTGGCGGTGACTTTTTTTTACTCCTACCCATCATCTCGTCACCGTACATGCTGTTATTCAGAAGTTCTCTCTGCCTGATGCTCATGTTCTGATCATGCTCAGGTTGATTACACGGCTCTCACCTGATACATAGCGCCAATACATAAGTTTTCGTCTGTACATACGTAGAGAGGGGTTGGTTGCTTTTTGAAGAAAGTGCCACTTTAGTGTGACAGTCACGCAACAAGCTTCTCCCGTTTCCTGACTGAAGTATATCAACTTGTGACTTTAATCACCCTTCATTCAACCTTCCTCCCCTTTCTTGCGCGTATTTAGCTTCGCCGTACAGCCAAAGAACTACTCCTGCAAGATACTGATAGAGATATCCCCCTAGTAGGCAAAGGAGAGCTTCCTTGGTTGGTCTTCAATGGTCGCATAGCGTTACGTCCTGACCAAGTCACAGTTTTACACCTCCGGCCTTTGTCCTCCCATTCTCGCGATGTCTCCTGCGAGACCATCATCTCTGCGGCGTCCCTCCGCTTCTGATCATACCAACTCCCCCCGAACATCTTCCTCTACCAACTCTCAGTCCAACAATCGTTCACCAACGAAGAAAGGATGGTCCAATCCATTGAACCGCCCCCAACCCACATCAACCTCAATCTCCATTCCTCTTCCTTCTTTCAGACCCAAATCACCGTTACTTCCTCCTCCTCCTACATTACCTCCCAAACCCATTATAACTTCCGAAAGAAGAGTCTCTATGAATCTTCCTAGACCCGAATCGACTTTCCGTCCTACTCAACGATCTCCCCGATCACCTCCTAGGACAAATCGGGAAGATAACTATCGAAGTCGTACTAGAGATAACGGATATGATGATTTATCAAGATCAAATCGATATGAAAATAGGAAATACGATGATTGGGATGAACCTTCTCATATCTCATATCGACAACGTGAAAAAAGATCTCGTAGTCCTGTTTTGAAATACGAAAGTAGTTCTCGTCGACGAGATGATGAAGGTTATGATCATCCACGTAGAAGAGATGAAGATTATGATAGGAAAGAAGATAGAAGAGGTGATAGAAAAAGGGAAAGAATAAAATATGACGACGGGGAATATGATAGACCATATCGAGATGATCAACGTGATCGTGATAGAAATCGAAATTCGGATTCTTCAAGACATCGAGGTTCTCGTGATTTATCAAGATCGAGTGAATGGGATGATTATAATAATCATAGAGGTCAATATGATAGACGTGGACGTGAAAAAAATCATGACGAAAATCGATATCGTACTTCTTCACCTATCAGATCTCCACTTTCACCACCCCCGAAGAAAAGACGATCATCACCTGAAGAAGGGGAGACAGATTCTATTTCAAAAATTAAAAGTCCTTCCAATGCACCGGAAGATGGGGAGATACTTGATCAACCACCTACTCCTGAATTTCCACCACCACCCATTTTGGAAGAATATCCAAAAGTTACAGATTCTTATAAACCGGTAAAAATAAAAAATAGACCAACTCGAGTTACTTCTGTATCTCTTCCACCTGAACCTATAGCACCACCACCTCCTCCACCATACGAAGCTCCACCACCACCTGATTTCACTCCTCCTTCCCCTCCTGGACCTCCGCCAGGTTTACCACCACCACCACCTCCTCCTTCAGCTTCACAAGAAAAACCTTCGCCTTATGCCCCTGCTACACAATTTGGGAAGAAATTACATCGTCCATCACCTTACGGACCTCCTTCAAATGGAAATGAACATGGTAACGACAAGAATCCTTATACTCCAGAGGCTAAACCGATACATCGGAAATTGCAAGAGGTACAAGGAAACGAGGACAAATCTCAAGCCCCAAGCCATCATACTTCACCGATACTGAGACCAGTCACTCCTCATGTTAGCAAATCAGAGGCTAATTTGTTCAAGAGAAGGACGGTTGATGAGGAATTCGAGAAGCTGGAAAGACGTTTTGCAGGTACAAAGAATTTGTTGGATTATGATCTTGGAGCCAAGTTGGGAGAAGGTACTTTTGGGTAAGTCACAGCGAGTTTTCTATTATTATGAAGAAGCTCATCATGAAGGGTGGTTACGAAAGCTAAAGAATTGGCCACGGGGAAGACTGTAGCATTGAAGAAACTCATCACTCATAATCCTAGAGACGGGGTGAGTGGGAATTTCTTTTCCTCAACTGAGCTTGTCGGACGGAGAGTGCGCTGACATTTAGGTGTCGGTCACGACGGTCAGAGAAATTAAGATCATCAAATCACTCACACATCCCAACGTCGTCGACATCATGGATATGGTGGTGGAGCGAAGTGAGTCTCTGCTCGCTTCTCATCTCTTTGCAACCCAGAGGATCGGGATGGTTATTAATGACAGAAAATCCGAATGATCGTTCTGGTAGGGGAGAAGTTTTCATGGTGTTCCCTTATATGGACCATGACCTTTGTGGTCTACTCAACAATCCCGATTTCAAAATGTCACATTCGGTCGCCAAATTGATCCTCAAACAGATGTTGGAAGGTATCGCTTACATCCACGCTGTGAGTTGGCAATCTGTTCATCGTTCTCTTTCTGTTTGTCTTCTTTGATCACATATAATCCTGCTTCATACACCTCAAGATCTTCTTCGTCACAAAACATCTAGGACATGTGCGTTCGATTGGAATGAGGACGAATATGATGGTCCGGAAAGGGGCACAACTCATGAGAAGAACAACTACATCCACCGAGATATCAAAACTGCCAACATACTGGTCGATCGTAGAGGTGCCGTCAAGATTGCCGACTTTGGCTTGGCGCGAGCTTGGACAGAAAACAAATTACTTCCTGCTCACAAAGCCAAGGAGTATACAAATATGGTAGTCACCAGATGGTACAGAGCGCCGGAACTGTTGTTAGGAGATAGACGATATGGTCCAGCTATTGATATGTGGAGTATGGGGTGAGTTGTTATTGACGTCCGAGTTCTTCCCTCGTCTCCTCCTGATTTTCTGTTCCTGGATCATCTGCTCCCCTGATGAAACACACTTTCTCCCCTGTGTTTTCTTCGGATGTTTCCATTCGGCGGGATAGCGATGGAGGACGGTTCTCCGTGAACACGCAGGTTGCTGGGAAAGATGATTCAGGATAAAGCTGACGCTTCAGTTGTTGCCTTGGAGAAATGTACCTCCGCAATCCTATCCTTCAAGGCGAATCAGATCGGGATCAATTATATAGGATCTGTGCTCGTTGTGGACCCCTCAATCAAAGCACGTTTCCAGGATGGGATCGATTGCCCGGGTTTCCAGATAGTCAAGGTCATCCTTGGGATCGGACACCTGCTGAGATGTCGGTCTTGGCATCATCGAAGAAATGGAGGTGTGTACAAGACCTGTTCTTCCAACATGTCTGATCTCCCTATCGTATCGTTTTCTCCTTCGCACAACTTCGTTCAACATCCTCAAATAAACGTGCAAGCTTGAACAGACTTGAAAATGGCGTGGTGAACTGACAACCCAGTATGGATCGAGGTGGTGCCGATTTGATGATGCGTCTCTTGACTCTCAACCCCAAGAAAAGATTGACCGCTGTGAAGGCTTTAGACCATCCATGGTTCTTCATCTCTCCATTACCGGCCACCATCAAAGAGTATGTTTACTATTTATATTCGATGATTGTGCTAAAGTAGTAGTGGATTGATATCCGTCTCGTCATCACACGAAATGACTTCGAAACAACGAAGAGAACCAGTTGTTAATAACCCTATTCGACAACCTGCTGCTGTCAGACCCCGAGCTCCTGCTCCTCGTCCACCACAGCAGATGATGCCCCCACCAAATCAGCATCGTCATGGACAAGGATACCAAAACCCGAATCAAAACCAAAACTTTTTCCCACCTTCTGGTTTTCCACCTCAAAATGTTTATCCTCAACAAGCATACACCAATTCCGTTCAACACCATCCACCTCCACCTCAACTTTCATCTCATACCCACTCTCAATATCAACATCATCAACCTTCCCTTCCTTATTCTCACAGTCAAGGTTTTCAAGGTAACCCAAACTCGTCTTATTATCGACCTCCGGGAAATTCTCAGAGAATGCACTCTGAACCGTGGAATCAGAATCGTATGCCTTCTGGTCCTTATGGTCCAGGACAAGGACAAGGACATATGTCAAATCAATCACACGGAAGTCATGTGTTTTCGACCAGTGGAGTAGCTGTACCAAAACCTGGTTTTACTCTCGCTGGTCAACCATCGGGTAGAATGTCTTCCATGCCCAGTGGTCCAGGTCTTCCCGGAGGTCCCAGTGGATCTGGTGGGCCCGGTGGATCCGGGACGTTTGGTGTGAAAAGAGGATTTCCTGATCCTCAAGATAGGGATAGGGAGAAGAGGTTAAAGTCAGGTGTTGAATTACCTTATTGAACATATCTTATCTTACCGTGTGATGTGCATGAATAGATATAACAATTCTGTGTGCTGTGCTTGTTATATGGATAGGTGTGCACAGAACATTATCTGTCAACTCATTTGTGACTGACCTGGGAGAGTAGTAGAGTAGAGTAGAGCAAGTAACGGGTGTCAAGTGAAGGAAGGTTGCGATTGCTTGGTGCCACATTCAAGGTAACTTAAAGGGTGCGTGCACGTTTGTCCCATGCATCCACCCCACTCCCACTACTTAACTAACTCGCACTTTTAACGTACACTCGGTGACTCCATACCTTCCTCAACACAGCCCCGACTCAACGAGGTCTCAGCATTGCTACTCCTCAGTAATACACTCGTCTTCTCATCATTCCTCATCCCACACCCTGCTCTACCCGAGACGAAATTCGAGTCTTCCCTTTTACTCCGACTCCCCTCCAACTCGACTCATCCGACATCTTCTCAATTAGGTCTACATATACACCAGAGAAAACATCTCCATCCTGAATATTCCTCTCATACACTCAGGGAAGACTTTCAAAAAGGTTGTTTGTTTAAGGTGATCTATCAATTGGATTGAGTGGGAATATAGATGAAAGTCTTGGATGGTCATGCAACCACGCGCATCGGTACATACACGACATAGTTGTCTTTCCTTCTCTTCAACCGGATCACAACGTTTGACACGGTAATTCCATTCAACTTGGAAGTCAGTCATATATTTCAAGTCGATTTCCATTTGTGCGTACCAGACATCACGAACGGATCTTCAGACGATCATTTCACACTACTCTACTTTCAACTCTTCTCAACCCATTCGGTCCATTCAGTTTCAACCTACCAGACTCATCAAATATCTGGCTCTGCTCTCTGCTTGAAGACTTATCGACGTTATATTCCACGGAAAACAAAATCTCCCTAATCACCTTATCCGACAATCCACACCATGCACCCAACCCCACCCCTCGAAACTGAAGCTGGTCCCAGTCGTCTTCGTCGTCTATCCATTCCCTCCTCTCGCTCCCTTTCCACACGTCCTATTTCCCCTTCCACAGAACTTTTAGATCCTCCATCAAGACCTTCCACCCCTCATCTAGACCTAGTAACATTTTCCACCCCAACTCTTCTTCATCTTCTAGCTGCTCTTCTACAACAAATAGCAGTAGCTAACGATCAACTCCGTCCACCAAGTATGGACTTAGATCTTGAATTGGAACATTTGGAAAATGAAGATATGAATATGATCCCTACGAAAGATTCACCCACTACTGCTTTATTCGATCATCATATCCCTTCTCATCACGGATCAGAATATGGTAGTATGAGTAATACAAATTCTAATCCTAGTCCACCTTCTTCTCCCATATCAAGAGATTCTAAATCTAAAATAGGAGTGGGAACAAGAGAAAATGATAATGAACATGAACAAAATATAGAAGAAATGGAAGAAGAAAGATTTAAAAAAGTGTCGAATTTATCAGTTTTCACAGCTTCGAAATTAGCTCTTTTACAACCTTCCAGTTTACTATCTTTTCATGCTAGACATATACCCAGTATTTCAATAGAAGCTTATCTTTTGAGAATATTGAAATATTGTCCAACTACGAATGAAGTTTTCCTCAGTTTGTTGGTTTATTTCGATAGGATGTCTCGTTTAGGTACACCGTTGGGAGTAGGAGGAAAAGCTACTTTGGCAGGTGGGAGAAGAGGTTTTGCTATTGATAGTTATAATGTACATAGGTTGGTGATTGCTGGAGTTACGGTGGCAAGCAAGTTTTTTTCGGGTGAGTAAAATATGTCTCAATTCGTACTCGCTCTTCTCCCCCAAATCCAACATATGTCGTATATGTTCCACCCTTGCTTTTGTCTAGCCTTTGCGCTTCCATCACTCTGTCCAGGTCACAACGTTCAAGTCTTGACTTTCGAGTCTTTCTCTCTTCCGGGATAAATGAACTTTTTCCAACTTTGGTGACTTCAGGCAAATACGATAAAAGACTAACCACCAGACGTGTTCTATACGAACTCGCGTTATGCAAAAGTAGGCGGTCTACCACCCAACGAATTAAACCAATTAGAACTTCAATTCCTCCTGTTAAACGATTTTCGTCTAGCCGTCCCTTGTGACGAAATGCAACAATACGGTGATCGTCTTTTAGGTTATTGGGAAGGTAAACCTACTCCTACACAAACTTCAATTCCTTCTGCTCCTTTACCAAAGTCAACCTCTCAATCGGCTCCTTCTAGACCTACAGTCACTATCTCCACAAAACCAACTTCACGATCCGTCACACAACCTCCTGTTTACCGTTCGACCACTCAACCTTCTACTTCCCTTCCCACTGCTGAAAAATCTATCCTACACTCCGTCGTTCAACCAATTCAAAACTCTACCAACCCACCTCCCGAATCAATCACACCGTCTAACCCCCCTGAACCCAGCATGGACACTACGAGACAACATCCCACGGAATCAAACGGTCAATGCAATGACACATCAAATGGTCATGTCGACGGTTTTGCCGATATATCTGCAAGACAAGTCCCGGAGAATTCGCATACACCTATACCGACTGAACAGGAAATAACGGCCCGTGGAAGAGAACGGGATAATCAAGAAAGGACTTCGATGGTGGTATGACGTTTTTGTCGCGCGGCGCGAATAGCGTTGCGCTCTTTGTGTTTTAATGTGACAAGTTCGAAGATGGATGAAGAAAGGGGTTTGTTGGGTCAGACAGGTTAGTTGAAATTATTATTCGAGATGAGCACAATAGGGATTGAGAGAAGATAGATGAATTCTAGAATCAAGATATCCTAGATATGCATCTTTTTTCTACCCATTATTCTTACTTTTTGTGTGTTCATACAACATACAACATAACCACTGTGTAGGACGGTCTCGCTTCCAGGATAGCGCATCTGTCCCTTTGGAGCAAAGGTGGAGTGGACTCGGAAGAAAGATGAGGGAGGGGGTGATCAACATCCAGCTCGCCAGACCACCCAAGTATTACCAGAAGGCATCTCACGTCTTTCGCTCGGTCCAAAACCCCATTTCCGTGCGAGAGTATCGATGGAAGTGATGGAGCGAAGACCGAGGGATGGGTGTTGAGATTTGAGGTGTGTACGGTCGAACTGATATCAACGATATCCTTCCTGAATTCTATTATGACCCTTTTCATCCTCTTCATCTACTGAAGTTACAAGATCTAAACATCTTCCAGGGAAAAGAATGACAAACATATGTCTTGGATTACTTAGAAACGATGTAGATACCCCTGAGAGTGTCTAACTTGAATACAGAAAAACTGCATAGGAGAGAATTATATCTCATCTTACCCCAGTACTCTACTCTACTCTTTATGCTATGTGAGAAGAAAACAGTCAGGGAAATCGACCGTCTCAAGCGATAACAAGGAATATGAGTAAAATTTCCACAAAAAAAAAAAAAGGATGGGAAGAAACGATGAATGTAGGAATGTAGAAATGTAAACTTACCTTTTCGTCATTTTCCGATCTGAACAGACCGTCGTCAGTTAACCAAGGTCCATATACCGATATCCAACCGAATGGTCCTAGAAGTCTAGGTTGTGTAAAGGGAGAGAGTTGGCGGAATATATTTTCAGGTGATTCAGGTGGAAGACAATGAATCAAGTTTACTAGTTATGAGCTGACGTTAAAGTACCATTGTCTGATTCTAGATGATTTGTTGTTGGGATTATGAGTTGTAGAAGGGATACGAAAGGTGTGTACTTGATGACACGATGGATCGTATCTCGTGGTGCAAGACTGAGAAGGAAAGTTTGGTCTAGTTTCCGTTTACAGTAGTGTATTGAGAGTATTGAGGGAAAGAGCAAGTAAGTGATGGGGAAGGGCAAGGGGTGAAAAGAGGTCAGAAGGTAGGAAGGTAAGAAGTTAAGAAGTTGATGAGGTAGGGAAAACATACTGATTAAAACACCTTCAAACATCTCTCCTTGAAGATCATCTCTTAAACCCTCCCAATGGTGTTCAGAACTGATATCTAGTATCCGGATCGGTAAAAGGTTTGGAATATCCCCATGATGTGCGAGGTATGATTCCAATTTTCTGCATCGTCAGCTTTCCTCTATGAAACCGTCAGATACCTAGATGCAAGCTTCTGAGACTGCTGGAGATAATGTCACCACTGCCAATCTGGATACAAAGCTGAGATAACCCGACAGGATCTAGAGGAAGAGGGGAAGATGACGACGAGTGAAATTATGGCGAGTGAGAGATATCGCTCTGGGAATAAGACTGGAGGGGGAGGGGAAGGACTGGGAGGGGAAGGGAGGGGAAGGGAGGGGAAGGGAGGGGAGGAAGAAGAGATGATGCAGACTCACCTCAATTCAACTATATCTCTTACTGAACCATACCATTCAACTTGTCCCCATATCTTAGCTAGAAAAGGTATATGTTCACCTGAAGCTATCTCTAATAGTTTCCTCTTCTTTCTCTCCTCATCTTGCTTTGTTCCTGACGTCCGTGATAAATCGTGATTCCGCAATGACGATCTTGTTTTATTTATGGTATCCAGATTGAAAGAACTTGTCGAAGGTCCAGATTCTTCAGTATTGTGACTAGACTCTATGTGGGTGGTATGAAGGGGAGATATGGGGAGCTCGGGGGATGAAACAAGATCTTGAAAAGAAAGAAGAGGTTTTAAAGCTTCAAGAATTGGAAAAAGGTTTCGTTCTGCTGAACCTCTTTGTCAATCGCTTTCCAGTATCACACAATTCAAGGAATGTATGTCCCCATGATTCCACGTTATTGGAAAACCGAGTGTATGTAGACAGTCAATTGGATCGTATGGGAAGATGGTGAACGATGTTCGAATAAGAGAAGAACAAGAGAAGAACAAGAGGAGACAAGAGGAGAGAAGAGGAGAGAAGAGGAGAGAAGAGGAGAGAAGAGGAGAGAAGAGGAGAGAAGAGGAGAGAAGAGGAGAGAAGAGGAGAGAAGAGGAGAGAAGAGGAGAGAAGAGGAGAGAAGAGGAGAGAAGAGGAGAGAAGAGGAGAGAAGCTTAACTTAACATACCTGGTTGTGAGATGATGGATGGGTATGACATTACTAGTACTACTCATCTGGACGAGTGAAGGTGGAGGTTGGAAATGATGGTGTATACTCCTGAAGACACTTTATAGCTAATATCACGAGTAATGTGGAAAAGAGAGATGAGGTGATACTGCATGTGTGGAATATGCTTGACCAGAAGAAGTGACTAAGTGTCTCGGGCAGGAAATTGAACCGCAAGAGATCCAGTGGGATCTATCTTTGTAGAGCTCATCCATCGAAGAATTATCGGAAGCTCGATAACCTCGTAGATTGTAAAGTAGATCACTATATTCCATCGGCTCACTAATCATTACTCAGACAATGTCCCATATCCCATACCTCATATCTCATATGACATATCCCATATCTCATCTATATTCCCCTTTACCAAACCCCACTAATTACGTGCGAGGGATGGAATGGTATCTATCGGTCAGAAATTAATCCTCGTGACCCACGTATTCTAATCTGTTCCAACCAAATCCCCGGAGGACACGGAAGGTAGGGAGAGCAGGTATGACAGATGAACAACAAGTTAGGAAAAAGAATCAAGACTCACTCCGGAGGAATCTCCGATTGACCACCTTCATCATCATCCGGCATACTTGCCATATCCGTATGTTGATAAACTGTACTCCTCCCCTCACTCAACGCTTGACTAGCTCTCCTGTTCACCCCATCCGGACCCGTCTCCGCGGTCCCACTACCTCCAGGAGTATCATAAGTGGTCATATGCAATCTTTGTCTCTCAGCTTGCGCTTCACGTTGTTTCGCCAAAGCCGCCGAACTGGGTCCAGAAGATTGAGATACTGGGGAATGGATCGAATGACCACTTGAGGTTCTCCTATGTTCACCTGCGACTGCGGCTCCATAACCAGCTCCTGCGCCTGCTGCAACACCCGCCGCGACCCCATATCCACCGTCCAACCCATTACCGTAACCTGTCATGTAATCCCTCGCATCTGGCATTTGCATTGGGGCATGTGAATAAGGATCGTACACCATGTTGGTAGTTTCCGGTGCGCCCCATCCACCTGTTTCATTGGAAGGAAGGGGGTTAGGTTGGTAAGGGAAAGGATCAACTCGAGCTCCTTGACCGGCGACTGCCATATCAGGGACGGAAGGATCAAGTAGGTCCAGTGGGTCAGCAGTGGAATGACGAGTCGGGTCGAATGTCTTTTCGTCGAATGCGGGTTGACGGTTTCTTCTACGACGAAGGCAGAAGAAGAGAAGTAAAGCGAGAAGGGCGAGAGCTGCCAGACCTCCGATTACCCCACCGACGATAGCGCCGACATCTGACGATCAGCACCGAATAGTGCTGGGGAAACCCATGTCCGTAGGTCAAATCGACATGATGAGAGATATGGGCGAGGAAGCGAATCGGGACACGAGGAGAGAATGGACTCACTGGTACCACCACCGGAATGACCGGACCCATTGGCTCCTCCAGAAGCTACGGCAGAAGTTTCAGTGTGAGTACGACCAGAACCATCCGTCACGGTCTTCGTTCTGCTCGTCAGCATCTCAAGATAACCTAGCACAATATGACCCACACAAAATGAGTCGATGTATCTTGTGTCGAAGTAGGAGCTGACGAAGTGGGAAGTGTACTACTAGGACTTGTAGTACCTGACGAGCTGGTCTGACTAGGGGAACTAGTGGCTGAAACACTCGAAGTGGTCGAAGCACTCGAACTGTCACTAGCGGAAACGCTGCTGCTGGTACTACTCGATGTACTGGAGATACTACTCGTACTACTTGACGTCGAGCTGGAGGTAGTCGACGATGAAGTTGAAGAAGTGGTTGATAAACTTGAAGTCGAGGATGACGTAGACGAGGGAGGGGCAGAAGAAGTTATGGATGAAGTTGTAGATGAAGAGATGGAACTCAATCCAGAACCTGTATCAGGGGACGATGAAGGAGTGGTAGATGGTGTTAGGGAAGGAGAAAGAGACATGGTTAGCGATGTTCACATGGAAAAGAATGAGAAAAAGAACACGAGTCAAGTGATCAAGGAAAGATTGGCAGAAAAAAAAGGGGGGGAGGGGGTTCTGATACGCGATCCGCAGTTTTGGAGGATACTAGGGTGATTCGGTGATACATCATTCACTCACTCGGTAAAGCGGCCATGACGTTTTGATGAAAACAAGTAGCTTTTTGATGAGATCAAAACCTGTGAAAGCCAGAAAAAAGATCAACAATGATACAGGTAGGAAGAAGATACCAAGTCTCTTTTTTTTCACAAAGAGTAGAAGAGGTGTATGTATTCCTTTAGAGAGTTCCTATGTAATCCCTTTTTGTTTCCGCGAATGGCCGGCAATAGGCGAATAGCGCAATGCTACCGTATGACATTCAAAGCCTAACAAACTTTCTTCGTCTCCGCCTCCGCCTCCGCACTTCCGCCACACCCTTCTTCCTCTCTCTCCTATACTGATTCTCCCCCTTCCCCTGTCCTCACCTCCGACGCCGAAGGGGTCCGAGGATTCCTTGCACGCCCTTCCTCTGCACTGCCCTTGACATTTCTGAGATCTGAGACCCGACAGCGTGATTACTTCTTGGCGTCGGGATTAACCGGCTGTCGCGATCAACTGTGGCATGTGGCAATTTTCATCATCCCTTACTTCAGTACAATTCATGCATCTACCGTTTGATAGTGATATAAGGATGGGCAATGATGAGAGACTTGACATGTGACCACGACCAAACCACGTCGTGATATACTTTTTATCCTTACTCATAGATCTATTATAGATCGACTAGTAAAATACTACCCATTCCAGCTCAGTTCGACAATCATGCCGTTGGTGTTTGAATAGGGAGGGGCACCACAAGAACCACGTGACATCCGTGCCTAAAAAGTCAACCCACTCTCAACCCCCTCTTCTTGCATTTACTCGTATGTACAGATAGTACCACCCCACCTGACCACCTATCTCGTATGACCAATGTCACCCCGATCAACCTCATCAGTATCCTCAAATAAAGATAGAAAGAAGTTCAGATGGGAAGACCACGTACCACCCGAGAACATCCCGGAAGATTACGAATTCCCAACCAACTCTACTCTCCATCGGTCAAACCATAAGTGCATCGTAGTTGACGACAACGATGATGGGTGCGACGACAGTTTCGATAGAATGCCAATTGATTCTCCTCGACGATATCTGGCTCCTACGAAAATCAACGGTGTGACCACACCTTCCATGGTCTCTCTCACCCTCGATAGTGCCAAAAAGGGTAAGAGGAGAGAATCAGGCGACTCGGATGAACTGAACATACGACCTACTTCAAGCTCGAGACAATCGTCCCAGACTTCTCAAGCAGATAGGACAGATAAGATTGTCAGGAGCAAGGTAAGGGAAAGTGTGAAAATGTCTCAGTCAGGGGACAAGGTTGGTTCAACTCAGGGTGGTAAAATTAGTGCAAGTCAGAATGATGGTGAGAACGTAAACATGAGTCAAACTGGTGTTAGGAAAACGGGAAAGGATCAACCTGGTCATATGAGAACAGGTGGGAGTGATGCAACGAATCAGAAGATGACAAGAGGTGGTAGTGGTGGTGGGAGTAGTCAGGGTGGAGTCAGGGGAGGAAGTAATGGGGATGGGAGAGGATATAGGAATCAGAATACGCGAACGAACTCTTTAAATTTCAAGGGAAGGCATCAACCACCGAAGAGGAACGACTTTTATATTCCAACAGTCCAGGCTGCTTCGAAAGTGAATGAACAGGCAGTTATCACTACCTCCCGAGCCGATTCTGTCCTAAATAATGGAACGAAGAAAGAGAAAAAGAGACTGGAAATTCCAAGTACTGCCAATCTCCATCGTCCAGAACGTCGTCCAGAATTCCGGAAACGAGCCCCATCTCCTTCTCTAACTTCATCACAACCAGTCAAGAAACGGTCTACTTCACCTACCCTCACAAGCTCGCAATCTTCAAGCACAGCAGGTATATCTACCGTCGTCAAAAAATCGATTGACTTTCGCAAGGACATCGCGGGAGGGTCAAAGGTGGAAAAATCAAGACCGATTGGGAAGGATGTGCGAGGTAGGGACCGGGATGGTGGAGGGAAGGAGGAAGAAAGAGAGAAAGCTAGGGATGAACTTCCGGTGAGAACTGCTGAGAAAGAGATGAAAGTCATTGGGAAACCGACAGCCGCAAATATGTCAAATGAAGCGCCGAGGGCAGATGATGAGAGAAATGCCAAAGTGAAGAAAAAAAGCAAGCAGCAATCCAAATCGGAAGATGATCGAGAAAAGGAGAATAGATACGATCGAACTAGCCGAGAAGCATCAGAGTTCTTCGCGGCAGAGACCGCTCAAAAGATCCAAGCGATCAAGGCGGTGGAGGCTGAGATATACAAAAGGTCTGCAGAGGCAGACGCTTTCTTTGAGGATCTGAAGAAGAACAGCGAACAGCAGAGAGAGGCAGATAGGCGGTTGAGAGAACAAAAAGAGGTTCTGGATAGGGCTACGAGGTGAGTTCGTAACCCTCCAACTCACAGCTCTCATATCGTCAAAGCGATCGTTTTCGGGAAGAGAAATGATTGACGGTGTAGAGCGATATCGCCCGTTTCGCCTATGCCTGAAGACTTCAGTGTGGAGTATGACGGAATAAATGAGCTATCAGAAGAAGAATCCAAATACTGTGGTGAGTGTATCCGTCTTTGATTCTTCTCTCCCAGTAGAGTTGCTAATCTTTCAGAAACCTTCGTACATAAAACAAATTTATGTCATGTGAGTTTCTCCGTTTCATCTCATATACCTAGTTCATAACTCTTGGTATTCTTTTTACCGGAGAGTCGCCCGTTGATGAACCAGTACTGCGACAAACCCCTACCACTGAAACCAAGCAAATACCTCACCGACCTCATCAAACGCATTTCACGAATATCCACTCTACATCCTACACTTCGTAATCCAGACGCCCGTAAAGCACCATGGCAACAGACTATTGAGCTATGTGCCCAACATCACGCAGAGATCACTGTTATTCCTCTCGGATTGCGAGCAGGATATCCTTCCACGATCGATTTTCTTAAGATAGACCAACGTTTAGAGGATGAGTGGATTTGGGACAGAATCATGAGTATCATAAGGGAACCGAAGATCTCCAAAGTGTTTAACAGGGAACTTGAAGAGATTGAAAAGGTGGGGAAAACTAGATGGGGGATGAGGAAAGAAACGCCAGAAGGAATGAAGGGGATCATACCTGGCTAGTGGGTCGTCTTCTATCTCGCCACTTTTGCCTCTCCCTAGTTTATATCCCCTCACTTCTGGCTGTCGCTTATTGCTTGTCTTCTCCGATCTTTCTGAAACTATCTCTCGCACGGGTCCCTTCCCCACTTATATTCTTCTTTCTCGTTCTCGGGTCGTTCGACTGGAGAACATCAGCCTTCGTTGCCCATATCCATCATTTCCACCCGTACTTCAAAAGTCTTTGTCTTAATGCTAATCTCAGCTACGGTTCCCTCGGTCGAGCAATCCTCACTCGTCATTTCCGGTACTTATTCAAATGGTACTCTCCATCTCTCATCCATCCTCACGGCGACCTCTGGGCTCCACTATCAACAAACGATTTTATGACCCATGTTCTCATACCTGAAACCGCCATATTACTCATCATGCTCGATCAAGAATCCTCCGATACGGTCGATATGAACTTTGACGCGGCTTACGATCACGCAAGTAAAGTTCGAGAACAAAGTTCTGAATATGGTCGATGGCGATTCCGAGAAGAAGGTTCTGAAGCTGAGAAAGTTCTCATTTCATTAGACGAAACCCTCAAAAATAAGAGAAGACGTCTTAAAAAACTCTTTTCAAAAACATCCTCCACCACTTCCGAGGGACCTCTTGTTGATTCCATGTCAAGTGACAAAATCTCCGGTCCTTCTCGTAGTTCCATCATCGATCCTTCAAATCCATTGTCTAAACCCTCGAAATCATCTTCTTTCAGGAAAGAAACAAAAGAGGAGGTGGTGGTGATCTCTGACAATGAATCAACTTCCACCTCTACAGCACCTACGACAAACGGTCCTACGACGCCCCCTACAGTATCAGTGAGGATGAAAAGCAATGATGAGGTGTTAGTACCTAATTCCGATGATGTCCCGATAATGTCACAAGGGTCTAAGAAGGATGGGAGTGATGATGAGTTTGATACTTTATGGAATAGTCAACTGGAGAGGGATGTGTTGGCTATTGAGAAGGGGGCAATGGGGTCTGGAAGAGAGAGATGATGAGTAAACTTTTTCTGGAGTGGTCCTTGCTCCTTCCCCTCTTCCGGGCTTTCATCCTCACCTTTTCGCGTCTCATCTACCAGCTCCTTTCCTCATGTATATAATCCCTTCTCTCCTTATCCTCCTCTCTCACATCTCCCTCATCGTCGCCTCCGTCAGAAAACGATTTCACATACCACCCTCATGTAGAGGTTTTACAACAATAGAGCTTTAGAGCTTATGTACTACGGAACTTATGTCATTTTATGCATTTCATATTACACGTTTTCATACCTCGTTCTATATGTATCTCACAATCCGCCTCATTTAGTGCTCATGTCTCATGTCTCATACGTCGTTCTTACCGACCGGAGGTATGACTTGTAAAGCGGTGTGTAGAATAAAAGTACGAGTCTCACCAAACGCGCAGTACGAAAACTGGTTGAAAACTTACCAAATTCGGTAAAAATTTGGTGAGTTTGCGGTTTTCGCCGTGTTTTGAAATTTTCCCTTTGATGATCGATTTCACGATTTGCTCGATTTCGTCGGTCTTCCGCCCTCTGTCCGTCTATTCTACTCACACACCCATATATCATTCTTATAACGTATTGAACCGTCATACACTTGACACATTCCCTCTCCTACTCTTCGATTCATACTTGACTTATCGCTGTTTCCACAGGAACGACTTAAGAAAAGGGGGTGAAAACAACGAGGAGAGAGTAGTGAGGCCCGGCTTGAATCGAAGCGAGTTCCAACTGCATCACTAGTCACTAGCCAACTGGTTCATGGTTCACTGGTCGCATCATCGGACAAACTTTACCGACTTACCAACAAAGATCATCCTCCTCTCTACTCCCTCCGACTCTTTCCATCAATACTTCAGAACTTGTTCGCAATTCTCTGGAGACAAGCCAGAAGTCTCTCAAGCCACTCATTCGACATCACTTTCTCACCCCCCACTTCTATTCGATCCTTTCTGTAGTCGACATACGCACCCTCTCACTTCACATTCACATTCCCATTCCTCGACTATATTCACAGTCATTTCTTCTCACCGACTCGTTTTTTCTCTACCATCTATAGAGCTCAAGTTCATCGGGACACGAGTGATCACCATATCAAGATAGAGGACATTTGACATTTGAGACTTTTTGACATCGTCCAATCGTCCCATTTATAGAATACAAGACGATACCACGCTTCTCCCCCCTCTTCTTGTCACACCCCTAGATCCGTGGGATAGCCTCGTTGATCAGTCGTGAAGCTTACCTGAGATAAGAAAATCCCAGGTAGACCGAATGGAGTTGGAATATCAAACATGACCCATGGTCTTTCTCAACCTCATACTTCTTTATCATACTCCATTCCCCACTCTCACTCGAATGACCATGATCAATTACCTGAAATTCCCCCACAACCTCTCATCTCTCCCTCAGGCGTCAAACCGTTTCATTCTTCTTCAGCAGAAGCAGGTCCAAGTAGACCACGTTCGATCTCTCCTAGGAACCCTACCAAATGGATCAATGATACCTTTTCAAACACCGGTCCATCAGAGAATACCGGAGTTGGAATGAGGGTACGAGAAATGAATGGAGATCATGTTGATGAGAAAACAAAGATGAACGATATGGGAAACCAAGATGTACCTATCTCTGGGGAGGGGAACGGAATAGGAGTTACAGAGACCGAATCAAGACCTTGGCCAGTATCGTTAACAAGGATGGAACCTGATCCAGCACTTATCGAACCTGGTCAAGCTTATTATAAACTTCAATTCGGTTTGGAAGAAGATGGTTTCACTTATTATATTCAGAAAGAGGATGTGATGATTGGTCGAAGGTGTGCTAGACCTGTACAGAAGTTATCAACACCATTGGAATATGAATCAGCACCACCTCAACAAATGGGGGCTGTTGAAGATTCTGTCAATATCATTCATGAATCGGGACTTGGGATTAATTTACCCACTTTTGCTGCAGATGCTAAGGTCAAGGAAGAGTTGGAACATGTTGTGTCATCGAACGGATTAGTAGAAGATATACAACATGGTTTGAAGATAAAACAAGAACTTTCGCTTCATACTCCCATCGACGCTGTTTCCCCAAAAGCAGCCAATCCGCTGAATGAAGTTAAGGTCGGCAATACATTGGTAAGTCTCTCACGGAATGTTCATATGTGATGTGAGCTGACAAGAAGCAGAGTGGTCAAGAACCACAATCACAACCACAGCTCATCGAAAGCGAACATCTCCCTGACATACCTCTAGAAGAAAACTTTGGTCCTCCTCCACCCGCTACCCCAGATCCGGAGACCATCCACCAAGTTGACATTGATCTAGGACGAGAGAAACGTGTGTCGCGTAATCACGCCAGACTGTATTGGTGTCAAGATCATGCTCAATTCTGTATGGATGTTTATGGACGACAGGGCGCTTGGTTTGATGGCAGGTATAGGTTCAAAGGGTCACATGTCCCTCTTGCTCATGGGTGAGTAGTCCTTTTTCTGCTCCCGAAAAACTGTGGATCCCCAATATCCGTCATGCTTTCGCCTGAATCCTTCTGCTTCCACTCCCATGTTTGATGTTGTCACTTATGCCCCTTCCCAAAATTTGAGCGCGATCACTGAACCAAATATTTGTCTGCAGTGACAAGTTTCGACGCGGGAAATGAGACATGGAGTAGGCAAGGGATGGATGTGTATCGGACAAATCTGACAATCAGCGTCACTATCAACATGGGAGGTAGACAATTCCAATTCCTACTTCCTCCCAGTCCCGACACCCCAGAATACTTTCCCTCGCCCGCAGACCCGCATCCTCCTCCACATTATTACCCCGAAGCTTATGACACCCGTCTTTGGGTACCCGGTGCTGGAGTCCCCTTTGGCGCCTTCTCCGCTCCCGACGGTTATGGTCTGGGTCTACACGGTGAACCTCCTTCGAGTTCTGGTTCCGGTTCGAACTCTGATTGGGGCTTATCCACCTCTTCTTCCTCTGAGGATAGCGGAAGTCAGAGTGGGGATGAAGATGAGGAAGGTGAGAGTGAAATTGAGGACCCACCTGACAAGCCTCCTCCAAAGGTGAAATTGAGGATTGCTCGCGCTAAGCTGAAAGACGATGGGGATTCACCTGATGATGATCCCAAGTATCGGAAGCAGAATGGTGTCAAAGGAAAAGCTATCGCTGCTGGAACTGGGAAGGGAAAAGGTAAGGGCGGAAAGAAGATGGAAGAGGAAGAACAGCCAGTAGTTGCTGGGAAAGGAAAGAAAGGCGGCAAGAAGGTTGAAAAGGAAGAAGAAAGATCAAGTCCGGAGAAGAAACCGGCGGCCAAGAAGCCAGCTAAGAAAGGCAAACTTGCGGAGCTTCAAAATGCAGCGGCAGATTCACCTGCTACGACGGATGGTTCCTCTTCTACCTCTTTACCTCCTCAAGCGAAAATTGAGGATACCTTCAAATCGGTTTCCACAATTCCTCGTCCACCTCTCCCGTCTGACACTTCTAATCCATCCCTTCAACGCGTCAACCCTCGACCCGTGATTCCTCCACCTGAGATTCAAAGACCGTTCCTTATGACTTCACTCCCCGAAACACCCGGTCGACCAGGACATATCATAGTCAACGTCCCTATCCCTCCTTCTGGTTCTGGACCTCGTCCCGCTCCCGGACCATTATATGGATTGGATGGAAAATACTTCATCGGTCCTTCACCTATCAAACCACCCGACACTTACGCCGGTATAATCTACAAAGCCCTTTTACATCTTCCAAGAGGAAGAGGTACATTAGGTGAAATCTGCAATTGGATAGCTGGTGAATGGGAATGGTATCGTCTCAACGTGGATACTGAATGGCAAAATTCCATCCGACATAATTTATCTCTCAGTGATGTTTTCGTTCGTGTACCACGTATACCTACAGATGATCCTGAGAGTAAAGGTAGTGTTTGGATCATTGATGCTAAGAAAGGTCCAGCATTTGAAGCTCGACAACAGAGGGATGGATCAAAAGGTGCTGGTGGAAGCGCTAATGGAGATGATAGGATCAAAGGTGTTGATTCAAAGAAACAAAGAGAGAGAAGACAAATAGAAATTGAAAATGAAAGAAATAGACGTCAATGGGAATTACAACAAGCACAAGCACAAGCTCAACGAAATCGTCAATCTCAAATTCAAACTCAATCACAATCACAAAATTCTACATCTAATCAAATTCCTCGAAAACCTGGATCTATGCCTACAAGTCATACATCTACCGCTCCAGTCAGACCACCACCACCCAGACCTCCGAAACCAACTACAGTCATGGTTGACGTTCAACCCATAACACCGGCATTACGATCACGTAATATGGGTCAAGCTAAAGATAGTCGTGGACAACCTATGCCATTCGTATTTGACGGTACTACCCTCACTCTTGATCCAGGTGTTTTCGGACAGATAGAAGATAAAGTTTTGAATCAATTAAGAGGTTTAGGACCGAATGTCGCTATTGGAGTATTATCAACATGGTTAGATAATAAATATAGAGCTGACGCTGCGAAAGCTCCTCCTCTACCTAAAACAGCAGCGGCGAAACAAAATCTGAATTCCACTTTAGCATCAAGAGTAGCAGCTGTAACTCCTCGTCCACCTCAACGTGTTTTGACTGGAACAGGTAATAAAGGTCCAGAAAATAAAAGTTTACAGAGATTACCAATTGGTCCAGCTCCACCAGGCGCTAGTGTAGTACAAGTTATTAAACTTATTGCGGATGTTTCACAAGCGAAACAGAAGATTGATATAATAGGGGAGAACGTGCATGCTTTATTCGAATATATCAAGAGGGTAGGAAAGGATTTAGATTTAACTGTTGCTGGAAAGATTTGGCAAACAGGGGAATTACCTTTGGGTTTTGGAACTTCTACCGGTGCCTCTAATACGGCTAGAGTGAACTCGACCCATACCGGTAACTCGATAGGTGTAAACGATTCGAAATCTGTGAACAAGACTTTGATACCTGCGTCAACTTCTACACCTGGGACTGTTTCTTCCATCGCCACCACTTCCACTTCCACACAAATCAGCGCAACCCCCGTTTTATCAAGCAAAGTCGGAGCATCAACAAACATCGCGAAGACCACGGTCCAGACGTCTAATCCGACACTTCAAACTGTTCGTCCTCCACCTTCAACTCCCCATGTTGGTCCACCACCCACTTCCACATCTCATACCGTCCAACAATCACACACTCCGACGCCTCTCACCGTCGCTAAGGGTCCGGTCTCGACGACACACGTACTATCAAATGGATCGGACAAAGGCGGAGATATAGGTACGACAGTAGTTGGAGAAAAGAGGAAAGCGGAGGATGAAGTAAATGGTGATGCTAAAAAGTCTCGATTAGGATTAGATACAGATGTTGGGACTTGATTGTGTCCTTGACATTCTCCCCTGTCCTTTCTTCATCCTTGGCTCCCGTCAATGGTTGAGTCCTTTTCATGCTTGAATCACCCCCTTTCCTGATTACGTATAATACGACAGATCATCGTCAGGCTAAAGGGTTGATATCATAGATAATGACACTTGTACGCTTGATCGTGTACTTGACTTGCTGTATGGTAGATTTTGTATTTGCCTGTCATTCTAGGGATAGATGAAGAGTTGATATGTTGATGCATGACGTGCAACATGCAGCATGCAGCGTTGTCAGTGTTTAGTAGCTCTAACAACACTTTAGCCAATATGCCAGCTTACCCATTCCGATTCCTCCACTTGTAAGTCACTGCTTTTACGGATACTTTTACGTTGCAAGTCATACGCCGTGCACCATGCTACATGCTATGTACTATGTTTCGGATCCGAGAAATGCCAACAGGAAAACTACCACCGACTCGCACCGAGTGACCGGACGCACAGATCGCCCGGTTGCTGATTTTTCAGAGATACCCATCAAAATATCTCCCCCTTTCTCTCTTTCTCTCTCCCTCCTTCATTCTCTCTTTCTAACTTTTCCCAAGTATCAATTATACTTTCCGATTAAACTATCATTGAATCACCATGGAAGCTATACGACCACTGGGAAGTACTGTCAACCATGATCCACTACCCGCCGCCCCTACTCCCTTTCCTGTTCATTTACTAAACTCAACATTCCTCCCTTCCTCCCAAACTGACTCTTCCTCACATCTCCCTTCCTTCGTACAATCAGCTCCTATTGACACACTCTCGCCAGATTCTTTATCTATCCCTTCAACCGCCTCATCTCAAAATACGCTCCCAACCATCCAAAGACCTCAAGCAGTGGAACATATCAACCCTCCAATTCAAATCACTCATTTGTCAACTCTCGATGATCATACTTCAAATTCATATCCCATACCAGATCATATAAATGGACATAACGATACCCATCCACCTGCTTATACACCCGAATATGATCCTCCTTCTTATCGTGCTCGTATGTCAATCGATACTATTCATAATCATGAGAATCCAAAGGGATCACATTCTGCAGCGACGACTTCACATCATTCACTCGATAGGGAAAGAGATTCGGGTCCTTCTTTTCAATTCCCAAGAACACTCTCGTCTAACCTTTCAGAACGCGGTAATGGGGTTAATCAAGGAGTAGGTTCAGATGGAGTTTTCGATGAGAAAATGACAAACGGACGTGAAAGTTTGAAAGGGGAGGAGGGAAATAAAAGGGATGAAAAACTCATGTACGATCTCGAAAATGTTACTTCGGCCATTGAGAGGTTGTACGCTGCAGCTCCGCAGTTAGATAATCAGAGGGTTGAAATGAGGGCTGGACCAAGTACGGAGAGGATTACTGAGAATGGAGAAAAGGCTAGGGAGAGGATGGAGAGAGATAAATGGAGAGAGTTGGAAGAGATTTGGAAGATGATCGAACATGCTCATAGGAGGGTTAGAGATGGTAGAGATGGTCAGAGGGTTGATAGAGAAGGTTTGAGGGAGAGGAGAGAGGATAGAGTGAGTTTTTATTTTTGTCTCTTTCCAGACCCCATTAAATATCGCATCAGCCCGACCTCTCGCCCTCCCGACTTCCCGTCCTCCCATGCTCTCGCTCCCGTGTTCTCTCGTGAAAAGGCTCGATGAATGGAACTCTCGATGAATGGTACGAGTGTGATGCTGGATATCACACCATGGTGCATACAGCCCGGCTCTTCTGAAAGGACTGATTCTGGTATGATTTAGTCCTGTATGGTTCAGTCATGTCAGGTCTGATTCTCCTTGATGGCGGCAGGTCCAGATCGCACTTTCTTTCCAGTCCGGTCTTAGCGATTTGCGTATTCACGCTCATCAGCAGAGACAGAAATTTTTCGACGACCTCGTAGACAACGGTGAGAATGGAAGGTTTGTCGAACAAGATTGTGAACGGCATTCTGTGGACGCCACCGAAGCTCGGGCTAGGGAATCCCGTAATGTGAGTTCTCCCCTTCAATCATCTCGGCTATGTCTACTCTTCATTCTTTCACCCCATCCAGTCTCCCGATCAAGTTCTGCCAGTGCTTGTCAATCCTAGCTATCCCTTCTGCCAACGCTTCAACACTGACCATAAGCGAGATGAGTTCATTCAGCAACTCGTCGACGCCGCTCAAGACCGTCTCCCATCTCAAGACGCCGACGCCCCGGGGTCATCAGTGGAATTGCGCCAACGACGGGTCAGCCTATCCTCCGTCGACCCTCATGGGCTACAGCTGACTCTCAGTTAGAGGCTTTCACACATGACATCATTGAACGCGTCAGTGCTTCCCGATACAATTCACAAGACTACCCTACGACGCCAGAGGCGCGAATGCAAGCTCAGCGAGAACAGCTCGTAGATGATATCATACGTTATTCCTCTTCGGGAAGACTCGTAGATCAACGATCTCTTCCTCCTACTCCTCGCGCGGACAAGGCGGATCCCATGGAGGTAGTTTCCGTGAAAGATTTTCTACTCACCAAACCGAGTTCATCCAAGCTTTCCGAAAGGAGAAAGAGCGTCGGAGGGGAGACAGGAGGTCGATCTAGGTCAAATTCTTCGGAAGAGGGGAGAAATGGGTTTGCAAAATTCAAGAGCATTGTGCGACGTAGTAGCTTAAGCTTGGGATTGATCAGTAATCCTCTAGGTAAGAATCAATGTCTAATTTTCTGCTCAGCTTAAGAATCTTTCTCACCTACAACGTTGGGCCCTTGTCCATGAGAATATGTTCGAGCCGTAACTGTCGAAGTGGTTCAGAGCAGTGTTGTGACCGAATGCTAATGTCAGATTCTGCAAGCTTAAGCTATATAGTAGAACATCAAGAGAATCTCAACATTGTTCAAATCATGCTTCACGGACCACATTTGTCTTCCGTAACCGACCTCGTTGTTCAAGTTCCCCCGCCCCTCCCTAACCTTGCCCACATCACAAACTCCTCACAAGAGACAGGAGTGACAGAAGCTCTCATCGTCTCCAAACGTGACCCTGCATCATCTTTCCGAATCTCCCTTCCTGTCGCTGTACGGCAAGACCAAACAGTTCCCCTCATACCTCAAAGTCTTCATCTAGAAGCCAAACTAGCCTCACTACCCATCCGTCCTGAGCCCAGCGCATTCTCACTTCATAGCGCTCTATCTCATCCCATGTCCGGATCGGAACTTCGGTCTTTCAAACCTCACACGTTGGCGTGTGCGTCGTGTCAATGTGACTTGGCGGATCTGAGTGATATCACGTTGGAGGGATACAAAGATTTACCATCGGAACATTGGGCTGAAATGCTGGATGTGTGGATGTGTCACCAAGATCCGAGTTGGACCTCACAGCTAGCTGAGAAGACCAATGATGGGTTTTGGCCTACTTTGAAGACTGTATTGGTTGGAGGTAGTTATTTGTTAGTGCACAGAGATCATGTGGACTTGAAGATTCTCACTGCGGAAAAATCATCCGTAAGTGGACTACACATATCCTATCCATCCTTGAAATCTTGTTTCTCTCACATCACCACCTTTATCTGTCGATCATGCCAGGAATTGTTTTTTGGCATCATGGTCATGCTGTGATATCGTCGAACTGTACTTGAAGCAATACCATCCCACGGACTAGAAGAAGGCCAGCACCGGGTCTCCCACCGGTGGCTCGTACCCTCGCGACAAGAAGGGGAGAAACTCTTGCAAGTTTCTCTTCTTTTTGTTTGCGAGAAGGGCGGGCAAGATACGTCTTTTGGTCGATACACGTGTCCAACATTTAAACCGGCAGAGAAAAACATTCCTTCCCTCCTCCGAGATCAGGGGGGTGGAGGCTACTTTCTCTGCTACATCCCACGCCATACAGAACGTGTCTCCAATCCCGCTACCTCCCTAGCACCTGTGTTTTTCCCGAGTTGCGAAAAACCATCATGGGCAGGCACCTCTCATGAGCGTTGTTCGTGTGGAGATTGCACATACCTCTGAATACCAGTTGGGATCAATGTGACCTGAATTTCACTGGGAAGATGTTATGCTGATCTCAAGGCTGAACAAGGGTGGTTTTCGTTAAATTGTACGTGCGGCGCGGTACTCGGTAAACAGCGAGAGAAAGATGGACGACCTGGTGAAGGAACCGTGAGATTTGATAAATGGGCTCTGTGTGTCAATTCATCTGATCCGATGGTGACGTACGTTACTTTTCTTTCCCTTTCCTTCCCTTTTCTTACTTTGCCGCGTCCCCTAATTCCCACAAACTGGCGATATTTTCCTCTCATACATTGTCTTCACCCCATCTAAAGATCAAGCATAAAGTAGTCGTTCGAGCTGGACGAAATACTGAACTTGCTAACATCCCCAGTCCCCTTCAACATCCCCTTTCAGCATATATAATCTCCGACATGCTAGCTCTAGCTCAAGCACACGCATCATATCGTTTCATCATCTCCGACCCCATTGGACCTCGGATGAAAATATGGCTTTTCAATCCATCCGTCCGAATCTCTTATCGTCGTGCCACCTCCAATAACTCTCCAAGTCCTTCACCATTCCGTGCGACTTTCACCCCTTCTCGTAGATCGAGTAACACTTCCCTCGTACATTCAAAAAGTACTGATATGAACGGTGATCACTTACGACCCAAGGGACATTCAACTTCAAGTAATGTGAAGGGAGGGACGAGGATATTGAGAGCGGCAAAAATCATGTATCGTATTCTTCCATCTTCGTCAGACGAAGAATTACCTGGGTTTGGGGAGATGAATCAGGTGGAAAGTTTGGTTTATCCCACAAGTGTTTGTGAGGTTTTGGAAAGGATTTTAAGGGAGAGTACGGGGATGTATCCTTTAGCAAGAAGGACGATGGGTGCTTTTGATGTTGGGTTTTTGGAACGTGTGTGAATTGTCTCGTTACTTTTCTTTACTCGTATCGTCACTCTGTATGTCCCGACGACACCTGTGTTTGATCATCCTGAAAGATAGTCAATCATTACGGTGGTACGGTGGTACGGTGGTACGGTGGGACACCGTGTTGGATCGTATTGTACATATTGTTCTGCTTGCTGTGTGGACTACCAGTGTTAAATTAAGTATCGAGAAATATAGAAGTCTCGTGTATGGTTATGAGACATGTGAGGGATGTGAGGGATGTGAGGGATTTGTGAGATTTGGACATTCATCTATTGTAAATGCATGGAAATGATTTATCTTTTCTTCTCTTGCTGTATCCGAACCCGTTTCAAACCCTCTGAAGCTTCTCTACGAGCTTCTGGAAACCCTACTTCCTTCGCGTAATCTATTGCTTGGGCGAAATATTTTTCGGCGGTTGTCAAATCACCTTGCATCTATTCATCAGCCATGAACTCTTGTTGTACTTTCACTCTTCTTCTCAAACCCGTGCTCTTTCCAACTTTCCTTTCCTCTCTCCTCACTCCCCTCCTTTCCTTCCCTTATCATCTCCTCACTCCTCCCTTCCACTCTTATTTCTCTCCAAAGACGGACTATCCTCCATACATGTTCAGTGACATCTTCACATATCGGTTCATTCCTCAAAATTCAACATAAATCCATTCCAAATTTCACACGACATGACAAAGTACTGTTAAGATAAGAGATACAATGGAGCATTGTGATATGAGTTAAATCTACGAATAATTCAATATTTCTCACCTCTGATATCACTCCCATGTCATAAATAGCCACACTTCTCGCCCTTGTACAAACTGCATTCTCCATCGTCAAACCTTTTTCCTTCAAAGCTCGTTCGGACAAACGTAATGCTTCCAAAGACCAAGATTTAGAATGTTTAAGGTTTTGTTCAGATGGTGGATGAAGTAAATGAGAAGAGAGTGTCGTCATGAGTAATGCGGCTGAAAAGTTAATTTTTTCTTCCTCTATATCTTGTCTTCTTCATATATCAAATTATTTTCTTCTTCATATATCAAATTACCAAAATACTTCTGATCATTCTTGCGTTTCTCAGTATTTCCATAGAAGAGAGATCAATAAACCTATACATACACTTTTTTTTGTTGAAATTCCAGCCCATTTCTTGATTCTATCAAATGGATTGTGATGAGCGCGGACAGGAAAAGCTCTACCGGGAATGATATGTGGGTTTGAAGATTGATGTAGAATCTCATAAGTTTAGGAAAATGAGATGAAGAAAAATGAGAAGGGTAGACATACCTTGACATTGATCCTTTATCTCCACATCTTGTTTTTGAGGTGGTAATAGAATTGATATGGCTTGTAAGATCAATTGCATAGCTAAATCATATCTTCCTTTCTTAGCGTAGACTTCTGCAAGTGATTCCATAGTTATACCTAAACCTCTTTTATCAACTCTACCATTATCTTCATCATCTAGAGGTGGATCAGGTAAGTTTATACCTCTACCGACTACCACCCTGTTTTTTTCTTCACCTGTGAGACCGAGATGTAACATTGCAGTGAGAGCTTTTTCGAGATAACGTTCCGCAGCTTCGTCCCAACTTTTTTCTCTTTCTTTACCTTTCAAACTTTTTTCTGTCGTCTCCTTTCTTTTCTGTTTCTCATTATCCTCCATCTTTGCAATACCACCCAAGGTAGACTCATCGGATGGATTTTGGTGGGTTTTGGCACGAGGACTATCTATTGTTGATTGTGTTTCCGAAGTAGTAGACGTAGCTATAGTCTCATCGTAAGAAGGATAAGGAGGTGGGAATCTAGAAGTGGAGATATGTAATGCCAGTTGACCAATCTTTTGAGCTAAACCAATAGCTCGTCGATGTTCTTCAAAAGCTACCGGTCCCCATTGTCCAGGAGCCATAGCGTAATCCGCTTCTAAAGCTCTCGGTCCACAGAGTAGGAAAGCTTCTCGAAGAGCGATGTAGGATTTAACGAGTTGACCGTCGGATTCGAGCATCGAGGAGAGAGTAACGTAGATTCCGGTTATTTTGAGTAAAGGGTTAGGTTCGAGGGATGAAGTTGGTAGGGAGAGGGCAGCGTCGATAGCTCTGATTGTTCAGTTGCGTATTCAGCAGTTTTGTATATCCATGATCCCTTTACATAGAAGGTTGGAACGTTAGGAGATGGACTGAGGAGAACGAAGGAGGAAAAAGATGGACGGGGTAAGAAAGAGGAAGAAGGAGATGACATACTTTTTGAAATATCTCTCGGCCAGCTCGATATCTCCACGATTACGAGCCTTCAGAGCAGCTTTGAGAGGTGTACGGACTGGCTCGGGCCAAGTGCTGAGAGAAAAGTAATATTCTAATCTGCCCATGAGTCACCAAACAATACCAACCTCTACACCATCGCTCCCCCCACGTCACGGGTGACTTGTGGAGTAAATGGGAGGCAATAGGCGATCATGCGAGACATGGAGTATGATAGAAGAGAGTAACGTGAAATGTGAGAAAACTCACAGTCCATAGATAGTAAGAAGCATTCCCAGACCTGCTAACCCTCCGAAAAGATACGAAACCTTCATTCTCACTCCTCTTCCCTCAGAAGAGGCCCAGGCCGCAGAAAAAGATCGACCATGCGCTGCCCGGAATGGACCTGTGGTAGAAGGGCAAAAACGGGGTAAGCGTGCGGATGTGCATGCCTTGGGTAGAATTGAGTTCCTTGTTGGTCGCAGAATTGAATTGATAGGTATTCTGGACATGATAAGATTGAGGGAATGTAGGTAGAACAGAGGAAGAAACGAAAATCCCAGTTGGATCTTCTGACTCGATCGTCTCTCTTCACTCTTCCTCCTCTCCTTCCTACATTCCTCTTTCATTTGAATCACCTCATATCAGAGGTCTGAACAGAGATATAGACACCACGTCAATATGGCATCTCTTTCAAGCTCCCCGTATATCTCTTCGTCTACCCTATCAGGCCCTTCCATCCCCCGGCCTCGTTCTGCGGTCCTTTCCTCACCTAGAGGATTCGACGTTGTTCAGGCGTACAACCGAGCATTGGAAGATGACCAAGTGAGTATGCTTATTGTATACAAATACAAACATTTTGACTTATAATAGATCCCTCATCCCATAGCTGCTATACTTGCTTTGGTCGAATTGATGGAAACTTCCACTGGTCAGTCTTAATCCGACGCCCAACCTCCCCATCCTTGATCTTCTCCAACAGCAATTTTGATAACTTGGGAACCTGTCTTCCAGAGGATCTCTCCATAAAAGTCAGACAATGATCCGTCTTTGACCCTATAAAGACGATCAACATGAAAGGAAGAACATAAAGTCAGTGCTTACTGTCAGCATCCACCATTTCAGGTCTTGCAACGGAGCTCATGCATGCTCGTCAAACGTTGATCGAAACTCAAGCCAGTTTGGGAGTCAGAGCAGGTTGTCAACTCTGGGAAAGGTTCTTCGCTCTTTCCGCGGGATCAGAGGTGATTCCTCTTTTTCATGTTCAAATGGGAAGAGGAGCTGATGGATGTAGGAATTCCCAGCTTACAAACGATCTTTAATCACCCAAGGGAGATCTTTCTGTTTGGTAACTGCTCCTCAATGTAGGGAAAAGATTGCCAATTTGGCTGTGGGGTTTATCAAAGATGATTGTACGGTAAGTGCTTCACTCTCTTTTCTACTAAAGCAACCCCTCTCTCTTTCCCTCCTCTTATTCCTATCATTTCTTTTATTGCTTGGGTGCTTTTCCTTTTACCTCACTTCAAAATCGTCTTTCGCTGTCGTCAATTACAGAAAGACTGGTAGATCATAGTGGTGGCTGGATAACTGACGAGAACAGATCTTGACACATTCGTATTCGAGACCCGTAGTTCAGACCATTTTGAGAGCACACAGGCAAAACAGACGTCTCAAAGTTTATGTGACAGGTATGTTCTTCCCTTTCATCTGCTCCTCTTCTCATAACATCATTATAGACTCTTGATCATCTTGTGATTCTGACAACCGTTTCGAAACCAGCTGGAATATCGGAACAGTATGAGACTCATGAGAATCCTGTCCGTTTGTGTGGCCAAGGTCACATCGCTGACAATGACAGAAGCACGGCCAGCTTGTACAGGGTAAGACTCCTTCATCAAGATCATTGATGTGCTTATTGACGTTAGACTACGCACTCACCAGATCCTCACTGCTGCAGGAGTCCCATGCACCGTAGTCTTGGATTCTGCAGTGGCTTACATCATGGAAAGGGTCGATATGGTCATGGTGGGTTCTGAAGCGGTAGTAGAGAGTGGAGTGAGTATTCGTCTTCTTTCTTGACTCTATTTTTTGTCAAATCTCCCTCTTCTTCTCCAAAGAACCAAATCAGTATCTCAGGATCACTCAAATATGATTGAGAGCAGCTCTCCCTATCTCACTCAAACATTACCGTCTACTTCTCCCGTGACACTTGCAACTATCTGCCGTCTTCGCTCTCAGAATAATCCTTCACATCTACCACATCTCTCTCGCGCCCCCCCCCCCCCCCCCACCCCACCCCGTTACACCTTTAAATCCAGACCTGTCTCTCTCTCTCTATCGGCCAACGAGGTGGTCAGTCAACGAGTATTGTTCATCATATCTTTGACATACCGTCAAAAAGTCTGAAACGAAACTCACAACTCACACCATAGGGTCTCGTGTCCGCCGTCGGTACCTACCAAATAGCTCTTGTCGCCAAATCGATGCAAAAACCTTTTTACGCTTTAGCCGAATCATATAAATTCCTACGTCATTACCCTCTATCTCAAACCGATCTGCCGATCCCTCGTCTAGCTTCGGCAGAAATCCAAACACCTCTTTCTTTCCCTTCTTCATTTTCTACCTCTCAACCCGTTCGTCCACATACACCCCTTTCGCAAGTATCTCCCATCAAACAAAGTCATCCGATATCAAATGAAGATCTCAGCACCAACGAAAGGAATGAATTCGATAAATCCGACACACAGAGGAAAGATGAGAAGAATGTATTGAGGATGTCAGAGGAAATGATCGCCATGAATCCAAAAGTGGACGTTACGACCCCTGATTTGATAGATTTTATCATTACGGATTTAGGAGCACCTTTGAGTCCGACTTCTGTCAGTCAATATCTCGTTGCGCAATTTTCATCTTGATCCCTTATTAGAGGGGGATAACGAGATTATGAGATTATGTTATGGGTTTTATCATATTTTGTGTGACATGCATATAGTTTTTCAAACTTCGTACGACCTGCGTGCGGATGTGGACTGCACATTTACTAGATATAGTATCTTCATTCTTTTTGTCAATTTGTCACTTTGTCACTCATACACTCATACACTCATGCACTCATAAGTCGTCCTCTTTTCTCATCTTCGAGATAAGCACTGAAAGTCAGCTTGTCCATTGTACCAGTCAAGAAATTATTCTAGCTCATAGAATTAAGTTTACTCGGGGAAAGAAAAAGGGTAAGAGAGGGATGGACGAGAATGATAATCGAAATGACTAACCCAATAGCAATCATCTGTTCACCATATTTACTCAAATACAATCTCAAAACACCTTTATCGGCATTAGGTAAAATATCTTGCATCTGTCCAACTTCTTCTTCCTTTTCCAAAGGTAAACTCAAAGTATTTTTAACTGGCATTGAACCTTTTCCTATCCTTCCACCATCAACACTTCTTCTTCCTCCTGTGATCCTACTTAAACCAGTATCTAAACTACCCCTTGGACCAGAAATGTTGATAATTGATTTATCCATATTTGGAGGAGGTGTGAAACTACCTCTTGGTCCTCTAGGTCCCATTGGAGTAGAAAAAGATCCAATCATACGTACTCCTCCCGTTGGAGAATCAGCAGATTTAGAATTGGATTTAGTGTTGGTGTTGGTGTTGGAATTTGTATTAGGAGCTGAAATTGGTAATCCTCTAATATCTTTTTTAGCTACACTACCTGTTGGTGGACCTAAAGAAGTTGATTCTTTTTTTCCTCCTCCTATTCTTATAGAAGATAAGAAACCACCTTTTTTATTATTAGTTTGAGAATTGTTTGAGCTTGAGTTTGCATTCACGTTTTGCATTGAGATAGAAGATTTGAGTGATGATTGATATTGATGTTGTAATTGTGGATATGGTAAATTTGCAGGTAGAGAAGTTGGATGATCATCAGGATCTATTAAACGTGCTGATATTTCACGAGCTGTTGTGGCATCTGCTCTCATTGGGAATTCAGATCCAGAGGAGATTTGACGAGGATGAGAATGAGAATAATCTTGTTCAGGAGATAAAAGTGAGGGATTACCAGTGGATATGGATCGAATACCGAGTGATGAATGTGTGGAAACTTTTGAAGGTTTTCGAATAGGATCGTGATGATGTGCTTGTGATACTGGATATCAATCATCATATAATTGCAACTGTCATGTACAGTATCATATCGAATCTTCTATTCCTCGTCTTGTTCCACAAAGAAGGGTTCACAATTCTCAAAAACTGCGTAAAAGGGTCATATGAACTAACACGAGGGGGGAGGGAGCAGGGGGCATGTCAGATTGATGAGATGCTTTACGATCACTCATAACAAGGTAAAACTCACAGGTTGCCCTACACCAAGCTTCCAATCCCGAATCAGCCATATTCAACTCATTGGTACCTCTGGCATACATGAGCGCTCGTTCACCAGCATCAGGTAAACATTTGATGAACGAAAACATCATGGCTCTTGGCCAAGGACGAGTTCTTTGAAATTCGGCGATTGAATCATCCAGAGGTACCCAAGGTGGGAGAGATTTTATATCTGATCCTAATCTCAGTCCTGAGGGAAATATAGATCTCCAAGCTAAGTCTGACGAGAAAGTCTGAACTTCTCTTCTAGGTGTTGAAGAAGCTGAAGCTTTTCCTGTGGCTATTGGAGGTGCCAGAGAATTTGAAGATGTATTGGATAACGAAGGTTTATCTTTCAAAGGTGGTAGTATAGTAGGTGGCGGTGTATCACGGGAATTGACAAGACCAATTGCGTCTATAGCACCACCCAACATTTCAGTGAGATCTTCTAATGTTTGACTTGATCGAAGTGGTGGAGAAGCTAATCTATCAGGTGATCGGGAAGGTCGTTGAGGACCATCTACGGTGCGTGAAGGGGAAGAAACTGGAGATGAAGCAGTGTTGATTATCGTTGGTATTTGTTGTGAAACTTTTTTAGGGATACCAGTTGGAACAGGATTAGGACTGGGATGATTTCTCCAAGTCAGCTATCATTCCATGTATAAGGGACAGCTTACTGAGGTCGGAGTGTACTTCGAGTAGGTATATCTGGACTTTTATTATCACCCAAACTACTTTTACTCCCTTCTCTACTTCTCGTAGTGGGACTTTCAACAGTCGTACCATTAGACGAAGGTCCTTCATATTTCCAAACTGTTTCCACCAAACTACTAGATGAAGAACTTGGTAAAGCAGCCAAAGTCGCTCTATATTTTCCTTTGACATTATCCTCTTCTCTTATATCATATGGGAATTCACCTTGCCAAGGAGGTGCACTCATTGGTATTTCATCTCTTCCTGTCACTTCCACCCTCATCTTTTCCGGATGTTCCGATTTCTGAACTTCCCTCTCCAAAGCATTTATGGAGCGTTTAGACACATCGGGCGGAGCGACAAAAGCCAGTCTGCCAGCATAATTTGTAGTTGGGGTGGTCGAAGTTCTTCTCGCATGAGTTGCACGAGTGGGTGTAATTTGTGTTGCATCTTCAGATCGATCGTGATAATCATTCCCATTTCCAGAAGGGTAATCCTTAGCAATAGCGTGATTCTGAGGATTGAAAACTGGTGCTAAAGGTGTTTTGAGTAAAGAATCTTGTCCTACGTCGTATTCCATAGGAACAGCAGTATATGTCGCACTAGACATTATACTTGAAACACTAGGATGACTTTCTAAATCTCCATAATCACTACTTTGATCTAACAACCATAATTTCTCACCACTTCCAAAGGTTTCTACTTCTTTACGATAATCCACAGAACGTTGACCATTCGTACTTTGAGTCGAACCGATAAAATCCATCATTTCAGATTTCAAATCCGTAGAATATTTGCTAGATTCTGATGTAGCTGATAACGGGCTGGGAATCTCTGTCGCTGGAGAAGGAAAACCGACTACATGTATGAGTCGATTAGATGGACCGGGATAAGATCCACTTCCATTTGACGTTAGAGGTGGTCGTGGTCTTGGCAATGGTTCGACGAGGGAAGTGGGAGAAGTAGGGGAAGAAGCTTGAGCGTATAGATCTTTGAGTGACATGTGTGATTTAGATCGAGAGGCAGAGGAAGTGAGAGATGATGATGATGAGGAAGGACCGTTGCCTGCTTCAGGTGAAAAGTAATAGTCTAATCCTGGAACGGAAGAAGGTCGACGTAAGAGGATGGGTCGATTTTGAGAGGCGGTAGAAGTCGTCGATATGGCTGAACATTAACGATCTGATCGAAATATGGTTCATAGCGAGTTAGATTGAGGGGATAGAGTAGGAAAAGGGTCAAAAGGTTGAAGGGAAGTCATCAGAATGGAAGGAAGGGCTGACCACTTGGAGAACGAGCCATGGATGGATCACCGACTGTCAAATGCCCTCCGACGGTGGGACGACCGAGGACGTTGATAGGAGCAGTCATTGTGAGGATCCTTTGACCTGACTGCCTGTGTATGTGCAGCAGAAGAGAGGTACAGTATGTCAATGTGACCGACACGAAGAAAGATTGGACGGTAAAGTTGGTCGAGGACGGAGCAAGGTCCAAGCGCCGCGCAGGGGAACTACTTGAATATACCATCACATGGTGTATGGTGCATCCACATACGACCACCAGAAGTATACCACCGACGATAGCCTGTACTTGGTTCCTAATCCTCCTCCATCATCACGTCCTCTTGAGACTCGTAGATCCTCTCACTTTCCTCGGCCATTCCAAAATCGACCCGAGTCCAATATGTAAAAGTCTTATACTCCTCCTTGACTTTATTCTCCTTCGTCTCTTCCGCCTCATCAGCCCGATAGGTGAACCTCACCTCGAAATCGGACTGTCCATCAGACACCCATCTCTTCAAGTTTGCAAGAGTAATCACTCACGACGATAGGACCCTTCGCTCCTGGCATGATCTCAAGCTCTATCGGCACTCTGCTGACATTGCCCCTCTTCTCCACCCCACTCTCCGCTTTTCGCTTGTCCCTCATACTTCCGCTTCCGAGCACGCTCAACCTCGATCGTTTGCTCAGACTGGGATCCCGAGATTCTTCACTACCGCCATCCATGGTGGAAGTTTCCAGACCGAAGGTAGGATCCTCTTCCTCTTCCTCGTCTTCATATGACCATGCATCTTTTAATGCGGACACGGTGAAATGTGGAGTAAGGATGTGAACTTGATGTGTCAATTCTGAGACTTTTTGTGGTTGTGTCAATCTGATCTGAATAGGATCATAGAGTGGGTTTGTGAATGCCATCTGAAAAAAGTACTATCCCATCAGTTTATTCAATCATCAGTCACCGGGAGACTTACCGTTTCACCAGGACTCAAAGGTAAACCCATTTCTTCCTCTTCTTCCCTCCCAAACCCTTTTATTCGTCTTCTCTCCCTTCTCCTCCTTTCCACCTCCTCCACAGTCCTCGCTACACCTTGTCCCGCTACTGGCCTTCGTCTACGTCTACCAACTTCCACCCTGGGCAAGTAATTCATCGCGACCATTTTGATCTTCATACGCGTGCTCTTCGTGTCGGGTTGTATCAGCAAATGACGGCAATTAGGTTCAGGACATCGTTTAGTGAGTTTGGTTAAGAGTTCCAATCTCTCAGGTAATTGGTCCACGGCAGCTGTCCCCATTTGCCAACTATGACTCCAGCGTCTCTCTAAATTTGCGAGACCCCCAGGACCGGCTTCAGAGAAGTTGCTTAACCGTTCCAGTTCGTGAATATGGTGAAGGTTGGCATCTTCCCAAGTCCCTTTTGAGGTGTATTCCCCTAAATCATCCCAGCCCGCTCGATCGGTCGAGGGTTCCGAACCGCCTGGAACTCGCCGTTTAGCGGTGGCAGCTGCGAGTCCCGGAATGTCTCGATGTAATGCCTTGGCGGCCATTTGAGTCAGGTGACTGATGTGTCGACTAGGTTGTCGAACGGGTGTTTTGGCAGGGACAGGAGCGGTGCTGGTGATGTATCCTTCAAGATGGTCTTTGAGAGCGTCGAATTCATTTTGTACATTTTCTGTTTGTGTACTCAATTTTTGCGCTTGCACTGATACAGTCAGCTTGATACACATCAAGGGCGAGATCTCATGGGACTCATACAACAAGTCACATATCTTGATTTATTTCCAGGGGAATGTGTTAGGTAGGATTTACAACGAGGGACAAGTCACATACATGACAGACCGGAGGGTTTCTCAAATTCCCATCCCACTTCTTTACTTGACCACTTACAACACGGGCAAATGAGGAAGTAGGGTGAAGTGGCAATCGGTCCCGTAGAAGAAGAAGGGTCTAGAGGAGCTTCGGTACCTTGAACAATGAGCATGGTGCTGCATTGCGGACAGGAGAAACACGAGCGAGCGCATCTGTCGATCAGTTTTGCACGTTCAATGTAGGGTATGGGACGCAGAGAAGACACATATTGAAGTGTTATCAAGGGTAGATGGTAGTAGAAGTAGATTAGATAGCTGACCGGTTCTTGTCACCTCTCACGTTGGCAGAAGGAACATCGAAATGACACCCTGGGCAGTAATACGAAGCGACCTCTACGGCGACGCACTGATCACATCGTACCGCGTCACATTCTTCGCAAAAGTACAGCGAGGTGAGAGGAGAGAAAGAGGCGTTGGAAGATGGATGAGAAGAAGAAAGAGGAGGACGTGGGAGTGAGAGATGTGAACAGTGATATAGCACCGACATACTGCACAGGAGAAGGAAGAGGGAAGGGTAACTAATGCCAAGTCACTTGTGATGGTCGAGTCTCACCTCTGCGGAGGGACGAAGTGGAGGGATGACTGCCACGTGGCGAGCCAAAAAAGTTGTCGACGTGTCACTCCCTCGAGGTCGCTTTTCTTCCACATTTTTCACTTTGCCGTTCTTCTACTCACCTCACAAGCCGCCTCTTCATTTTCTCGCAGGCGGTCCATTCAGTGACAGCAGATCTCCTCTTCCCGCCTGCTCCATTGAACGAGATAGACCGTCTCTCTTGTTGGCTATCCTCTAGTCCACCCTTCCATCCACCCGATCAAGATGCTAGACGACGCTTGGACATATACCCCGGAGGATGCATTGGCTTACTATGGGACTTCAGCGGAGAAGGGTTTATCAGACGAGCAAGTAGAACGGAATAGACAATTGTATGGAGAGAACAGTGAGCTTCCACTTTCCCCTCCCCATAATTCACTTAGCCTTCAACGCTGCTCAAGGAGAAGAATGTCATACTGAAGCTTAGCTCTACCCGAGACAGCACCCACCTCACTCTTCACACTCATCCTAGCCCAGTTCAAAGATCAACTCGTCCTTATTCTTCTCGGTTCAGCTGTAGTCTCTTTCGTCTTGGCCATATTCGAAGATTCCTCCGAACCTGGCGGATCATGGTTGACAGCTTTTGTGGAACCTTTGGTCATCCTGTTGATCCTGGTGGCCAACGCTACGGTAGGAGTAGTACAAGAAACCAATGCAGAGAAGGCTATCGACGTACGTATCGTCATCTCGCCTCATACTACTGGCTGACCCTAAAGGCATTGCGAGAATATTCTCCCGACGAAGCGGTTGTCCTTCGTAATGGACAAATGAGCCGTGTCCCCGCTTCCGCTTTGGTGCCAGGTGATATCATCTCCATTCATGTTGGCGATCGTATACCTGCAGACTGTCGAATTCTGTCTTTCTCCTCGTCTTCCTTCCGACTGGATCAAGCTATGCTCACTGGAGAATCCATGTCGGTACCTAAAACAGAACGAGCCATCTCCGACACATCTGCTGTGAAACAAGACATGCTCAATATGCTGTTCTCCGGAACCACCGTCGTCAACGGGGCTGCACGTGCAGTCGTAGTTTTGACTGGCTCTCGTACGGCTCTGGGTGCCATACACTCTTCCATCTCGGCCAAAGACGAAGAGGAAGAAAAGACGCCGTTGAAGAAAAAACTCGATGATTTTGGTGAACAATTGGCTATCGTCATCTCGGTAATCTGTGTCTTGGTCTGGCTCGTCAACATACGACATTTCTCCGATCCAAGTCATCATGGATGGCTCAAAGGTGCTATATACTACCTCAAAATAGCTGTAGCTCTGGCGGTCGCTGCTATCCCCGAGGGACTCGCTGCGGTGATCACTGCTTGTTTAGCACTGGGAACGAAAAAGATGGCTAAACGAGGAGCTATCGTCAGGAACCTCCCTTCAGTCGAGACACTCGGTTGTACCAACGTCATTTGTTCCGACAAAACCGGCACTTTGACCACCAACCAAATGTCGGTCGCTAGATTCCTCACCATCTCAGACAAGTCGGACCTAGCGGAATATATGGTGAAAGGAACGACTTTCTCTCCACATGGGGAAGTCACGACGTTGGACGGTCAACATGCCGAAAAGTCGACTGTCCGTACCACTCCTGTTGATCGAATGATCGAGATCTGCGCCGTTTGTAATGATGCCAAAGTCGCTTTCAACACTGAAACGGAATCGTACGCCAACGTTGGAGAACCTACAGAAGCTGCATTGAAGGTGCTGGTAGAGAAATTGGGGTCGGATTCTGATGCCTTCAACTCCACCCTCTCTTCCCTTCCACCACAAGGTAGAGCGACTGCAGTGAACGATTATTACGACTCTAAGATCCGAAGACTGTTGACATTCGAATTCACTCGAGACCGCAAATCCATGTCTGTTCTCACCTCCGACACTCGAACCGGTCGTGTTTCACTCCTCGTCAAAGGTGCTCCTGAATCGGTCATCGACCGATGCTCTCGCGTACTCTTACCTACTGGAGTGCAACCTCTTCGTCCCGCTCTTCGAAGCAAGCTTGCCGAAGCGCAATTACAATATGGTCAAAGAGGACTTCGAACTTTGGCTCTGGCTTATGTGGACGAACAAGACGGTGAAGTGTCACATTACAAAACCGACAGTTCGGAAGATTACGTCAAATTCGAAAAAGATTTAATCTTTGTGGGTTTAGTAGGAATGCTCGATCCACCAAGACCAGAAGTGAAAGAAGCCATTTCGAAATGTCGTACAGCCGGTATACGAACTATAGTCATTACTGGAGATAACAAAAACACCGCTGAAACTATATGTCGCGAGATTGGTATCTTCACTCCAAATGAAGATCTCACAGGGAAATCTTACACTGGAAGAGAACTCGATGCTCTATCACATGAAGAGAAATTGATAGCTGTTCAAACTGCCAGTTTATTCAGTCGGACAGAACCAAATCATAAATCTCAACTGGTAGATTTATTGCAATCTTTAGGATTGGTTGTTGCTATGACTGGAGATGGAGTTAATGATGCTCCCGCGTTGAAAAAAGCAGATATCGGAATAGCAATGGGATCAGGAACAGACGTCGCGAAATTAGCTGCGGACATGGTACTTGCCAATGATAATTTCGCCACTATCGAAAAAGCAGTAGAAGAAGGAAGGGCGATTTATAACAATACCAAACAATTTATAAGATATTTAATTTCTTCAAATATAGGAGAAGTCGTTTCTATATTTTTAACGGTTTTATTAGGTATGCCAGAAGCTCTCATACCTGTTCAACTTTTATGGGTGAATTTGATAACGGATGGATTGCCAGCGACTGCTTTAGGTTTCAATCCACCTGATCATCAAATCATGAAGACTCCACCGAGGGATGCTAGGGAGAGATTAGTTGGGGGTTGGTTGTTTTTCAGGTATATGGTTATTGGGATTTATGTTGGTATAGCAACTGTTGCTGGATATGCTTGGTGGTTTATGTTTTATGAAGATGGACCGAAAATAAGTTGGTATCAATTGGTGAGTTTGTCGATTTCACCTCTCATCAATTTTTATTCCTCCCTTCCCCCTTCCCTCTTTCCCCCCCTTCCTCCCTCCCCTCCACTTACACATCATGAACATCCTTTAAGTGGAATCTCTCGCTTTTCTCCACCCACACATTTACGTACAAGTAGGAACACCCACTTTGTATCCGAGCCATTTGCTCGTATCCCAAGATATTCCTATCGACTTTCACCTCTTCTTAATACTTTCCGATCCAAACCATATAACTCATGTGAGGCAAAATAGGAATCCCAAGTTGATCTCAGACTCATTTCCATCAATGTTCCCCATCAACAGGAATAGATTGTTCAATATTCTCATCCCTCCCTTCAAAACAAGCAACAACAATGTCACTATCAATCCTCGTAGTCATCGAAATGTTCAACGCTTGTAATTCTTTATCAGAAAACGAATCTTTGTTAGTGTTACCAATATGGACAAATCCATACTTGGTAGCTAGTATAATCCTAAGTATGGGATTACATTTCATGATACTTTACGTACCGTTTTTCTCTACTTTATTCCAGATCACCCCTTTAGGATGGACTGAATGGATGGCCGTTTTGTCTTTTTCTATACCGGTGATTGTCATAGATGAAGTTTTGAAATTGATTTCTACTTTATGTTTTACTCCTGTCAATAAGACATTTGTAAGTGATGGGATGATTGAGAAGAGGAAAGTGGTAGATGAGAAGATGAATGAAGGGAGAGAAAAGATTGACGGGTTGAAGAAGATGATTTAAGGTAGTTCTGGTGTGTTTAGATGGTGATATGGGAGAGGAAAAGATTGTGATTCGACTTTTGTTTGAGAATTAGAAAGATGCATTGCACATTACAGAACTACATATATCTTTCCCGACTTATTGCTCCTCTTCGCTCCTCTTCACTCCTCTTCCTCCTCTTCCTCCTCTTCCTCCTCTTCCTCCTCTTCCTCCTCTTCCTCCTCTTCCTCCTCTTCCTCCTCTTCCTCCTCTTCCTCCTCTTCCTCCTCTTCCTCCTCTTCCTCCTCTTCCTCCTCTTCTCTCTCTTACTACTTCTTGTTGGCCTTGCACCCTACCAACGATTCGGTCGAGACTCGACGACAATATCAGAACATTACATTGCTACATCACACATTCTACGGATAATCGTACTGTACAATAGATTAAACACAAGTACTCCATTCAACGCTTTTCAGGAATCTTCGAAGAGGGACACAAGTTCAAAGATGGAAAGGAGAGTAAAAGCATTACAGGAAACTTGTAGAACAAGTCAGATCTGAAAAAAGAGAAAGAAAAACAATCACATGATAACACATTTCGGTCCTTTCATTCGACGTTTAGGACGTTTATAATGATCTGATGATCTTATTTTCCTAACTATCTCTTCGAACACTAACCAAACATTTGTGTCCGTTCTCTGCTATATCAATTATAACTCCTCTCTCTCTCTCTCTTGCATCACACATCACCCCGACTATTTAAGATTGAGACCTCTCATCCTTGGCAATCCAATATCTTATCGGAATGAAGGTATACAATGTTGAGAGGCAATTATGGATAAAGACCTGGAGGGAAGCAGAAACGACTCACGGCGGAAGTTTCGAAATATTTAACACCCCAACGTTCAGCTAATTTCTCTCCTTCGGAAGTTTCTACTTCTCTTTCATCCCCCAAATCAGATTTATCTGCAACATAGTCAATTACAAGTCAACCCTGGGCATAAAGTACTGATGTAAAGCGATACAACGGGGTTTGGTGGATGAATTGATTTTGGGAAGAAAAACTCACTTCCTACGATCACTATGGGTATGTCAAATGTCGATTTAATGGAATAGATCGTATCTCTCAATTTGACGATTTCTCTGAATGTATCTCTTTGTGTTAATCTTGTCGTCAGCAAAGTTGCTGGAATGATATAACCGAGAAGGGAACGTGAGCGCGACGTTTCAACGAAGACGAAGTAGGTGAAGATAGGAAGGAGGGTGAAGGAGTCCAAGAGGGGAAAAGGTGGAAGAAGGTGAGGTAGGAAGTTGAGGAAGAAGATGGGGATGAAGGAAGAAGGAAAGAGGGCAAGGTTTCTAAGTGGGATGTAAGGGAGAACAAGAAGAGGGACTAACGAAAAAACTAATACGAAACCTTGTGATTCTCTTATGAATAAATCATTCAAAGTGAGATATTGTTCTATCCCCGCCGTGTCGAGTATCTCCAATAAACAAGCTTGTCCATCTACTGTGAATTGTTTTCTATCTTCTGTGTTATTTTTGGTGGTACTGAATACATAAGATGTGGCTTACATGAATCTTCAACTGAAAGTTAGCATATTCTCTTTTTCTAATCTCTGCTTTCCTTTTATCTCAATTCACTGTTCTGTCTTTCCCCTTCCCTCTCCTTCCACCCCTTCCCTTCCCTCTCTTACTGACCATCCAAAGTAGATGGTGTGGTGTGAGTAAGACATTCATAAAGGAAGCCGGGCTAATGTAACAGAGAAGCAACATGATAAGGTGGGTGAGAACTGAGAAATAAAATCAACTCACTAGTAGGATCATACCATTCCAAATAACTAGAATTTATAAATCTCACTTTTTATCAGTTCATAATCATATGACACAACATCTCACAAGACTCCAAGTATTATCTTGATCAAAAGGTAATCAACTCACCCGTCAAAGCTGACTTTCCAACACCTCCAGAACCCATGACGGCACATTGGAATAATCTCATTTTCGAATTCTCAACCTGTCCCTGTTTCTAGACCTTGAACTTTTCCTTCTTCCTATAGTCCCTGCAGTTTTGTCGCTGATCAGCCCTGGTAACAGATGGGAAAAGAGATACAGAGAGTTGTCAGAAAGTGAATGATTATCCTCTACCGTCACTTGGTGATGAAGATGTTTGAGCAAAGTTTTAAGTTGACGACGGTGATGATCCGTGCGTTGTCGCGTCGCGTCCTTGAATAAGGGTATGACAAGGTCCTTCCTTCCTTCCTAATCAGCCTGAGACCTGAGTGTGAAAGTGAGACACCCTCTGATTATGAGTCAGTATAGTGGAAGAGACTTTCTTAGCTTTCAGTAGAAGGATGACTAACGATTGGACCGAGTCCATTGTGATAGTCTCTTTTCTCGCAACATCAGGAGCAGCCTAGCAGCATGGCAGCATGGCAGACAAGCATGAAGATAGTGCCACACTTCACTGCCACTTTCACCATCGGATCCGAGCCGATTCCGATCCCCCCTCTGCCCTCGTGTCGGCCTCGTCGGTTCATGTTCGATCATCTTTTATGTATCCGCAATCACCCATGTCTTCTATCGTCCTCTCTTCTAACTCTTCTCCTTCGTACTGTCCCGCACCAAGTCCAAGCTTGTCAGAAGAGCACCTAGGTCATCAGCTGCCGCCGAGACATTACTCGACGTCAAGGTGGAAATGCTCGAATACCTCTCTTCACCTGATAAACCCTTCGGACCTTTCAATTTCATTCACGAATATAATCTCTCACATGCTAAAAACTTGACATTTACCAACTGGCCTTGTCTTTACGTTATACCTTTGATACCATTAGGAGTTCAGGCGTATTTGTTACAGTTTGAAAACACTCGGAGGTGGAGATTAGCTTTGGGTGCGTTGGGGTTGGGATTGATAGTGAAGGCTTGGTGTGACTATCGGTTTGTCGGTGAGTTCTTGTCAAATTAATTTATAATGCAAATCCACAGCTATTAAACACATCAAGTCACGGTATTTCTGTCCGTATCTGCTCTTTGCAACGTGAATTCAATTGACTCGAACTATCCTTACCTTAGACATCACACTCAGCGCTTTCAATCAAGGTATCACGGTCGGTGTTCTTCATCTGGCCGCGAAATACATCGAGTTTTCATTTTACCCAAATCCCATTTACGATCCTCGACTACCCTTGGGAAGATCTAGGATTCTGGCAGCTATTGACCTGTGCGTAAATTCCAGAGTCATCGATTTGAGTCGTATGGGTTTGGACAACTTTTCGCCTTCGAATACTTTTCAACCTTCAAACCCGTTGGAAAGTCTAGTCAGTGGATCCAATCACAAGAAACCTTTGGCACATGCATCTCTTCAAAACGCAGAGGACAATCAGTCGAGAAGCATCAAAAGTGAGCGCTCTGATGATGTGGCGGAACATCAAACCGCCGGGAAGACTCATTCTCATCCTCGTTATCTACCCACTCGTCCAGCTCATCGTCTCACCCGTTCTCAAGCGGTATGGCGACATGCACGTCTCGCCTTGTTTCAATACACCATTAATGATTTCCTCCTCACTCTCTTACAAGTCTACGGGAGCAATAGTATTGCCGACCCTCACGGATGCCCCAATGCCCTTTACAAATTCTCACACGAACACAAATTCCAAGTATTCCCGTACACCCCTTTCTCGTTCAACTCACCTGTTTGGTTGGTGGAATTGTCCATGGAGCTCAGTGTGGGATTAGCTGTCTATCTGGGGTTATCACAGGGATATCACTTCCTCGCCGCGTTGGCTGTGGGTTCAGGCATGTGGGAAACAGAAAGCTGGGAAGTGGACTTGTTTGATTCTCCTTGGAAAGCGGATAGTGTGTTGGATCTTTGGGGGAAGAGGTGGCATCAGGTTAGTCATTCTCCGTCTCTATCAATGCGTTCTCATTGTTGATGTTATAGTTGTTCAGAGTGAGCTCCTTTTCAACCCAAGTAATATCCTGAAGAGTCCCTGTGATACTCCACGAAGACGATAAAAGTTGATGTCTAATGAATAGCATCACTTTACCCTTCTTTCTTCACTCCTCTTACGATTCCTCAACTTACCTCAATCTTCCCCCCTATTCCTCCCTATATCAGTCATCACCATCTTTGCCGGTTCCGGTTCAATGCATGTCATCGGTGAATTGTCCTCTTACCCCGTCCCACCTCCCATACCGATTTTCAATTATTTCGTTCTGTCCGGTTTCGCCTGCTCCCTAGAAGTTTTATTCCGACGTGTGACGGGTCGAAAAGTGAGAGGATGGTGGGGGAGAGCATGGACATGGGCATTCATGTTATATACGAGTAGGAAAGTCATGATCGCATGGTTGGACGCAGGTATGGCTGGAGGTGTTTTGAATCAACCTGCATTGGGAAGTGTGATAGCTAAGGTCGTGGCTAAGTGGGTGGTCGTGGCTGTTCCTGTAGCATAGTAGAAGTACTTATCATTGTCCAACTCAATATCGTTTCCATCATATTTACATATCATCGTAGATCTCTTTGCATGTTCATATATACGAACAGTCCCGTTCATGCTCATGCATCACTCATACATGTCTGTGCCCTCTTGGTTATGTAATGACCTGACCTAGGGAGGGATAATTGCCAGGGTACGAGAGGTTGATAATGAACGGGGATTTTCGATAATTAGCCTCCGAGTTTTTGTGTATTTTCGGTAATCGTCAAGGGAGAAAGCCGCAGCCGTTATCGCAACTGAATTTCCTTCCCCTTCACCACTTATAATCCAGGCCACTTACCGGAGTACTTTACTATAGTACCTTCTCCCACGCCCCTTCGCTTAACTATATCCTTACCACTGCGCCTGATCATCCTCGTCTCATATCCTCTTTATATCACTGGAAAAATCATTTCTTTCCACCGGGAGCAACCAAACCCATCGGGAATCCCGCCCAACGGATGACCGAACCGTGACGACGTAGCGAAGCAACGTCTTTTTGTTCGGTGACCAACAACCATCCTTTCCTCTCTTTCGCCTACCCCCAACATAGCCTTCTGACCCCCTCTCCGTCTCCGTCAGTCGTGCCTTCTCGAGTAGTAGTGCCTATCAATATTCTTGGCAGATCCAGACCGAACGGCCACTGTATGACAAGCCCAGCCTCCAGGTGAATCGCCGACTTAGGGTCATCAACCGAGGTATTTTGGTTGTTACCATTTGTGAGGATAAAGATCTAAAAGAGGAAACTAAAGGGATATCTTCAGTCCGACTAGTTTCATCCGTCGACGCCACCATCTAGTCTATCCGTTCTCATCTCATCAAGCTCACTAGTTGAAACTCTCCTGGATATTCATTCGTTCGCTTCCTTAATAATTCTCTTTTCCGACTTGCTGACTCCTTTACAGATATCGAAATCTTTTCATTATCTCTCTCTACGGATCTACGCAACTACATCTTACAATTTCTATAAATTCCACTCGTCATCGGACAGGATAAATGATACAGATGAGATAATCAAAAACCCGTTCTCTACATTGGTTTGTCGATGCGTTTTGTAAAATGGACAAGATGACATCTCTTCAAGAAGAAATAACAAATGTAAATGTTATAACGGATCATGAATCTCTTCAATCGATATCTACATCTACACATTCAACAAATTCAACAATAACCAATCATTTACCATCATCTTCAACTTCACATTTAGATAGATCTGGTATAGGATCAACATCTAAACCTAAAAGATTAATCTTTTCAGCTGCTCCAACACCTAACAATACATATCTACCTTCTCCCATACCAGAAGATCAATCAAGAGATAAAGATTATTCAAATGAATCATTTACAGAAGAACTTTTATATTCCCCAGATGATTTTTCAATCTCACCTTCACAACCTAGTTTATCACCTTCACATCAACCTTCATCATATTCAGATCATACTTCAGCTCATTTACTTTCTTCCGATTATAATAGTTCTTTATCAAGTATACCAATATCTTCTAGACCTATACCTGCACCTCCTCTACCTCTAAACGAAACCAATGGGAACAGCGGGACGGACCTTCTTTCTACGCCTTCGACAGTAGGACCTAAACCGACGGAAGATCATCTTGAAGCTCAAACTTTGAGAAGTACAGTGAGGTTGAAACAGGAAGAAGTGGATGCTCATAGGTTAAGACAATTAGGTTATGATGCGGTTTTAGGAAGGGATTATACTTTTTGGAGTAGTTTGGCTATTTCTTGGTTGAATATTGGGTGTTTACAGGTGAGTCGGGGTTTCCTCCTCCTCCTCCTCCTCCTCCTCCTCCTCTTCTTCTTCTCTCTCTCTCCCCTAGGTTCTGGGTCCAATCCTCTTGACAACACGTCTGGAGACATACATATTCTCCGGTCCTCACGTCAAGCTCTTTTAACAATCTCCTTTCTTGTCGTCTATACGTCTCCACGTCTTCAGGTCTTCTTTTCTTCTCAATTATTCTCAAAAACGTTGTCAATGTTAAAGCTGCTTATTGTATGTGCTAACCTCACAGGGAACCATCTTTGCAGTTTCAGGAGCTTATAGTTACGGAGGTCCCTTGATGATTGTAAGTATCTCTTGTTTCTTCATCCTTTCCTTTCGACCAACCCTTGTGGTAAAAAGGGTTCTATAGATCTCGTGACATACGTTAGGTCGTTTCTAATGATCTTTCTATTGACCTCAGATAATCGCTTGGCCTCTGTCTGGAATACTATCCATGTGTCTCACTCTCACCCTCTCCGAACTCGCCTCAGCTTACCCGGTATCTGGCGCCATGGCAAGTTGGGCTTGGAAGTGCGCCCGGGGCGGAGTGGGTGGGGAGAGAGGGTGGGGTTGGTTGATGACTGGTTTTGTGCTCGGGGGACATGTGGGCAATGTGAGTTTTGGACGTGCATTGACTACTTCGCGATTGAAATCTATTCGAATAGTCTTAATTCCCCCATTCCTTCGCTCCCTCCATCTCTTCAGACGGCCTCACCACCCTACTTCTCCACTGGTATTGGTCTCATACCGCTCAAAAAACTTTCCGCTTAAGACCACACTTCCCTGCGAATTGCTGTCCTGGGGGGAAGGGTTTATGATTGATGATGGGGTTCATTTCGGAACAAGACGAGTCAGCGACAAGCCTAGACGAAATTGACCAATAGGTCCTGTTAGTTCTCTGGGAAGTAGCGGAAATCGTCACCGGTACAATGGGCCTTTCATTCGTCTATAATCCAAAAGACTGGCAACTTCTTCTATTCTTCCTCGTAAGTTCCCCACTTCTAGCATATATGAAGATGCTAATCGGTCAGGCGGCATTGGCGATATGTGGTACAATACAAGGAACGGGATGGGGGAGAAGCCATACTTTTTGGTTGGTATCTGGTGCTTATGGCTTTACGATGTGGGCCGTTTTAGTTATCACTTTGATTGTTGTCATTGCTTCTAGGTAAGTTTATTCATCTTGACCGTTAAGTCACTCACTATTTCAATGTTAATTTTCTTAAGTCAATTCTATCGCCCTCTGTCACACCTCCGGGCCCCTACATCTGACATCGATCAAGACTCATTGTCAAATCCTGACACCTTGTCTCGAGTTCCGGTCCCAGTGACGGGCTCGGAAGTTAGACACATAGTCATATGACCACGACTGGAGTGAAATAACTAACTCACAGGCCATCTCATGCCAGCTTCCGTCACATGTACTTCAACGACACTGGCTTCTCCTCTAAAGCGTATGTTTATCTCCTCGGATGGACATATACGACAATTGCCAGTGGAGCGGTGAGTCTTTTTGTCTAGCTCGTCAATGATGTCGATGCTGATGTTCAGGATGCGTCAGCTCAGTGGGTTGTACGGTTTCATAATGAGGACCAGAGCTGAACAGACAGTATGGCGGAGGAAACGAAAAATCCAGCAAGGAACGTACCGAATGCCATGTCGGCCGCGATGGCTTTGACTTATGTTTTGGGGTATATCGTGGGTTCCTCCTTTCTTATAAGTCATACTCGCCTCTTGTCCCCATCTTTCGCTGCATGCTGCTCTTGCTACTTCGGCCTGCTGTCGCTTCTACGAGCCTTCTTATCAGTCAAGACTGTGACACGTTATATGAGGTCCAACCCTTCTAATTTGTGCCTTTGTGTAATGACTTGTCTCTCCACCCAGTATTCTCGGTATATTGACATTTCTACATCTGAGAGAAGCTGTCCCGGCCAGAAGAACTTGACTGACCCCAGTCCATTGTTCTTCTCCTACTAGCCATAGACCCTAAAGACGGGAATGCTGTCCACAACCATCCCTTCGCCTTCGGTTACGTCCTCGAACAAGCTGTCAATAGACAAGCCGCCATCTCCCTGTGTTGTCTTTTGATAGTCGCTCTTCTACTTCAGATCATGGCTCAACTACAAGCGTCATCACGCTTCGTCTTCGCCCTAGCAAGAGACAACGCGTTACCCTTTTCGGAAGCTATCAGAAGGACGAATTCTGCTAAGCAACCTGTCATAGCTAATTGGGTGGTGGTTGGATTATGTGCACCATTCGCGTGTTTGTTGATTGGGTCACATAACACTTTGTATAGCGTTGTGGCTGTCGCTTCGAGTACTTTAAGTTATGTGGGATATGTAAGTGACCAGCTCTCCATCCTCACTCTCCCTACATCTACAGATTCTCTTCCCCACACCAACTTCTTGCGTTGTCAAGACACACGTAACCTTTGTCACCTATCTCTCCCTCGTCCAATCACGGTATAAGGCAATATCCGTTCGGATCGGAAGGAGATGGTCAATTTCTCGAATGAAAACATAGCTGACCAGTTAGACCGTCCCCGTCATTCTTTACCTCCTCTCTCGTCTAGATCTCCAACAGGAAGGTCGTACCTCTTGGTCATTACGAGGTCTCAGGTGAGTTTCAAGACTCTATTGGTCGATCCATAGCTCACTATCTAGTAAACCCGTTGCTGTCGTCGGAGTCTTGTTCGGTCTGGCCGTGGTTGTCGTTCAAGCTCTACCGGGATCAAAGCCAATAACGGCAGATTCGATCAGTTGGAGTCCGGTGATTTTCGTGGGGACTTTGTTGATCTGTTTTTTGACGTGGAGGTTTTATGGTGAGACCAACACACTTTTTCTCGTACCTTCTTCTTTCTTCTTGTACCTTCTTCTTTATCCTCGATCTTGTGATTCTACCTCACAATCACTCTTGGCACCTCACCCTTTGGTTGTTTTCCTCGGGTCACCACTGTCTTCGTTCATGTTGCTATGCCTAAGGTCACACGAGACATGGAGGATACACAATTTTGGTCATCTTCAGTGTTCCTTTCTTGAAGTATTAGCAGTAGCAGCACACTGTCACACACTTGATGCTGGTCTCGGCTTTCAAGCTTCGCGTGGCGGATGCTAATCTCCAGGCGACAAACATTACTCCGGTCCAATTCGCGCCCTTACTAAATGGCAAACCGGTGTAGAGCTCGATCTCCAATCAACACTCGCTTCTCGATCCCGAACTTCCAAACCATCCGAACCGACTCAACCATCAGCCACATCCGAGAGTCGTTTCTGTGAAGGAGAAACTCCTGATGCAGCGATGAAATACCCTATTCAAGGTTACTTCCCAGAACACGTCCCGACAGTTATCGTTGAACCTGCCAGAACATTGGAAGATCATTCTTTCGGTACTGGTACTGAATGGACGGATGCGAGTATGACGGATCTTGAAGAGGATGGTGAGGTCAGTAGAGGTACTGTGACGAGTGGAGGTGGGAGAAGATCTACAATTGTACGTTGGACCAGTATGAGCGTCATGCCTAGTGTATCGGAGGGATAAGCTGGGAGGGATTGAGGATAGAAAAAAAGAGAAAGAAAGAAAAAGTTGTACTGTAGTATCTGATATATATATCAATTGGGATTTGGTTTGTTTGGTATATTTGATAACATCATTTTCTTTCAATATGGATTTGAGATAAAGATGAGATATGCATTATGTACTCTGCTCATTCTAAAGTATTCATCGTACAGTCGTACAGTCGTTTCAAGTCGTTTCTAAGCTTCAAGCTCTCAAAGTCTGTACATTATTCGAGGGTTGACAATTGATGATAGAGTAGTTGTTGGAATCACATCGTGCCTGACTTTCTTTCCACATCAAGGGTGATCAAAGCAAATGTCAAAACACTTTCGATCTTCTCCTTTTCATAACTTTTATCACCTCGACTCTATCTACTGATAAAGATCACATGAAGCGGTTGAAACTATCAGTGGATTAGTAGGTCATAAAGGGGAAGAAATGACAGAAAAACATTCACGTTTGGTGGTGGTACGTTTTCTCCTTTGTTCTGACCTGTTTCCTCAGTCAATACACAGTACACAGGTAGGTGAACATGTGAGCATATGACGAAAGTAGTTGTACGGTGTTGATATTCTATATCCTGATGAGATGTCGGGTCGAAAATGGTGGAGGAGTAAGATGAGAATGACTGATTCATGATAGATCGGCACAGTAGGTTTTTATATGATCTCTGCTATTTCCATGACGTTGTTGAATAAGAGTGAGATTTTCTTCTTCTTCGTGTTCATCCTCCGACTCCCCCTTCTCTCGGACGAACTTCCATTATTGTCAATCCTCCACTAAGGTTCACTTATACACTGTTCACTGTTCACTGGTTGATGGTTGATGAAATGACACTACTCATAATCTATTCACTCTTCTCAGATGATCTAATTTCAGATTGTATATGTGAAGTTAGCTGATATCAGCCGTATTGAGCTCGACTCCTTTACCTGTGGTACTTCTTCTGTGTCAATCTATTGTAGCTGTATGTTTATTAGAATTGGGAAATCGTTTAGGACCTCATCAAACCCCCAAGTTTGTATCCTATTCCTTCAACTTTTTCCTTCCCTTCTTCCTCCCTTTCCCCCCGAATCCCATGCTGCTCTTCTGATCATGACGGATCGATTCTGCTTTGGCTTTGTCCATCTTCTTCTTCATGATATCGTATCTATAGTGACTCTCGATAGTATTCATACAATACGAAACTTATATAATAGATTCGACCTTAAAGTCGCTCGTGATCTTGTCCCATTATGTCTAGTCAGTGTTCTCGGACTGATGTAAGTTTTCTCTTCTTTATCCATCTTACATCGCTAAATAGGTAGTTTCAATAATTATTGTTTACAATATGTCAGTATTTTAAAAACGAATATTTGAACGTTAATGGGAGACTAAAGATTTAGGTGGACGCTTCTTTTCATCAAGTGGCTAGAGGATTAGTTTTACCATTCACAATCCTCGTCACTGTGATTTTCCTCCGTGTGAGTTCATTTTCATCCTCGTCACCCTCAGGTTCTTCTTACAAATCTTCAATGAATGGTTATGTGATGCATGCCTGTATCCTCATATTTTCATTCTACACGCGATGAGGTTTCATCATTGGTTAAGGAAATGAAGGCAGATACTCTCATCTGGTGCAGATCAAGGGATCTATCATGTTTCAATGAGATTGAGAAGTAGTATGTCGATATTAACCCATAGCAATACCCCACATCTCTCACCTCGATCGCAGCTTTTATAGTCACCTCAGGTTTCTTCGCAGGAGTAATATTCGATCCTAATCATTCTTCTTCTACAATATCATCAACATCAACCAATTCTCATACTTCTTCTCTCGGTGTTATATTCGGTATCATGTCTAGCGTTTCTTCAGCTTGTCATGCAGTATTGATCAAACGAGGATTAGTGAGTATCTCTTCATTTTTTCTTTTATATTCCTATCATATATCTTCCATCCCCCCCCCCCCCCCCACACCGTATATTCACTTCATACAAGAGTGATTCAAGTATATATCAAAGATTATATGTTAAATGATACGTAGACAACAGTACAAGGTTCTCCAATATCTTTATCATATTACAATAATTTAATCTCCACTTTAATACTTATCCCTCTTATCCCACTTTCAGGAGAGATGAACGGTTTATCGAAATTACTTTCTGGTCAAGGGACTAAAACTTTTATATTCGGTGTGGGAATCACAGGTGTTTTTGGTTTCTTCATTTCTTTAGCTTCTTTTTTATCTATAAAAGTTACTTCTCCTGTGACACATAGTGAGTCTCTATTTCCCCCACAGAATGGTTCTACCCCTAATAGAAAATATGTTAGTATTGGTACATAAGGAGTAAAATGGAATATTACTTACACTCAGTGATCTCCTCCGCTTCTAGAGGTGTTCTTCAAACTATACTCGCCGTCTGGCTTTTTGGCGACGTAATGTCACAAGGTAGAATATTAGGTATAATATTGATCATATCTGGTTCTGTCTTATACGTCTATGCGAAAGAACGAAACACTGAAACTACTTTCGAACCGCCAGAAAGAATGGAAGGGATGTTGGAAGATGGTAAGACTGGGTCGGAGAGGGTTTGAATTAATTTAAATTTGTATCTTCCATCTATGTAGAAGCATCGTGTTCTGAGCTCATCCTTCATCACTGACTCGTTACAATGAGGAGTGTCACTCAACATTTGAAAGGATGAACATACAAGTACTTACCTGGCTGAGGAGACTGATTACCTGTTCGTGGGCGTGGGAAAATAAGGAAATCAGACAATGATTGCGGTCATTGCGTGTATTCTGCAACATGCAACAGAATTTAACATGCTCCACTAAGTATTCGTAACTGAATTCCATCCCATTCCGCCACCTTGTCCAAATTGAATTTATTCAAATCAACACCCAAGAAACAAGAATTATGGCTCGTACTTTGGTAGATACACACCATCTGTTTTTCCATTTACACCTCTATCAACATTTCTCCCTCTATCCTCCATCCTCAGTGTATCCCCTGATACATCTCCACCTGCTCCAACATCATCCACCCCCGTAGCGGATGTTATGGATCCTGTTGACTCTGACGAATATCGATTGGATTCGGAAACCACTTGAGAAACTTCTTCTCCCCCTTGCTGACGTCCTCGCCCATTCTGCGAGGCTGCCGCTTGCTGTGCCTCTTCTCCCTCTTCCGTATCATCCTCTTCCATCGGTGGGGCAGAGGGAACGACCCCCTCCTCAACTTCCAACAATGGTGGGGCGGACGCTATGACCAAAGGCGCGAGAATAGGAGGAGCAGAAGGTAGGGGATGTTCGTGACTTCCCAAACCCACATCTGACGTTTCCAACACTTTTGGAGTGATCCGTAGGGGAGGTGGAGGAACACCTTCATATTTTTCTTCTCCACTCACAATTCGCCGTCGTCCCTCGACAACAGTCCCGAGATTATCTCCATGACCCATCTCCATGTGACCTTCACGATCTACACGTTCAAATCCCTCTTCGTCAACCTCCAAACCAGGTGCAGAAGGACCCGCTCCTTCCGTCTCACTGCTCGAATCACGCAAAGGAGGAGCTGAACCACCTAAACGGAGACGTTCCAATTCCGTCTTGTCGTCCGTCGCTATATGTACAACTGTCCTATTACCCTCTTCTACATCGAGATTGGGAAGAGGCAAACGACGTTTCCCATCTGCGGTCGATACCACAGCTAAAGCCATTTCGGATTCCGCAGTTGTGGGAGCTGGGTAATAACCAGGTACGGAAGTTTTATCCATGACTGCCCCACTGACAACGTCTGTGGCAGTTTGTTGATTGGACGAAGAATGAGGTGGGGGACCACTTTGTACAGATGCTGGTCGATAAGCTGGGAGAAAGAAAGGATGGTCTGGTTCGATAGGATGACCTTCTGGTACATTCTCCGGTTCTACTCCGCCGGAAAGATGAGGTGATGGTGATGTTGAATCATTCAACTGTGGTTCTTCAGCGGATGGTACATTAGACGTTTGGTCCAAATCTTGAACGACAACTTCGTTCACACCTTCAACAGGTTTATCCTCCTCTACCACTCCCATTCCCTCGGACGTCTGTTTCCCTTTTCTCTTTCGCAAACCTGCACGCCATCCTCGTATCTTTGTCCGAACTAAATAACTCCCTCCCTGTCTGTTTTGCCTAGTCTTATGGTGATTCTCCAATTCGGCCAATTTGTCCCTCAAAGCAGTTTCGGCGACGTTGGCGGTAGTATCGTCTGGGTTAATCCCTGCCGCCACCAAAGTTTTCCGTCTCAAACGCTCCGCTCGACGTTTCCGTTTACGATGAGCTTTTCGACGAGACCATGTTATGCTATACTGTCAGCTATGTACAGGAGTAACTACAAGGAGCTCACAAGATGATAGCTGCTGTTATGGCAACAGCTAATATAACACTTGACACAACAATGAGAGGAACTTTGTAAAAGCTCGATCGATTGGACGATACTCCCCAACCACTAGGAAGAGCTTGTTCAATGACGAAAGTAGCGGTGGTCATTCCACTCGTAGTGGTTTTAGTGACTTCCGCTGCTGTGCTGATATCGCCATTATTTGCTAGATCTTCGTTTTGTTGCACCTTGAGATCAGCGTCGAACACGTTTCGGTAGCATTCCGAGAAATATCACGACATGACCATATTCCCATTTCATTTCACAAGCTTCGGATATACCATGAGAAGATACCCCGTAATTCATTTCGGGATGAGATACACGGAGAAATTGATTCGAAGGAGGGTATTCGTGGGAAATCCAAAGTGTGATGCCAAAGGAGTTGACGAAGGTATCAAGAGTCTCAAGATCACCCTCTTGAAAGAAGGGTGGATTTTGACATGATCGTACAAAAACGAAAAGGTCAGGTCATTGAGAAGATATATGAGAATGAAACGATCGGAATACAAAACTTACACCTGGAAATCTTCCATACATCTTCCAACCATGTTCAACCTTTATCCAAGATCCATCTTCTATCTGAGTGAGCAAATAAGGTAGACTCGTTTCATCCACCATACTCGTCGTAGTGGGTAAATTCATGGGTGTGGTAGAACTTGTTACATGGTTTTGAAGTAAGATAAGTCCTGTCGTAGGTAAAGAAGTGGATGATGATTCTTCGTGTCGAATTTGAGTAGGTGGGGGTAAAGCCGATGACATTGGTAAGAATGATAAAAATGATAATCCTATCTTTCCATCTCTCAACCGACCTCTTCTTCTTCCCTTCTTCATCTGTTTGATCGGAGGAGAAGGAAGGTTGAAAGATGAAGATTTGGAAGAAGTTGGAGAAGATGGAGCTACGTGTCGTTCCAGATCGTCGATGGTGATCCTAGATGGACCACTCTCAGCTTCTCCTTGGTATCTCGCTTCGCTATCTTCATCCATCCTATCATTCCCTATAACTACTCGTAATCTTCTTTTCGACATTGCATCTGTGTTTATGGATGGTGATGATGTGTTGAGAGAAAGAAGATTGGAAATGAGGGTGGGAAGGGATTTGAGGTATTTTTAGACGGTATCCGTAGTCGGAGAGTAACCCTAAAGGGCGAGAATCAAGACACCTTGTTTAGTCTGATGGGAAGATATATGTAGATGAGATATTTTGGGGTAAGAAACGAACGAGAATAATTGATGTGATGCTATGAAGAGAGAGAGGAATGAGAGAAGGAGAAGGAAGGAAGGCAAAGATGCAAGCAAGGGCAAGGGAGGGAAAGGGGGGAAAGGGAAAAACGTCGGTAAGTTCGGTGGCAACGCGTCTATGTATTTATTTATGAACCTCTGGTTTTCACTCGAACAGGTAATGTGTACAAGTGAGGGTCTCAAAGGGGGTTTGACATGTTCTTGTACCACTTCAAGTAGAGAGGAAGAAGGATAGAAGACGTGAGAATGAATCAAGTGGAGAGACAAGGAGAAGAAAGGATATGGACGGAGTACGGGCTGGGTGAGATGTCAGTAGTCGTAATCCCGTTTGTAGTTAGTCGCACTTTTGTGTCGGAATACCTCACTTTTCAATTTCACTCTTGCCAAAAATACATTTCAATCATTTTCATCACTCCTACTTAATACCTCGGCACCGAAGATTACTACACCGTAATGATATTTCTACTTGATAGATCATGGATCATGGAGCTGCTTTATCCCAAATGGACTTGCCAAAATGACGGAAATACCTCTCCTTTCCAACTTGGGCTATACGATCCACCTGATCATCACTGAGGGGCGGCCAGATCGTGAACGCCTCCAATTGCTCTTTTTGTCTTTGAACTTTCGTAGATGTGCTATGGCGTCAACGACCGGACACTCATGAAACAAATCACATCTAGAGACAATCTTTCTTTGCGACAGAAGGATCTTCTCTCGGAGGGCGTTGAAGTTTTTGTGTGAAAAGGAGTGGATTCACTCACGTTACGCTGATCCCTCCTGAATACTGCTCAGACCATTTGAGTAACACCTGACCCGTCGTCATCCCTGTCTCTTTCGCCATTCCCTCTATCACGTTCTCGAGAGGAGGACCAGTAGCTCTAGTGAGAGGAGCTAAAGAACCATAAGCCATGATAAGGATTTCATGCTTATCGCATATGGTTTTCATGCGGATCATGTTGGCTGGGTGAGCGTTGTAAGGGTGATACTCTAACTGAATCTATCAGCCATTGTCCGAACCATGCAGATAATAAAGACCCATTGTCAATGTAGATCAAAGCAGAGATTAAAGTTAGAGGGAGAAGGAATGTGGGTAAAAGACTCACTTGGTTCACTGCAGGTGGAAATTCCCAAGTGGTTTCGAAAGCGAGGAAATCTTCTTCCCTGTAATTGCTTACCCCTATAGAACGGGCCAGACCTTCTTTCTTGAGATCTTCCATCATTTTCCAACATTCAGATTGGGTACGTCCATTGACTGTAGCATGCTACGACCGATTTCAGTTCAAAATCCCACGGTCACAGAAAATGAAACTCACGAGAGGGGTATGTATCAGATCTGCGATTATTAGTTCGTTCGATACATTGTCTCCATATCAATCATCATAACGTAAAAAACAAAGGATAGTAAGTCCCAGTGGCCAGTGGGTGGATGGAATCAGGTATGAAATAACAACTCACACAAGTCCACATAATCAAGTCCCATTTGTTCCAACAACTTTAGCAAAGTCTCCCTAGGGTCATTATCACCTGAGAGATCGACAAGACCCCCTGAGAATCAGCCAAACCATCTTCCTCCCTGACTGAAATCAGTGCAATGATGACCTTTCTAGTGAGTCTCTTCCGGGAGATACTGTATGATCCCAGACGTCCACTTCGTAAGAGAATACAAGACGAGTGTTCAGAGAGGATCATTAGAGTATTTTGAACTTACATTTGGTCAAAATGAAAACATCTTCTCTTTTCCCTCCCCATTCAGCCAAAGCATCTTTGACACTAGAACAGTTCTTATACATCTCTGCAGTATCGATATATCGATAACCCGTGTTGAGGGCGGAGACGATTTGAGCCGAACATTCTTGTCGGGAATTTGCGGTTCCTAAATATCAATCTATAAAGTAAAGTCCTTCAGTCTCCTACCCTATTTGATAATTGATATCCCCAGTATCTCGCTTCTCCTATGATGAAGGGGAATATCAAGCTTTGATGGGGAGAATAGAAGAAAGTGGAGGAAGTAAATTAGGGGTACATAGTAGTAGTAGTGATGGATGGGAAAAGTAAAGGTACCAACCTATACCATATCCCACAATGGGTATTTCATTCCCATCATTCAACTTTTTGGTAAGTATAGACATTTCCAACTACGGTTCCACAATTCTAAAGGAAATCATAAACAGTAAGAGTTAAGAATATCATGATCAATCACTCTATATAATGTTTCCTTTGACAGAGATAGACATATCCGCCGAGAAGCGATTGAGTACAGTTGCAATGGTCGGCCGGTCGAGTCGGACCGTAAACCTTTAAACCTTTGAATCGTCATCGTCGGCGGAGTTAATAAACCGATTTTCCAACTTTGTTCCATCGACTTCTTTCTTTCTGTTTGAACATCCTTTGAAATCCTGTCAAATGGTCTTGTCTCCCACCCTCTGCGTACGATGACGTGGGGTAGGTACGAGAGCACAGTTTGGAGGTAAATAGTCCAGAGGCCTGACAGCTCAGAGGATCAGAGCCAAGAAAGATGACACTTATTTCTCACGTCTCCTTTTAACGTGACAAATATGCGTTCACACGGCGCGGAGCTGGTACGCAGATCAGATCTAGTATAACCCCTCTCTCCTATATCTTTCTGCTTATTTCCATCTTTTCCCCCACTCGGTCAAGGCCAATCGACTAGAGAATCATTGGACATCCCTCACGCACTCTCATCTTCCTCATCTTCTTTCAAAATGCCCCAAATCAATAGCGATACGCCAGACCCCGATATACAAGTGGTAGTGCAGGAGATGTCCCATACTGCCCACGATATAGCCGCCTTGACGGATTCCGAAATGAATCGTACTCAACAACCTCCGGATCCGACAGATACCACAATCCCTCTTGCCTCGTCTCGTATGTTCCTGTCGCTCTTTGCTCCAAACGTATCACATGAAATGTGGAATCACGCTGATCACACCTTGCAAGAGTTTGTAAGTGTTGGAGCTTGGACAGGATCTAGACTCCCTGCCCTGTGTCAAGCCAATGAAGTGATGGAACAAATTCACACAAAGGCAACTGAGTTGATCTCAATAACTGAAAGGGATTTATCATCACATGTTGGACAATCTTATCAAGGCCTCGACATTGGTCCTCTCTCCTGTGAAGAAGGTTACGTCGGTGTATGTACGGTGGGCAACCACCTATACCGCTTGATATACGTGATTGGAGAAGGAGATGAGTTACCTAGATGTACGGTGTCAGTTCAAACTATTTCCAATCGGGAAGAGATCTACTCACAAGTACGCACAGGAGATATAAAACTGTATCTGCACACTTGGTTGAGTGACAGTGGCCGTGAAGTGGAATATCAGAGGGAACATACAATACAGGACTTGGTCGTGAAAAGAGGGGAGCTCTCCTATCAGGCTCGTATCACAGAAAACAGGTTGAGAATTCGCGACTACACAGTTGGTACGCGCTGTCTGAAAATAACAGATCAAGCACAGTCAGGTCGTATTGTCAAGATATGGAAAAAGAGCCTTGGAAGATACTCTCATGAGGCTGTCTGGTTCAGAACGCAACTTGGAGAAGTGAGAACGTTTGGCTGAGTCATCCCTTGAGCCCACCATAATTCCCACTGGTATACTCAGTCGATTGAACCCACTAGGTTCATTGGTAGTGATGACCGTTAGATACAGATGTCAGACATGAAAGTGATGGGTCGGGCCAAGCGCGACATCCATCTTTTCTGATTGGTGAGGAGCATCATACTAACAAGAGTCATGTCTATCAGGAGGTACCAGCAATTTTCCATACAAATCACACGCATCTCGGTCATACCAATTTCACTTCCATCCGCAGTCATGTAGAATTCTCTTATGACGTATTCCGTATCGATCTCTTCTATCACTTTTATCACTCACTTTCTTCATGGTACAGCCTCCCAAACAGGTCTCATAAAGTGACGGAAGACTCTTCCTTCCCCAGCGTTAGCAATCGTCTGTACTTGTTCCTCGGTAAGAGGGGGTAGGATGAACGCTTCGAGTTGTTCGTTCTGTCTCTGAGGATTGGTCGAAGTGCTATGACGTTAGCGCAATTCAAAGATAAATCGCACGTTGGTTCCGATGACTAAGTAGGTCGGTTTCTCGAGCACGATAATTGACTTTGAGAAGTATATCACTCACGTAACACTGACACCGCCAGAAGATTGAAATGCCCATTTCAATAACACTTGACCCGGGGTCAAGCTTGTTTCCGAAGCTATACCATTGACCACATCTTCCAGAGGGGGTCCGGTTCCACGGGTCAGAGGAGCCAGTCCACCGTAGGCCATAATGGTGATCTTATGTTTATCGCAGATTTCTTTGAGAGCTTTCATCCTGGGTTCATGTGCGACATACGGATGATATTCGATCTATTGTCAATTTTATTTCCTACTTCTAACATCTATGTTCTCGTTCTCTTCTCACATCCTCTTATCATAAAGTATAAGTCCGTATCACTAGTACTAAAATTGATACGAAATCGATAGGATGTCAAGTGAAGGAGTACGACATGGCTTGTTTAAAAAAAGCTCACCTGATTGGTAGCTGGTGGAATAGTCCAATTCGATTCCATCTCTTTGATATCTTCCGGACGATAGTTACTCACACCGATCGACTTGGTGAGACCTTCTTTCTGAAGTTCTTCCATCAACTTCCAGGTTTCACCCAAGGTACGACCGTTAGCTTGACCATACTATCATTCAGCTTCTCCTCTCGGTCAGTCGTGCAAAACTTACGAATGGTGAATGAATCAAGTCTAAGATCATGTCAGTTTTGTTGATTGCTCAAAAGGATAGGGTGTACTCACACATATCAACATAATCTAAACCCATGTCTTTGAGTTGAGATGTGAGAACGCCACGAGGGTCGTTGGTTCCATCATCGGCTCCGACTAAATGTCAACTCTGATCTTCTTTACGATTTCAGACATTTGAAACCTCTGAGATGGACGAGTCATCTGGTTATTGCTTATAGAATCCTGATAAGGAGATAAAGAGTCTTGACGGAAAGAATAGGGCAGATAGCGACATAACGAAGGAGCGATCAGGAGAGGGGTGACAATTTAGAATTCCGAAGTGAGACTCACACTTGGTCAAAATATACACATCTTCCCTTTTCCCACCCCATTCCTCAAGAGCATCCTTGATACTAGCGGAATTACCGTACATTTCCGCAGCATCAAGGTACCTATATCCTGTCTTGAGGGCAGAGACGATCTGCTCGGTACATTCTTTACGATAGTTTACGGTTCCTACGAGTCAGCATAACCTTCAATGTCCATGATACATGCCAATAACCCTGCCGAGTACCTCACCGCTACACGAGCTATGAAGATTGTTTTTCAGCCAGTTTGAATTGATTGAATATGAAGTCAGGATAACAATCAAGTGAAAGAGTATGGTGGAATGGAGAAGGTACTGACCGATTCCATACCCCACAACAGGGATCGAAGTTCCGTCGTTAAGCGTTTTCGTAGGTATCGACATTTTCATCAAGACTTGCAAGTTTGACAATAAGCCGTCGGGGAGAGCAAGATCTGACGACAAAGTTTAGAGGAAGACTACTACCAATGTTTCCTCCTAGATTACTCTTACTACTATGAGTAAGCCTCAGGAGAGGGAAGTGGAGGTGATCCAGGCACAAGAACGCTGGCGCCGGCTACGCGGTGTTATGGTATGACACCTTCTCGATTATTCCCTATCACTACCACTTAAGCACAAGATGGAGGTTCAACCAAGGATAACAGAAGGAAAGAGGATATGTCAAGTGATACGTGTCAAACCTGAACGATTAGAGGAATATAAAAAGGTGAGTCGCCCCTTCTTTCCGAGCTTTACGGTCCCGTATTTCTAGGACCTCCTATATGCTTGATGCGTAAATTTCGCTTAGCGGAATTCATCAGGAAAGAAAGGGCTTTCAGAAGGGAGAGTAAAGGCATGGGATGAGGATCAGGGGTTAATTGGAAATTAGGTACATTCAGAAGTATGGCCACAAGTACTTGATACTCTAAGAAAGGCCCATATAGTAGGTAAGTTTTTCCGATCTCCTATCCATCCTTACAGTATGATCAAGCCACCACTCAGAAGGGTTGAGACTGCCAGATTTAATCTTCTCCTGAAAGATTGGACATCTAAAGGTAGCGGCATTTCAAAGGTGTCTCCTGATCGGAAAGGAAGTCTTCCTTTGACACTTGTCAATTAGAGGACAAAGGGCTTTCCCAAGCTCGTAAAGAAAAAATTGAGGTCAGCAACAATTACTGAGTAGATAATGGGATAAACGAGTAGATAAACAATATATGTTGATTCGGGAGATCTGACGATTAGATTATTCAATCCATTATTTCGCACCACTCTCTCTTCTCATTGCTCACTTACGATACCTCGGAAAAGACTACGAAGGGGATATGGCTCGCATACGTTCTGATGAGACCACTAGACAATGGTGGGCTTTGACAGATGGGATGCAAGAAAGTTTTGTGGATGGTGCTGTTGGTAGTGAAAATGGGGAATGGTGGATGAATGCTGTGGAGGTATTCCGGATGGAATAAACACATATAACCCCTTCTCCCACCTTGCCTTATGTACATAATTCTCCTCCATAAAGGGATAAGTCCATCCCACCTGCTCGCGATCTCAGTTGACCAAACATTCCCGACGGTTGTGTGGCTTGTACGATTCGAGGACTCCTATTGCGTTTTCATGTACCATGGGATCGACGAACAATACATCATACATTGACAAGGTATGACATGACAATATATGATAAGATGATAGAAAGACAAGTTTATTCAACCCCCTTGACAAACTTCTCCACAGCAGCAACAGTCTCCATAGGTCTTTCAGCATGAACCCAATGACCTGCGTCTAAAACTTCTAATTTCATGTTTGGAAAGAATTCCTTAGCCGTTGGGATATTATGTCTGTTGAGATATTTCGAATGTTCACCTTTTAGAAATAAAGTTGGTCCTTCCCATGTCACCTCGCCGGGATGATAGGGGAAATCACCGATGGAAGGTATGGAGCGAGAGAGAAGGTTGAGGGGTATACGGAATGATAGATGTCCAGAGGAGGAGTGGATGGTGTTGGTGAGTAAGAATTGTCGGGTGGGTAGGGACTGAGGAATCAGTCAGACCCTCTATCTATGATCGGTATCAGAACCATGTATAAATTCTGAAGGCCCAGAATTCTTCATAGATGAGCGACGAAGCGAAGTGGTGGAGCGGGAAGGCAACTGTCAAGATGAGGGGAAGAGAGAAACCCAGGGAAGGGGGAGGGGACGGGGGATTTAGTGTGGAATATGAGGAATGACAAACTTACATGTTCATATTTCTGAAGTATTTTATCTGCTTCAGATTTCGTCTTGATCTCCGCTTCTTCAATCTCCAGCATTCCTTTTGTATACGCCGCGAACCTCACTATCAGCTCGACCCATTTATGAGGAAACACCCGATCTCATGGCGGTACACCAACTTTGATCGACACATGTTGGACAAGACATGATAGTGACAAGGGACAATGACATGTTGAATGGAGAAAGTTGTAAGATTGAACTCACTCGGACGAAATCTTACCACTCGCAGGTGACATATCAACAACTATCAAACTTCTCAACGGTCCATTGATCTCCTTATTTAACGCTAAAGCCATCACAGCCTTTCCTCCCCTTTTCATTAGCCCCATTTTCACACCTCACCACCAAGTTGTCACTCACATACTATGTCCAAGTAAGTTGACTTTCTTCAGATTTTGTTTTTGTATGAATTGTGAGATGTCAAGAGCCATGGCGGAATAAGAATGAGGTTCAACATGTGGTGAAGCACCATGATTCCGTAAGTCCTGATATCAACATTCACATTCATGACAAGTCGAGGTAAGGAGCAAACGAACAAGAGTGTATACTGGCATTCCTAGACGTTGGGCAAAAGTCTTTGCTAGACTTCTCCAATTTTGTTTTGAACCGCTTATTGATCAGTCTTACATCTTCCCGTCCCTGCTACCGCACTTCAAGCTGATTCCTAGCCTCAACATGTGAGTGAGTAAGAAGAATGAAAGGGAGAGGGTTAGGAAAGAGTAGCAGCAAACTCACAATAGACCATGACAGAGTATCAATGATTGATCCGGACTGGTAAGACTGGAAGGAGAAGTGAGATCGTATGCCAGATCAACAGGCTTGATATCGGTTGTCGAAGTTTGATGTCTCTTTTGAAACCATATTCCTGTATCTCTAGGTTTGTCTATTCTCAAACATCTCCGAGTCAGGGATAGCGAAGAATGTAAATGCCTCATTGTGGGGAAAACACACCGAATATCGACACAAAAGTCAAACTTCGTCTGAAACGACCTCCCGACCTGTCACGTGGTTATTTCCGTCGGAAATTAAGGGTCCATTGCCGCCGATTGCCGATCGTTGCCGAAGCAGTTGCGTGTCGTCCTCGCCACCCTGATCCCTATAACAACCCTTACCTTCACCCTTCACTCCCCAATCATACTCAAACACTTATCATGTTCAGCTATTGTTAACACTCCATGGCCCCTCTGAGCAGTACCACCATGACCACCTTGTGGCGCAAGGTGGTCCGTGCTGCTTTACATGTTCAACCTACCCTTCGACCTCCTACCTCACTCCCTACACCCACTGTTTCTCATTCTTCGGTGAAAAACCTACAAAATCTACATACCCCTCATGTCTCTCCTCACTTCTCATCCTCGTCTGCTGTCGTGCAGAATAAAGTCATGTTCAATATCCGAAATATCTTCCCTGTCCTTAGAAAATTAGCAAAGGACACTTTCCCCTCTATATCCCAACCAAGTCATCGTCTCGCTGTCCAACTTCAACCCATTCGGATTTCTCACAGAGGATTCTCCACTGCTCAATCGACTTCTAGGCGTTTAGGAAATATACGATTTTCCAGAGGGATTGGACCGACCAGTCGAATCAGTCAATCGCCCGGTATTAATTCTCTTGGTCTTAATTCTGCTCGTGGTTTCGCGACTTCTGGACCTGCCTCCGCTCAAACGTTAAACAACATTCCCGTTGTATTGAGAGCTTTTGCTTCTTTACTCGATAACGAAGATTTGTCCTCTCGTATTCCAAAAGCATCACGATACACACCTTATTCTCATCTCAAATCTAACGGCACTTCTAAACGTCTTCGTCGTCGTCATGCTCCTTGTATCAACAATCGTTTACAATCATGGAAAGAAGAAGTCAACCATTATTTCCCTCTTCCCATTACTCGTATCACCTCTACTAAATCATCAGTAGCTCTTCCCCCTTTACCAGAAACGTTGATCACTGAGGGAATCAACACCATCCTTTCTGTCCCTCTTTCACCGAGTTTACACACATTACTCAGTCCCACAACGACAATACCATATTCTGAAGCGGAAGTTGGGGTCTCCATACTTGCTCGTTTGACCAAAGGACTTTTACCTCTACATGAAGCTTTTGCATCTTATGCGAGTACTCGTATCATACCCTTGTTGGCAAAACTGGATGGATTGGGAGTTCTGGGAGAGAATGGGAAGACTAGTATGGAAGTTTTGTTGGATACACATGGTATTCCAGATATTTTGAGGATAGTCTTTGAGGGTAGGTCTCATAGGGATGTACGTCAATTACTTGGGGAAAGTTTACGAGTAGGGGAGGAAGGTCAATGGTGGGTTTTGCAAGAATTTCAAAAGCTTGGGAAAACAATCAAACTTGACCCGTCGGAAAGTAGGGATATACTCGAACGATGGGATTCGCCTTCTTATTCTCATCCTGAAGAAATGTTCAGATCGACGAATGTGATTTCGCAAGAGGAAAGAGTGGATCAATTGATATTTCCCACAATCGACCTATCCGATTCCATGCAGATCACTTCGATGGGATGGGACGATGTAACAGATATCTCTGATAACCTCGCATTCGCCTCTCCTCCAACTTCTAGTGGATCTCTCACCCCTCAATCCGATATCTCCATCTCTCCTTCCTTCCTTTCTTCTTCACCGGAGACATCAATCTGGCAGGTCTCTCGAACAACGGAATCGCGCCGAACATCTCTAAGATCGGTCATAGCGTCGGAAGTGTCGGACGGTTGGACGGAAGGGGATGTATCGGAACATGTTTTAGAAGACGGAGAAGCCAGTCAGGTGGATATACGTTGGTCTGGTCAAGGAGAAGGATTCGGTTTTGCTCAGCCTTGGTAGTTTGCTTCTTTGGAGGGTTGTGAGATGTAAGAGAAGAATGGGTGAGCGTGGATTGGATGTACGAGACATGTCATCAGGAGGGGGATACGAATACATGAATGCAGATGTGCGATGTATGAGATTTATTCCTACTAAATAGCCAGAAGTATGACGAAAGTACCTTCTCACACTGTCTGTCACTGGCTTCTTCCTTTATAGAATCAATCAGAAGAGGATACAAGACAAAGTGATAGGGGATCATTTACGTCTTCTTCTACCTCCTCCGGTCATGCTGTTGATCTTGGGTGTAGAACTTCGGGCCGACTCTGTAGGCTGGTCAGGAGGGGCAGGTATAACAGGTTCTGTAGAGCCTGATAACATGCCCGATAATCTGATTGTGAGCTAGGCCCCCCTTCTTTAAAGACTATCAAGTGAATGATTCTCCCCTGGCATTCTAAGAGAAATATAGCCGATGATCCTCGCCTTCTTTGGCCTCACACAAATAAGTTCAGGCCCAGCATCCTTGTATCGGAGTTGGCTTCTGAGGATCCTGAAGACAGGGCTTTCCAATGGTAAAGTGACAGCGGAGTTCCATCAAGCAAGAAGGGATCAGGGGGAGGAGGGGGGTTATACAGAGGGTCAGATAAGAGTAGCGGAAGAGAGTAAATGGCTGTGTGGAAAGATGAAAGTGTGTGTGTGTGAGAGAGAGAGAGGGAATAAGATAGAGTAGATAAACACTCACGATCCCACCAAATCCATATTTTGCATACTTTGCATCTTTTTTCTCGTCTGAGCCATCTCTTTAGCCATCTCAGGGTCGAGGTCCATACTCGACTACAAATCAGCAAAGGTCTTCTTATATATATCTCAGAGCTCAATCGTACACATGACATACCATTAATTTAGGCATGACGAACATCATCCCAGCGCTGAAAAGCATCATGAGAATCATAGGACTTTTCAACATTCCAAAGACGTTGACTCCTCCGACAGGTATGAAATAATTTTCTTTGCCCGTCGCTCGGATCTCTATTGGATAAGGTAAAGAAGGTATGGAGGTGGGTGTTGGAAGACGAGCTGGATGATAGGTTTGGACATGGACCGAAGGGGATTGAACGGTAAGATACATCTAAGCGTTAGATTTACTTACCTCATTATTTTCTCATCGTCTTTTCTCCGTATGTCTGTGGTCATACATTTAAGAGGAGAGACATTTGTGAAATGATACGATGTTGGTACTTCCCACGCTACATCGTCTTTTCACCATATCATCAGATAACAGGGCAAATGTTTACACTCTGAGATGAGAAAAAGAGAAAGGGGAGGAAAGTGGGAGTAGCATGATGGTCTACAAGGAAGAGAAGTCACATAGAGAAAGGGATTGAGAGATACGAATAAAAATGACATACCATCGGTACAGACCAACCGGGTATCAAGCTCTCCAAAACGTAACCTCCATCCTGTACATCCGGTCTGATCATTAATCCCTCCTCTACTACCTCATGATACGCAGGGCCTTCCTCTTGCTGCTGATACTTCCCAAAGTTATCTACCCTCTGTGTGATTGACGGATGGAAACGATATGAACTCACATGGAAAACGTCCCATCATGTAAGATATAGGCGGTCTTATGACCCAATTTGACATGGGAAGAGATAGGGAGAGAAGTGACATTGGGAAACCCCACTGAGCCTGTTATGGTGATTGCTCGTACTAAAGGTAATCTGTGCTTCAGATTGAAGTCTGACCAGGAATAAACAACTTACATGAAGGGAACGACCAGAGTAAGGAATCGCATTGTCAGGAGAAGGATGAGAAGGAGGTCGAAAGAAAGTTGCATCCAAACTACAATCGAAATATCCTTTCCTTTCCTACACTTTTCACCTTCTCTTCTTTCATAACGACAAGTGTCAAGTAAAAACACGACACTATCAACATTCTTCGATTGCTGATCGCTTGATATGGAGTTAGAGGAGCAAAAAGAGATAAAAATGCAGTCAAAAGTCTGGTTCTCAACGTTCGACGTTACTCGTCAAGGTGAATCACCTTCTTTCCTTCTGTGGTTTGTGGGAGTGTACCGAGGACTCAGTGAGATTGACAAATAGTATTCTTTCGTTCTTCATCATCAGTTGGAATCGTAAACCTCAAACCCCTTCTCCCAGGACGTAAGTGACTCACACATGTCTACCACACGTCCATCGTCTCGAAAGTCGTTGGTCTCCTTGTTTCTCCAAGAAGGCGAGACATAGACGTGATATTTTAGAAAATCAGAGTTGACTCGTGGAACAGACGTCTTACTCATTCCACGTCGTATTGTCCCTAGATTAGCAGATTTGAGATCAGATGAGGTGATCGACTTATTTCTTTCCGTTCAGAAAGTGGGCAAGATTTTGGAGAGGGTGTATGAAGGTGAAGCATTGACCATTTCTCTTCAAGTGAGTATGTATTACTCTTCTGCCCATTGTCATTTACACCCTCATAACATACCTACACCTTCTAGATCTTCTAGACCTTCATAATTACTTCATACTACACGCGTTCATTCAATGGAGCTCGGTCAGTTAAGGTGTCGTGCTTTAAACCGACTTAGTGGGGATCATCCCGGTTCACAACCACAATCACCACCACAACTGGTGTATGGAGATACACAAATCTGATGGATAGGATGGCAAAATAGCTGGTCAAAGTGTCCCACACGTCCACGTACATATCATCCCACGTCGTCCTACCGACTTCAAAGGTGATAACGATCGAATTTACCCCGCTTTAGAAACTTCTGAACTGCGACTTGAACATGACTTGGCACGAGCGCAACAATCCACTGAAACTCCCGATGAGAGTAGCTCAACAGCTGGGTGGAGAATACCAAAAGATGAAGATAGATCACCTCGTACGATGGAAGAAATGGAACGTGAAGCTACAAGGTTGGCTGGGTTGTTCACCGACCTGGCGTAAATCTCATGAAGACTCGACATTGTCCCCTCCAATTCCAATCACTTGTTCTCCTTCAGCTCTGAGATCTCCGGTGTTCTTAGTCCACTGGACCATGCTATCGAATCAACAGGGTATGGCGTTCAACCAGGTTGGATCAGAAGGATTATGGACTGTTAGTACGTTCCATGTCCATCGTTTGCATACTTTACACTCCTCGCTCATACAGCCGTGCCATAAGTAACACCCTGTGATGTACCCATCGGAGCTCCCTTCTCTGCCAACTTACGCTTCCTAAACTGTCCCTTGTACTTTCTGCGTTCGTACATGACATAACCGACAATGATGAGGGTGAGAGCGGTGAGGCCTGGTATGTCAACTTCGAGTTTCGATTCATACCTCACTGATCCACCTTAGTCTCGCAAGACGTACCCACATCCTCCAATTTTGAGTTCTTCAAAGTTTGATAGGATTCTGGTGGGAATGACAAGTTGGGTATCAGAGATTATGGTAATTTGAGGAGTCTGAGGAATATGACAATCGACTCACCCCCGAATATGCCCAGTCCGATCGGCAAAACTTGCATGTGTTGACCTGGAATGACGACCGCAGCCTAATCTCATCAACACAACCTTCTCAAATGATATATAGAACTCACAGCAGTCGCATTATCCTGCTGAGCTGATTGAGTAGACTGCTTCATCAGATTGTATCTCTAAGGAAAATCACGGAAGCTCACGTTGGTAGATGAGGACGTGGCGGCATTAGCAGCAGCCGCTTCGACTGAACTTGTCGGTGTGACCGTGATGCTATCTGTAGGAGTGATAAGGGTCGGTCCGTCCTATTCTTCAATTTGACTCAAGGGGCTGATTAACGCAAAAACTTACCTGTGTAGTAGTCGTTGAGGTTGTAGCGGCAGTAGGATCGTTCTTCTCTCAGTTTTCATTATTTCAGTTAAATGAAGGAAGACTCAGACTCACCACGACAGCATCAACCGAAGAGGTGGTTTGAGGATCGGTACCTAACGTGGCCAACGATGCGGAAGATGTCGTAATGGTTGCGGGTGCGTTCTGATGTCAGCTCAATATCACTCAAAGCGCAAAGCTCACCACAACCGCATCCACACTATGAGTACTAGTGGTCGAAGTGATTGTGCTGCTGCTTGTATCGCTGGTAGTGGTTGAATCGGTATTATCGTTGCTCGTTGTGTTGGACATGGATCCAGTACTACCACTGTTGGTGTTGGAGCTAGAGGTGGAACCGGATGAATTTGACTCGGTTTCGGAGGAACTTGAGCTTGAGCTGGAATCTGAGTTCATACTTGATCCACCGGACGAAGTGGAAGAAGAACCCATGGAGCTTTCCGAGCTACCAGAACCACCGCCGTTTAAACCCGAGCTGACAGCTTGACCATTGTGAGTTGTCTGACAATTCTCCTGAGACGGATCATTGGGATCGGTGATACAATGCACTGTGGTTGTGCCCGCGGAACTATCGGTTATTTAGTGTTTCCTCATCACCCTCTCTCCCTTCCACTCGATTCCGCGACACCGCTGATTGTGGTGTAGGATGTAGCTAAGAGGAAAGAGATGGAGCAAAGAGACGTGAGAGACCATGAAAAATCGTATTCACCTTATTTGAGTCTGTTGAGTTTCCACAACCTCTTTAACACTTCCACCTAAGATGGAGCCCAACCCTTCCAGATCACCCAGACCAAGAGAACCCTCGGCAACATCGATAGGACTTCCCACTCCTCCCCATCCCGGAGCGTTTCCTTGACTACCGATATCCCCTACTTGAAGGTCATCTAAAATCTGCGAAATTTCTCCTCCCAACCATCCCTCACTACTCCCTTCTCCCACCCCTGATTGTCCTCGTTTCTCGAAGTCTGAAGAGACATCAGAGGAATCATATCTGGAGAATAATTGTCTTTGTTCCATACGTTCGACATGTTCATATGTATCATCGCGTTTCCCCATTTTTTCAATTTCATCGAAACTGAAGACGTTCTCTTGTGAACTCCTCGTTTGGGAGAATCCCATTGAATCTTCAGATCGGTGTCCTCTTTTCTGTTCTGAGATGGGTGGGAGTGGAGATGGAACTTTGGCATTGTTAGAGAGAGCGTCGAGTAGTGGACCACTTAAGACGTCTACGATGTTAGATCCGTCTTGCGGGGAAGGTAATGCGAAAATGAGAAGGATAGGAAAGAATAAGGTGTCCAGCAACCTCATTTGTAATGACAAAAAAGCTCGACCGGCGAGACGATCGAATTGATCAAATGAAAGTAATGAAGAAAGAATGAAAGATGAAGATGTGGGAGTGGGACTAAGGGTTACATTTGGTGGAAAGGAAATTGGACATGACGACGGTCGTCAAGAGACCAGCGAAAATCCATGAGTTGAGGGAGATGAAGGTAGGGTGGATACGGTGGTTGGAGATGATACATCTCCTTGATTCTATCTTTGGAAACCCCTGTTTCTCCCTCTTTCTTTGCTACAGAATGTATGTTGGCATGCTGCGTCTACTCCACCTGACGCTCATGTTCTGCCTGCAATGATTGATATCTGCATTTATCCATGTTGAATTGCCACCTGCCACATTTTACAAATCGCCACTTTCAGCTTATCGGACTGTGCCTTAGCCGCGCGGCCCGAGAAAGAGAGGGGAACTTCCTTTCGATCCTCTTTGAATCTCCACCCCATTCAACTCTTTCTCTTCTCTTCTCTGTCCAACCTGTTCTCCTCATATTCGGTCCCTTATCATATCTCAGACCTGCACTGAATTATCCTCTCCATTTGAACTTGCTTCCTTGAGTGGTCTAACCTGAATGATCTGCCCTACCAACCTCTGAAGAGAACCTCCCTTCCTTGTTTACCTCTCTCCCGGCAACCGAATATTCGCACACCTTGACAGTAGTTACTATCACAATATGTCTCACCCCCACTCTCCTACGTCATCCGACTTTTCACTCACCTCTTCCTTCGTTCAACTCTCCATCTCCTCATCCAGATCACGCAACGATGCCCCTCTCAGCGTCCGAAGAACAAGCTCGTCAGCCACCTCAGAGGCTTACTCTATCCTCTCGGACGAATACAGTCTCATCTCCCCTTCTCCTTCTCAATCAGGACGTAGTGTTTCAGGATCGCTCATGTCAGTAGGAGGAGGAGTGTTGGTCAACCGACCAGAATCAGCGGCAAGTGGTCATTCGAGTCGGTCCGCTCAGAGAAGAGCGAGAAGGAGGAAATTGAACGCTGCTACATCTGTGAGGGACCAAGTCGAGGCTGGTCCCTCCACCACTTCAAAGACGACACTTGGAAAGCTATCAGACATTGTACAGTCACCAAATAAGCAACCGAAGAAAACCACTGCTTCGCCTGCAAAGAAGCCCATGTCTGCCCCTTCTACACCTGGAAAAGCCAAATCACCGTCTGAGACGACAAATAAGGCTCCTACATCGAATATTACTACACTAGCAAAGTCGCCCTCGAAAACGCCAGCTAAAACCTCTGCCAAGACCTCTCAAGCTGGACCTTCTACGCCCGCTGCCAAATCGTCTACCAAGACCCCAACGCCTGGACCCCTTGTCCCCGACAAGAAACCGGGTTCGAGTACACCGTCAAAGTCATCACCCAAAAAGGGTCAATTATCCCCTTCGAAGTCCCAAGTCTCTTCATCCGTCCCGACCGTGTCAAAGTCGGCTAAGTCACCCAACAAATCGTCCTCCAACAAGGGTCCGGGGCCATCGAAACCTCCCGACCCACCTAAGATACCACTCATTTTCCACCAACCACCGACTCCTGCTCGTCTAGACCCCACGGATGGATCTATTGTGGTCCTCGAGAAGAAGAAGAGGATCCGGCGAGGAGGAAAACAAGTTCGGGGAAGGCGAGACAAAGCAGCCGTGAGGGAAATGCTGGTCCCTGATGCAGAGGCCTTGGCGGACGAACATCTCATCACTCCTCAAAGTTTGTCAAGACTCTCACCGGAGGAGGAAGACGAATGGTCCGAAGATGGGTCTTCGGGATATCTTCACGCTGAGACGGGGACAGATGAGGACGAGGATGATGAGGATGAAGTGGATAATTTGTCTGCACTGGATGAGGAAAGTCTGGAAGGAAGTCCAAGGAACGGCACACGATACGCCAAAAGTGTACTGAGTACCGAAGATGCAAAGTCGTCCATTGACAGGTGAGTGACTTCTTCATCACCCCCTTTAATCCTATGTAACACCCATGGGCAACGAGAGTCGAAGACGATGGGAATGAGAGACAGACTAACAATGCAGCTTTTTGACAGACTCGGACAACTTTACCCTGTTCAAGGCGAACAAACTTCGACTCTGGCAGGCAATATGTATCGAGCTCGGTCTCGTCGCCGTTCCCTCGGAATCCTCCTCTCCTGTCATCACTTCTCAACCCTTTGAAACTGAAACCGACTCAGACTCTGATGACACGATTGACGGTGATTCTCGCTGCTCGACTCCTCGTCCTCCTCTACCCCCAATCCCACAAAGCCTGACACAAGCACGTAGGATTCTCCAAATGTCGGGTCATGTGAATATCATCGAATATCTCGATGCGAGACGTAGTGGAGCGGAGACGGGTGCAGGATCATACGAGTATCTGATCTATCCCAGTGCAGTAGAGATGATGAGAGTGGCTAGGAAAAAGAAGAAGTTGGCTCGTCTGCAGGAGGTAAAGAGGGAATGGCTCGAACCTCTGTTGCGTGATTTCGGCTTCAAACGTCGCAGGGAAGCTGCTGTCTGACCGATTTTGGAAGGAGTTCCGGAGAGGAAGGAAGGACAATGCGATCTGTCAAGGACTTTGGATTTGAATACATCTGGATACGTATGGAAGGAAATGTGCTATGCATGCTGGTGCGTCATGCTGTCATATCAAACTCACATGCTAGCCATTCGAACCGTCAAGAGTACAGTAAAGTGGTCTCGTTGATCGTTGATTATCGAACGAAACACCCAGTCGTAGGTTGTGAATGATCCATCCGATCGGGCCGGAACATGACTTACCCCGCATTGCTCCCCATACCCCGGGGCCCGAGCGTCCTTCCACCCATTGACGATGTCTTTCTCTTGATTCCTCACTTATGCTGTATATAGCATGTTGCGTATCCCTAAACCATCTGTGTATGCTTGGAGACGAAGGGTGAGGTGGTATAACGACGATGCAACTTTTGGGCATCGAGTGCCGGCGAGGTATACCTTACCTGATTGTGGGTACTTCTACTCCTCTCCCTCTCCCCGTTCCTCACTCATTCCGCTCTTTACATCTTGTCACTTTCACTTCATCTTTCTCCCTGACTTCTCTGTTCAGTATCCTGCAAGGGATGGGACTCCCCGCGGGGGGAAGCAAGAGAGCTTCTTTCTCCTCTTTCCCTCAACATCGGCCAAAATTCGAAACATGCTGACCGATTCGACACTCAAACTGAGCTGGATAATCGGTAAGTGTTACCGTACCAATACCAGTCTCTTTATTGATTATATAGTAATACCAATGCCTCGCTTCTACGTTATGTTGAAAATGTACGTCGACATGGACACCGAGCCGCGAAGATTGATCCCCTTGATTTGATGGATCGAGAGTGAGTCATCTATCCAGCTAAGTATCCTTTGTGAACGTACTCCACATGTCTTCCCGATGCTCCGTTACCCTTTTGGTCAAGAGTAAAGGTGTAAGTAATGAATTTTTCGCTGATTGTACCAGCCCAGTTGGTGCTTTGAGCGCTGAACGTTATGGTCTTTCATCTACCACATCGTATCCCCTCCAAGGGATCCTTCATCTCTCCTCGCCATCTTTCGACGAGACAAACACCCCCAGGACAGAAATCGGTGAAGGTAGCAATCGTTCTGCTTCTCTGGATGAAATATCGGGACATTTGATGAAGACTTATGTGGGACATATAGGGTATGAGTACATGCATTGTCCTGATAAGAATGAGAGATTGTGAGTTGTCTTTCTACCACCTTCGCTTTTCCCGTCGCGCATTTATCACTGAGGGATGTTTGTGAACGATGGAAGGAATTGTGAGACTTCTGAGCTAATCACAGATGGTTCTCCCACCATGTAGAGACAGGCACAAGCTCCTTTGAATGCCCTTTCAGTGACGAGCGAAGACGACGGATATGGCGTCTTCTATCCAGGAGCGAGGAGCTCGACCATTTTCTGGCCAAGAAGTTTCCTCACCTCAAACGCTACGGTACGCTTGCACACTTTACCTCTATCACTTTGTAGCTGACATGCAGGGTGTGAGGGTGCCGAGAGTATGCTACCGGCGCTGGACACCTTGTTTGAACTCGGTGCTGGAGGTGAGTTCAACGACTAGGTTCCTCAGGTGCGAGAAGTGCTGACCAGTAGCTGGTATAAAGTCCATCATCGTTGCTTTGCCTCACAGAGGTCGCTTATCTCTTCTTTGTAATCCGGACTTACTGAGATATCCACCCAGTGCACTCTTTGCCAAAATCAAAGGTCAGCCAGAATTCGACCCTTCTACTGCACCAGGCGCAACAGGCGATGTTATCTCACACCTTGCCGCTATACGAAAGATCGATTACTCCGATCGTTCGGTGGAAGTGGAAGTGTTACAAAACCCCAGTCATCTAGAGGTGAGCTTTCATTATCAGCCAGCATAACGCTGATTGGTCTATAGGCTGTCAATCCTGTGGCTTTGGGAGTGACTAGAGCAAAGCAAATGTCTTTACTGAAATCATCTCCTCGTGATTGTCGATTAGGGGATCGTGTCATGTGTGTTCAACTTCATGGAGATGCTGCTTTCGCCGGTCAGGGAGTTGTCGGGGAGTCGCTTGGTTTATCCGGTCTTCCACACTACGGCAGCGGAGGGACAGTCCATGTCATTGTCAATAATAACATCGGATATACAACCCCGGCGTCATTTGCCAGGTCCAGCGTGTATTCTTCGGACATTGGCAAGATGATAGGTTGCCCCATATTGCATGTCAATGGAGATCATCCTGAAGGTCAGTCGAGCTGGTGTGAGGGTCTTTCACAAAAGAGCTGACTCAGTAGCGGTGGTACAAGCTATGGGCGTCGCCTTTCAGTATCGTCAAATGTTCCGTAAAGACATTATTGTTGATCTTATTTGTTATCGCCGATGGGGTCATAACGAGCTCGACGAACCGGCTTATACTCAGCCGAAGATGTACGAGAAGATCAGGAATAGAAAAAGTGTTCCAGAACTATACGAAGATCAGATCATCGTGAGTTCAGCTTTCCCATTTCTACTCCATCAGCTGATACTCAGGCGGGCGGATTTTTGGATAAGGCGGAAGCAACAGAGTCACGAAAGACATACAGCGTAGAACTGGCTCGGCACCTGGAGCTCGTGGATGATTATCGGCCAAAATCAGAGATGCTTGATGGGAAGTGGAAAGATTTTGTCTGGCCAGCTCTCAACGGCGTGGAACATGATCCCGTCACCGGTGTTGATAAGGAAGTCTTGGAGGAGGTAGGCAGAAAAAGTGTCTCATTACCAGAAGGATTCGTACGTTTTCGTTCAGACCATCCTGTTTTGATCAAGCTGACTCGCAGAATGTACATCCCAGATTACTGCGTCATATCTCTTCCAGACTCAAGTCATTAGAACATGGGAACAAAGTTGATTTCGCCACTGCTGAAGCGATGGCTTTTGGAACACTCATGGAAGAGGGGTACGATGTGCGAGTATCTGGACAAGATGTAGGAAGGGGTACATTCTCCCAACGGTTAGCTTTGAACCTTGCGGAGTGTTCAGCTGATGTGTAGGCATGCGATGTTCGTCGATCAAGTCACTGAACAATGTAGTGTTCCATTAAATGAGAACATCGACGCGGGTAAGGGTCGATTGGAGCTTGCCAATAGTTAGTCCCTTCCCAATTCCTCTTTCAAACAGGAGTGATGATGACGTATAGGCTCTTTAAGTGAGATGGCTGTGTTGGGGTTCGAAGTGGGTATGTCATGGGCCAGACCGAACCTACTGCCTATTTGGGAGGCTCAGGTCAGTCCATAGCTTCCCTCTGCCTTCTTTTGCTATCTTTGATTCCTGTGAAATTGTATCCGAGTAGGCGGTGTGGGGCTGACATCGGTTAGTTTGGTGACTTCATGAATGGAGCGCAGAGTATGATCGATACGTTCGTTGTTGGAGCTCAAAGTGAGTCGACCCTTTCAGAAATCTCTCAAGGCAAACGAGGGATGGACGTTAATGGAGAAGCAAAGTGGCTCAAACAATCTGGATTAGTTATGATGCTTCCGCATGGATATGACGGTGCTGGTCCAGAGCATTCTTCATGTAAGATTGAGCGGTTCTTACAGGTAATTTCTCTGTCACTCTTCTCACCATTCAAGCACTCCATCCCTGAGTTAGAGTGGGTCTATCTTCTTATGTTTTTGTTGCTGAATATTCAGATGTCTGACGATAGTCCGACGACAGGACAAGCTGTCAATGTGGGAGTGATCAACCCTTCAACTCCAGCGCAGATGTTCCATGTCCTTCGAAGACAGATGAAGCGACCTTATCGACGACCGTTAATTATTGTTTCCCCGAAAGCTCTACTGAGATCTCCAGTGAGTCTTTCTTACCTTCTTACCTTTTCAACTTCCGTATCCACTCTCCTCTTCCTCGCCCTCATCGTCCATCTTCTGACATCTTATTGACTGATTACCACAGATTGCCTCTTCATCTCTCTCAGATATGTCTTCAAACACTTCCTTCCTCCCACTCATTGATCCCTCGACCAACTTATCCGACGCCACTCGTCTTATCCTCTGTTCAGGCAAACACGCTTATACACTCTCTGAAGCATTGTCCTCCCATCCCGGACCAGTAGCAATAGTAAGAATCGAAGAACTCTCTCCTTTTCCTCGTAAAGAACTCGCAGAGGCGATACGTAAATACGCGAAAGCGACGGTTGTGTGGGCACAAGAAGAGCCGGAGAACCAAGGTGCGTGGACGTATGTACGACCGAGGATTGAGGATGTTCTCGAAGAGGTTCGAGGTGTTAGAGAAAGGGTGAGGTATGCAGGAAGGAAACCTTGCGCGACTACTGCGACGGGTGTTGGGGAATGGCATAAGCGTGAGATGAAAGAGATTTTGAGTGTTGCTTTGGAGTAGAAGTAGACATGCTTCATGACCCAGTCATAAACTTGATGAGCAGGTCATGTCAGTAGCTAGAAGCTGAGCAATTGAGGCTTAGTATTGATAAGATATGTTGTACTTATGCATAATGTGAGGTATGGGTATGTTGTATGTACGTGATTTATCTACTGTATGTATGTAATCTACCAACCGTACTATCTCACTTCTTACCTTCTGGTTCCTTCTAACATCCTACGCGAGACTCTATATAAATTAAGTAAATGCACTAGTGTCCATAGTGTAAAGCCCCTAACGTATGCGTCAAGTGCGTAGGTGATCATTCACCACCAATCAAGATAATCTTTGTAACGTTCAGGAGGGTCGATGACCATACAATCTGAATCCCGTTGAAGTTCCAACATCAAACCATCGTAAGCCGGCTCAATCTTTGCTCCTTCTTTTCCCCATTGATCTAACAATTGTTTCTCCTTCTCGTCAGGTTGAGTATACCAGAATTTATCCACTATAATACTGGCTACATCCTCATCAGGATGGTTATCCTCATTCACAACTTTCTTTCCTTTTAATCGTTCTTCAATGCCTGTCGATACATCTTTTCCTACTCGACGATCATGACCATTTCGTTCGGACTCTTCAACCTGAGTATTATCCGACACTGGAGGGATATCAGAAATCGATTGACATAGTCTTTCCCACATGTAATGAGAAGTAGGATGAGTACTTCCGACTAGATAGGTGATACAAGGTCGGAGTCTTTCAGCCGCTAAAAGAGCTTGACGAAGATTGTAATGAGATGTATGGGATCTTAATGGCCAAAGAGCGTCGATGATTAATACAGCGAGTTTGTCATTTTTAGATTTCGCTTGTGGATCCAGACCAGAACCTGAGTTTGAAGCTGGGTCGATGTGGTTCAAAGATGGATTGATTTGATTTGTGAGGATTGGGATTGGGATGGAGTTGGAATCGGAAGTGGAGGTGGAGAAAGGACCAGATGAAGGTTGTTCCAAAGTGAGACCATTCATCTTGGAAGATAACGATGAGTGAACACGACGAGGATTGAGAAGAATCTCCCATGATTTTTCTGGAATATGTGAAACGTCGGCAATGTAAGCTATGAGATGATCGAATATGAATCCTAAACATATTAAAGGGTCGGTGGCTCCTTCGTGGAAATAAATCCCATGATGGACTGTGATCAGTTGAGAAATCAAATATTACATATGGATATAGTTTTTCATTCCGCTCAGTCGAGAATCTTTGAGTATGACCGGATGATCAAGGGTCGGTTTGGTGAGTTACTCAATGCCGGTGTGTTATCTCAAGGAGGAATAGGTTTGCAGTGAGAGATGGGGGATTTGATAAAGGAAAATACTATTACTCACCTGAAAAAGTATGTATGTGTATTCCAAATATATCAAATTCACTTTCTTCTTCTATTATTATCCAAATTAACGAAGGTCTATCTTATCAGCACTACGAACCCAATATTTTACAAGAAAAAAAGAAGGAGAAAAAGAGAAAGAAAAAGAAAAAGAAGGAGAAGGAGAAGCAGAAGAAAGAGGATAAAACTCACATATCCCCTCCTCCCGAGGCTTTGGTAGCATCTACTAAATAAGGAAAACTATCTGCTACTGTATCATATGTCGCTTTTGTGAGATATATCGGGATAGACATATGTAGACGGATACACCATTCTCTTAAATCGTCCAAACCTAGATAAGCATCGGCATCTTCTCATCAGCTTCTTTTCCATCATCACAATCTTACCCTCAACCCCTCGACCGTCGACTGCTCATCCCCCCAGACAAAAATTCTCTCAATACGAGGAAAAAGAGGAAGCGAGGGAGATAAGACAGATAGCAAAATGGTTTTTTGAAATGTAAAGAAACTCACGTCCATGTGTCAAGATAACAGCATCAACAGATTTCACACCCCAAACAGGAAACAATTTCTCAGCTTGTTGATTAAATGTTTTCCCAACATCCACAATTACATTCTTCCATTGACCTTGTGAATCTTTCTTACGCAATAATAAACTCGTATTACCTCTTTTATTCTTCCATCCTTCCGGAACATCCTTATCCACAGCAGAACGACATGAAGCACATGGTATATTCTTCGGCCAATCACCTGAAGGATCCCAAGCTCCTCGCACGGGAGGATTGTCAGGTGTTGAAGAAGGAAGTGGGACTGTTTCGTGCCATGTTGAAGGATAAGGTGCTGAGAGGGTTAAACAAGGGATTAGAGGAAGACCTGTGGATGTACCGGTACCCATGAATAATAGTTGAAGAGATGAATCTTCATTATTGTCGGGATTCATCTTGGTGTGTAGTTGATGGGAGTATCTCAATTTTCAAAGAATGTATAGCAACGGCGAGTTTGTAATATGAGCTAAACTTGATTTTTTGGTGGTACACGCAGAAAAAGTATCTCGATGCAGCAAGAAGCAAGTTCGCTGAGGGCATATACTATGTACTTATATAGTCGGGTCGGAGATCGGATATGGTCTATGAAACGGAAGTGAAACAGCACATCGTTGGAGAAGTCAAAAGGAAGTTGAGAATCGGAAGGCATGATGTGGAGCCCCGCCCATACATATGATAAGGCGTATCAAAGGGTCGGTTGAGAGTACGAGTAGAGTACTCTACTCTACTCGGTAATCGTCTTGTATTCATCACATGCTAGTACGTATTTTACATCGTAAGCTGGACAGCGGGACACGCACAGTGACATTCGGAAGCTGCGAGAACTTAAGCTCAGATCACAACTTGAGAACGAAACAACACTGAGTGAGATCTCTCACCATCGGCCAACATGTTGATTAAAACTGAGATCAAGTGAAATCTCTTCCACGACCGGCCCGACGGTTTTGTCATCATCATAAGATATCCTGATGTGCTCACCATCAAAAGCAGGGTTGACCATTCCTCTCAATGCCTTCAGCTGTTCCGTTTGCTTTTCGTCCAAAGAATTCCGAAAGTCCAATACGACTTCGGGGATCCTCGTCCCGTCATTTGTCTCAGCCGGATCGAGGACCGACTGACAAAGGTTTACCCAGTCTTCATGTCTGGTATGGTTCATACCCACAAGATAGGTCATACTGGATTCCAGAGCTTGGTGTAGATCAAGCGCCTGGGGAAGAGTAAAGTGAGAAGGATGACTTCCAAATGGGTTGATCGCATCGATTATAGTTATCAAGGATTGTGTCGTCGAAGGTAACTTTGGGGAAGAGGTGACTGTCTTCTGTCTTTGTAGAGGAACTTCATGACCAATCGATTTTACTAGTTCGTTAGAACAAAATGACTTCAGTACGGAATTTAAGTACGATCCAAATTGTGAAAACCGATTCTTCAATGACTCGGCGAAACCCCTTTCCATCTCACTATTATGATAAACGACGGGGGGACCACGTCCGGTATTACGGAAAACTTCCATCGTTCTTTCCGGAACGCCAGAAACGTCAGGCATATAGATGATCTTGTCATTGATTATGAATGCAGAGGTCATGAATGGCTCAGTGGTATTATCAGTTTCGTTACGGAATCTACCGTGCTCAACTGCCATCAGTTCCAGTCTATATGTTCCAGCTACAAAACTATCCATATGTCTCAGAGCAACACTCAAGGGGACAATCCAACTCAGTGAGAGATGGACAGAAAGGTGACAAATGGAGGATCAGGAAACACTGACCAGGTACTGCTTGTATTGTGAATCCACCCACTTTGAAAGGTACATACTCTTCGAAAATGCGGAAATTTAATGAAGGACTGTGACTTAGCATTTTGACCTTGACCATCACTTTGAGTAGGCATAAAGGGTGACGGAAAGAGAAACAATACTCACACAGCTCCACTTCCCTTCGCCTTGGATGTATCCGTCAAGTAAGGAAAAATGCGTTCAATCTCTTCATACGTTTTCTTATCACAATGAACATTGAGAGTGAATTGATAACGATCAGTAAATTGACGTAAGTCATCCAAACCCAACATGGCGTCCATATCTGTTTTTTTTAAAGTCAGTTCGCATCCAATTGACTCGCAAGTATCACAAGTGACACAAGTAGATAGATGACTCACGCCCATGAGTTATCAACAAATCAAATTTAGTCACGTTGTTAGGTGGAAACCACTTTTCTGCCGCCGAACGAAATGTCTTACCACAGTCTATCAGTAAATCCGTTCGTTCATCATCCGGTTCTTCCAGACGAAGTAGAATACTTGTGTTGGCTCGTTTATTCTTCCAACCCTCAGGCACTGTCGTATCGATAGCATCATGACAAGAGGGACAAGATATGTGATCAAGCATGTCTTGCATAGTAGCAGGGATACCTCCGAGAGACGGTCGATCTTGGATAGAATCACCGGTCAGACAAGTCACTTCAGGCAGAGTGCCAGAGGGACCGGTCCCAATGAACAGCAAATCGAGGATCGTTTTCTTCTTGTGCTCTTTGACAGTAGGAGTGGTTGAAGATGAGTAATCGGCGAGGGAGGGAGTGGTCATTGTGAGTTGTTGAGTGAGTAGTATCGTGGGACACTGACAACAGGTCTGGATATATAGTGTGTAGTGTGACACGCATGACAAATGGGTGTAGTCTATGGTGGGTAGTGAATGGTGGAGAGAAAGTTTGAGAAGGGTCCGGTGATCCGGTGAACTCAGAAGGCATTGGGTATTTTTTCCCACGTGTTTTCCCGATATACTCCCGGCCGATCGCGGCCGAGACAGAAGACTGACTTGGTCATCCTCCTCACTCACCACTCGTCTTCGTTTTTACACAGCTTTTACCTCTTCTTTATCTTTCTCCCTTGTACATAGTCTTTCAAACTTCGGTAGTGTTCATATCTCTTACCAAGAAATATATCCTATTCGTTCCGGATCAGTTGAGAGTCGAACAACAAAGAGATGGGTGATCTGATGAGTGACAAACCTTTGATCCTTCACAGACCACTCGTACTCTTCTCCGTTCGAATCTGCTCGTCATCCGTCCGCCTTCCACCGTATTGTTGCTGACCCCATACTTCTCGCTAGTTCTCACCAGTACGACCGATAGCGTCGCATTCACTACAACTACCTCTTCGTCTTCTTCAACCTCTTCAGCTTCTTCCGATGGTTCTTCTAGCAACTCTGGCTTTTATAAAAATGTCAGTCTTCTCATAATCTCGAATCATATAGCGATTCCTTCCTACTCATCTCATTTGCACATACACCTTTTTGGTCATGCTCAAATGCCTCTTCCAGTGTGATATGTTCAGCTCTCTGTCTCACTCCTCACACTTACAGACTCTACGATTAGTCGCCGGTAAAACTGATCCCCTCATCCCACCACATTCGTCGCTATCGTGTAGAGTTTCACTGATTTTCAGCTCTTTTACATCCTTATCGGTCTTCTTGGAGGCTTCGCCGCAGTCTCCGTCATCTCTCTCTGGCGTGCTAGACGTAGACGTGCGGCAATCCTGAATGAAGCCCTCAGGTTAGGTGTCATGATTCCTGGTCTTCCAGGTTACGTACCCATCAGAGACAGGGGAAATCCACTTTGGCAGAGGACGGATGGGAAGTATATGCCGGAATGGTGGGAGGTGGAACCCGAGAAGAAGTTGGATGAGAAGGAGATTGAGAAGGGTATGATAGAAATTGACACGTCGTTTGGATATGAAAAATTGGTGGGTGACATCACTTGTCAAATCGACTATCCTTTGCGGACTGATGGTTTCATCACCAATCACTAGAGAGATCAAACGCACAGATGAGGCACTCACCGACTCATTCAACTCCTCTTCGTCTGATCATGAGGTTTGAAGTAGAGAGAGATGATCCTGACATACCAGAATCCAGTAGCGCTCGTTCCTCCACAAGAAAGACCCGCTCCAGAACCTATTCCAGTATCCAATCTTCGTTATTTCCCCAACCACCTCGCATATCGTTCAGCTTCCCCTATCACTCAGTCTCCATCAGCCATCATAGATGCTTCGAATCTAGGCGCTCTGACCGGGAAAGATGTGGATATGGTCTTCATGTTACGCATGCCGGTCGAGAGTGATAGTCCGGACTCTCTTGCGGGAGTGGACAGCGTGACGAGGCATTGGGATGGGGTTCAACTAGGTATTTCTAGAATACGAGTGGAATGATATTCTCTTCGGGTATAGTCGGCATGATCTTATAGACGTTGTATTAGTATGCATACTTGTACCAAGGACTTCCAATCATGACCTTTGTATTGAAATAGATTGTCCGAGTACAGAGGACAGGAAGACAAAGACGTACTAGAATGACTTCAGGCACGGACGACATGACCGAATTTCCTTTTGTTCTCTCCCCGGTGAATTTTCAACTTTTTGCACTCACTCTATTGTTTCTCACTGAACGATCTCATTCGTACTGATGACCTCGCGGCTTCAGCCTACAGATCTACACAAGCGACTGAAAAGGCCGAGTCCAGGGTATGCAAGGGTGTTATCCGGAGACAAAACGATTTTGTTCACTCCGGAAGATGTTTCGACATGTCCGAATTGACAGAGACCCCATTACTTTGTCTTTCTCGTTCAACTAAACACACCTACTTTCAGACTCTGATATTGATATGATTTCGACTAAAGTAGGCCTGAATATAAAATAAATCTCATCAATCAGTTCATACAAGAAGACACGAGGTCATATCTTACTCCACAAATCCTCGTACTAAGCCACGTTGCATCGAAGACACAAATATAGACGATCAAGCCTCGGAACACTTCTTATCCTCATACCCCCAATCGAGTCATCCCCGTTTGTCAAACGTGTGAGAAGTGTGAGAATCATATATTTAGTAAATTGTACGTTTCTTTCCTACTCACATTGCGTCGAGGCTTACCATCTAACAGATATTATAGGTATTCCATCGAGAAGGAGGTTTCAAGGATTGTGATAAATGATGTCGTCCTCCAATTCGACAGATACACCTTCATCTCCTTTAGAACCTACCACTCCTCCTCAATCTTCTATCAGTGTTGAAATTACCCTTCCGACTCCATCACCAGCATCAACCTTTCGTAATCGAGCTTATTCCATTGATTCACCTTCGGCTGAAGGAACTTTTCGTAAAGGTCATGGGAGAAGTGTGAGTTTCGATCATGATATTCACGATGAAGAAACTTTTAAATCAAAGGGAGAACTCCAGAACCTAAATATCCTGAAATACAATATCCCTCAAAGGAAATCATCAACTATGACAGATGAAGATACTCTTCTAACGGAGACGGGAAAATCTTTGACAATTGGAGAAAGAAGGAAATCTCCTCCTAAACCATTATCATTCATTTCTCGTCAACCTCGTGGTCCACCTTCCGCAGGACTCATCTCACCTTTTTCAATATCGGCAGGATTAGAAGTTTCCAAGTCGTCTCGATTATCCAATACCGCATCTGCTAAAGGATTATCTATAGTTCCAGCATTATCAAAAGGTCTACGACATTCAGTCATTGGATTACCTGGGACACATAGTATTTGGTCGCCTAGTCTCACGGGAGGATTAGGTAGAGGATGGATATCACCTGCTCTTGGAAGTGCTAGAAGTGTAGGTTCAGCATCGAGAAGGGGTTTATCAGTTGCTGTAGTTACGGATGGTGGGGAGTTGATAGCTGAAACACCTGCCACTCCTGGGTTAGGACCAAGAAGAGGTAGTGTGATATCGGAAACTTCAGTGAACGAAAGTGCCAAAATCGATCCTAAAGCTAAAGAAAGTGAGTCAAAACTGTCCTTCTTCTCTTATTTCCCTTCCGGGATTATGGTGAGGATGTATATATGCTGATTATAGTCATTTTATGTCGTTATTATCATACTCCAGGATTGACATGTACTTCCAGACCATGTAGATTCGTTCATTCCCTCGAAGGCGTAGTACCTCAAAGTGCCAAACTTCCGATTGACAAATATAGAATGTTATCACCACTCAAAACTCCAGGACTTGACCCCACAGGTGGTATCTTTGCTCAGGCTCAAATGACACCGAGAGATAATGATTCCACTGAGATGTTGAAAGATGCTGAACCGGGTGAAACGGTGATTCGTCCTAGTGATGAGGGAGAGGTGGTCGGTCAGGTATTCCTTATGAGTGGTGGAGGGAAGGGTCCGGTGGGAAAGAGTAAATCAAAGTTCAAAAGTGAGTTATACCCTGGGAATCTCTTGAGAATTTGACTTATTCGATAGCTGTCAAATGTAACGATTATCAAGAAGGTCATTGTCCTTATGGCGAATATTGTTCTTTCATACAGTCAGTTTAGGTTTTTATTTCACGAGTAGGTGGCTGATAATCAGTGAAGAACCAACGTTGGACCGTACTAAAATGGAGGAAACGCCTCCTCAGATAGTCGAGGGGGTTTTGAACACTTCGAATTCATCCAATCCATCTATTATCTGGTCTAGACGTTCATCTCTCAACTCGGAAAAAGCGCCAAAGGTAGAACCAGCAGCTTTGAAACCCACCAACGCTTGGAATCGACCTCTATCTTTCATCATCAGTCAACAGAGCAACAGAGCCAGCGATACCGATGGAGAGAAAAAACGTCATTCATTCAACAATACTTCAATGGACGGGTTTGAACAGTCTTTTTCGCAATTGAAATCAATCCCTTCCGTCAAGATCGATGAGACGTCGGTGGATAAACAACGTGGAGGATTATCAGCATTTGCTCCTCCTTTCTTTAAAGAACCATACAAGGTTGACGAACATGGAGAATTGGTGAAAGATCCAAAATTGTCTGAAAGAGATATCAACATTCCCATTCTACCGACTACCAACAATACAGAGACGACGAACAAGAACGAAAACAAAGTATCAGCTTGGTCTAAAGGTCCTCCTAAGAATTTAAGAAAAGTGACAATTTCCGAAATACCCCCTTCTACTCCTGCTCATCTTCGACCTCCTCCAACGGCTTATTCAGTCTATGGAACAGATTCTGATCCTGCAACTCCTTGGGATCCAGCAATTCGTTATCTCAAACAACAACAAGCAGATTTGAATAAACTTCAAACAAACATCTCTACGAAGATTTCAGAAGATGTTGAAGAAAATCAACCTATCAATCCTGAATATTCCAATTCGATATTCGAACCACCTACACCACTTCCATTGTCTCCACCCGTTTTCGATCCTTATTATCCATGGGGAATGCCAATGTCTCCTATAGTACCAGAAGGAACTATACTCCCTGAGATCCCTGGTGGATTAGGTGTCATGTGGACACCATCAGGTTGGGCTGTACAAGATGCAGCTATGAAAAACGCTTTGAGATCTACGGAAATCAAATTTTTAAATCCAAATTCAAGACGTGGTCGTCCTAAAGAATATTATCGTTCAAAACCTTGTAAATTCTTTAATGAAGGTTTTTGTCCACATGGGGATTCATGTTCTTATCAACATGTACCTAATTTGAATCTTTCATCAGAATTATCAACATTCTCTTCCATGTCCAAGTCTAATCTAAATTCCAACTTCAACTTCAATTCCAAATCCAATTCCGAAACGGAAAATGAAGTTATGAAAGATGAGTTTAATGATTCAAACAAGAAGAAAGAAGAAGAAGGGAAAATCAATTTGAAAATCCATACGATCCCATGTAAATTCTTCAATTCTACAAGAGGTTGTAGTAATGGTGATAATTGTACTTTTTTACATACTCTGGTTTTACCACCCGAAGTTCCAATGGTGGAAAAACCGAGACCTTGGAGAACGAAACCTTGTAGACATTTTCAAGTTGGGACTTGTAGATTAGGAGATGCTTGTCATTTCGCACATGTTTTAGATCCTAATTTTAAAGATTACGAACCTAAAGATACACCTTGTAGACAATGGGCAATGGAAGGGAAATGTGAAATGGGGAATAGATGTAAATATAGACATGTTGAAGTGGGTGGAACGGAAGGAGTAACGGAGGAAAGGTTGGCAAGGACTTTTGAAGAGGTTAGAAGGAAGAAAGAGTTGGAGGAGGAAAATGAAGATAGTGATGAGGATGATGATGATGATGATGATGTGGAAATTGTAAGTTAATCCTTACTCCTCTCATATTGTATCTTTCCTCTAGATATAACCTCAAAACTCCATTTACTCCTATAATCTAACGTCAGCGGATGTATTTTACCAACCCCTCAGACATGACATTATATTGTCCGTCCCCCTCTACGCATTGGGCATCGATGGAATAACACTGGATTTGACGTCTTCTGTCAGGATGGTTTTTGGCCTTTGGAGTCGGTATTCACCATATCAAGTTGGAGATTAGAGAAAATGTCCTAATTCCCAGGTGACAGAATACACCTCACCCATCTCCGCGTCGAAAAGTCCTACGATGAAAGCTTGGCTTTCGAGTGTGCGAGGGTGAGATATTCGACTCGAAATTACGAACATGAAGGGGATGAATGTTGGATCGAGTGTCTCATGACCATACTTGTATGTTGAAGTCGGACTTTTGAAAGGTTGATATTTAAGTTAGTCGAATTGCATGACTTGTATGAAATTCATGCTTGTTGCTTGTGTCCTTCTGCCTGAACTCCCCACGTTGTCCTGGGTGTCATAATCGATTGATGGCAGAGTAAGCTTAAGTTAGGTAAGATGAGTGAGTAGAGTACTCGAGTGGAGTAACTTTACTCGTACTATTCCAATGTGGCGACGCCGACGCCGCTTTAACGCCTGGAGAGAGGGAGAGGTCCTTTGTAAGTTGAAACATTGCGAAGAGACCACCGTCTTCCGCCAATAGCATTGAGTTTCGTCACTCCTACTAAGCTCACAGGACACGTCATGCATAGACACTGTGTCCCTCTGACCCCTGTATGATTCACCTTACTGCCGAGTCCGACTTGATGCCTTGGCGGTGGGCGGTGGCAGGCTCAGGAGAGGGGAGGAAAACCAAAGCACGGATCATATCAAGTCGCGAGTGATTTTCCACTTTTTCTTTTTTTGTTTATTAGCGATCCTAGCATTTTTGACGCATTGACCCCTCCTCCTTCGCTCGCGCTCGGATCCTTCAACCCCCTGAACCAATACACTCATCCGTTTCATCTTGTCCTTTTCAACCATCTCATATCTTACTTCTCTTACTCTTACTTCTTACTCTTTTCTCAAACTCGTATTCGCTTTGGACGACAAACCTCACGCTCTTTGACAGACATTCTCTCATAACTTAACTCCTACTTCCTCAACACACCATCGACCATCGACCATCAACCATCAACAATCAACAATCATCTAACCTCGAAAACTCGAGTGTCGACGACGACAACACCGCTACAGGTCGAGACGATCATATACGAGTATAGCTCGTCCCTATACTTCAAAGTTACTATTGAACATACTTGTATTTAGTGATTCCTGAAGCAAAGGTGAAAAACATGTTGAGTATCGTTGTTGTTCTCGCGCTGATTCATTGTGAGTTTTTGGTCCTTTTTTCAAGTGGGAATTCAGGCTGATGATTTCTTCCTTTCCTTCGATACGACCTCACTACATACCCTTCACTTTGTCTTGCATCATTTCTTTTCGAATTGCACCCACTTCACGAACACGTACGTGCACGATGGACTGGATTGGAACTTGTAATCATGGTGTATTACACTTTGCATAAACAGCCGTATTAGCCGTCGACGGATGTACCCGTACCGCCGTCGTTCAGGCTGGTGACACTTGCGATTCCATCTGTAAGTTCATCCTAACTCAGTCCTTCGTCAGACACCATCTACCATCATGTTCTCACTATGTCCTCGAAGAGTATGCTTCGACATGAGAGAGAGTTTATAAGAGGTGACCAGGGCTAACGCCACCTCTCCCACTTACTTGACAACACGCCATCGACCATCCACTCCTTACCCTCCTTTGACAACACCACATCTCCCCATACAGCCCGACAATATGGAGTATCGACATTCCAACTTGCCCTAGTCAACGAGGCATCTATCGATGAGAATTGCGATAATTTGAACCCTGGTGACACTGTATGTTTGGGTGTCGAAGGTGTGGATTGTACAAAAGTGTATACTGTCGTGGAAGACGAGTGGGTTCCTTTCTTTGCTTCTCACCCTTCCTTTACTCCACAATTGTCCCTCTGTCAAAACCATCTCAACCTTTCTCCTTCCCTCTCCCCCGTCGCGCCACGTGCACTCTGACCTTGGCACTCGAGGTTTTTGCCATTGGTTTGTCACACGATTGTCAGATGAGTTGAGGATGAGAGATCGACGTTGACAGATGACTGACTTGCAGCACTTGCGACGGACTCATCGGCACCTATGGCATGTCAAACGATACGCTTTACTCGAACAACCCTCAAATTGACGCACCTTGCGATAACATTTACGTCGGAGAAGTACTTTGCGTCGATACTAACGCATTCTCTTATCCTACATACAACGACACTTTGTACCAGGTGAGGCTTCTTCTATAACTCTGTGTCTGACAACCTCCCTCCTCGAAGCCATCATCACTTTCACAATCACTGTCGTGTCGAGTGCCGCGATATCATCTCTGAGGTTGATAATATCATTGTTGAAACAGGAAGTATACTCACTCACAGGTCCTCGCTTGGACTTACGTGCCACTCTGCCCGGAGTAAACCCTACTCTCTATCCAACGGGAGATAATCCACTCGCACACTTTGAACGCTCTGGATGAGCTATGATGTCTTTGTCTCGCTGTACGAATGAGTGTCTTGACGCTATTTTAGGAACATTTGATAAGAAAAAAGAGGCTTTGTGCGCTGGTAGCTTCAGAGATGAAACGATGAATTTGTTCACATTGTTCAGCCTGCGCCAATCTTGAATTTTTTGGTCAACTTTTGAGCTGGTCAGTTCCTTCGATATGGTCTCTGAACAGACACTTCCTGATGTCTTTCATCTTCCTAATGGTCATAAAGGCCATCTTTATTAGCCACTGGGTGACGGTCAAGTTGCACAGCGTACAGCGACCTTGTATGACGTTTGACATTTGGGTGGTGGTAACGACCTGTTGGACAATACCCGAACGACCATCTTCATCACCGACCACTACCAACTCATGTCTGTACTTCTCTGTGACTCTTCGTTCGACTTTAGACCACTTGACTCATGAGCAATGAGCTGGAGCCAGTAGCTAGCTAGTAGCTCTTAGTTCTTCACAGTGCTGATATCACATTATGTATCCTATAATCGTTCCAAGTCGCCAAAACGATGTGGCCTCAGGACTCTCATCCCTCAACCCCAAGGACCATCGATTCAACCTCGTCCGCTTCCCACCTCCTTCAAATCTCCTTCTAAGTGAGAGGAGAAGGTATCATGGCCAATGCCAGCGTCCTCCTCTCCCCTTCTGCCCTGGAGGTCACCCACTTCATCTATCTATGTTCTCAACGAACTATTCCCCTTGTCTTCCTTGTCAACGTCTCGGGGTATACGGTCGGGGAGAAGGCGGAGAGAGGTGGGATAGCCAAAGATGGGGCCAAAGTGGTTAGAGCGGTAGCACGAGCCAAAGTTCCGAAGTTTACCGTGGTCGTAGGAGGTAGCTATGAAGCTGTGAACTACGGTAAGCTGTCTCGAGAATCCCTTTGGAATAGCTGACGGTTCAGGCATGTGCGGCAGAGCGGTCAGCTTCGTATCAAACGTAAGGATCAGTTGATAAGTAGTACTACCCTCGATTTCTATGGATGTGGCCCAATACAAAAATATGCGTCATGGACCAAACCAATTATCATCAGTCATACAGACTGTGTCGAGTAAGCGTGGGTCATACACGGATGAGAAGAAAGAAGATAGGTATCAAGAGTTGAGAGAGAAGATCGAGCGGCAGAATTCGGCTTTATGTTTCACCGCTAGAATCTGGGTAGGTGCATGGTGGGTGTCACAATCCCCCCAAGTCTGCCTGTCCTGCCACATCACAGAGAACGACGCTGATGTCAAGGATGACGGGATCATCGCTCGGTCTGGTAGGGGATATACTTGGCCTAGGTCTTGAGCTCGCACTGGAGGAAGAAGCGACATGTCCGATTGATCATGGAGAGTGGGTGATTGGGGTGTATCTAGGATGTGACAGTAGGTGATGTACTTTTTTTCACTTCTACACCTCATAAGTTGAGAACTTTGTACTACTTCATGCTTACTTGTACTCAGTACATCATGCTTCTTCCTCCTGCCCGGCATGTATATGTATGCGCAGTTATACCGGTAAAGTGCCACGTGTGAGTGTGAGCTGAAGGCTACGAGGTTCATGAAGACACGCCACGGCTTGAGGGACATGGGAAGGGACCTGAAGCCATTGACAAGCATGTTTCACCTTTGTGCCAGGGTCAATACCGGAACATGAGTCAAGTCAATTGGACTGAAGCTTGATTCATAGAGCGTTTGACCCATCCCTTGTACAGCTGGACAAACGCGTCGGCGGGCGCGTCGAATCGGTGTTTACCTTACACCAGGAACCCGATAAGCCGGGACCGAACTTTTCTTCCTCTCAACTACTGTAGAGTACAAGTGACCTGCAGCCTAACCCTCAAAGTCTCCATAAAGGGCAACGGCCGAAGAATCAAAAGAACCAAATAGCTCGATCTCATCATCAAATGAACACCCCAAAACTGAAAACTCAAGCTTGAAGCTCTCTTCTCTCTCATTCCCCGAATCATGACATAAACACAAAGAAGCATGATCCCGTGGCGTCAAACTTGACACTACTCTTGGCGAAGGAACATATCTCACTTGGTTTGTCTTATCCGATGGGTTAAAATAATCTCGAAAAAGAAGATTTAGTCTTTTCCAAACTAAATGAATCATCTTTATCTCTTTTCTTCCGTTTACTTTCCTTTCTCTCCTTATCCGCCTCTACGTCTTCCCATGTATATTTGTTATCTTACCTACTGATGGTCCAGACGTCTCAACGACCAGACAGGGAAGAAGTCGTTTGGAAATTTGGGGATCAACAAGTCAACAATACCTCGTGATTCACCATTAACTTAAGTGGTACTTACGATTAAACATCTTCTTTCCTCACTAACTTCTTTACTTTTTCATTCTTCTCTTCAAATATCAGATATCACACATTCTTTCTTCAAACTTTTCATCTTTCCAACGACAACCAATTCACAAACTTTCAAGTCGAATTCAAAGTCATTCTCAATCAAGTTCGACCATATAAACCACACGACATAACAATGCTCCCTTCTATCATCCTTCTCTCTCTGACCGCTTTGAGCGCATTCGCTATCCCAGCTCCTGATCCTGAACCGGCTCAAGTACCAGGTCATCAACTTCGTCAAGCTACTAGAGATTCAGTAATTTCAGCATTAAAACGTGAAGCTTTAGGATTGAAAAGACGTCAAACTACTGCGGCACCTTATCCTACTTGTCCTAATGAACAAGGTCAAGATTCAGCTCATCCTTTCCCCGCTGCTGTTTATCTGAACACTTTGGGAACTTATAATGAAGAATTTTCAGTCGTCGGGACTGCCATGTCTGCGACTTTAGATGAATGTTTGGAAACTTGTAGATCTACCACTGGTGAGTCTTCCCCCCATTCCTTCCTCACCTCTCAGACATCTGATTCATTTCCTTCCCTTCTCTTAATTTTCACCTTGACGAACAACCTCCTCCGTTCGTTGATTCGATTGCGCAATTACCGTGACATTTCTCGTCTGGAAGTATACCTCTCCCCTTGTTTCGAGCAGACTCGGAAGAAGTCTACATGTTATTCGCTATGATCGATCCTGAGCTTCGTAATTTCGACGTCCACGAAAACGACGAAGCAAAAAGAATGAAAAAAGAAATGATACTGATACATCACAGGATGTGTATCTATCAATTATAACCCAAACAACAACCCAACTTGTTCTTTACTCAACACGATGGAAACCAACCTTCAAGCTTATATGGGTGTCACATACGGTGTTGTCGGTACTGATTGCGCTAGCAATGCTGTCAATTGTGAGTATTTCTCTCAACTTCTCCCTCTCCCCTTTCCCTCACCTTCCCCTCTCTCCCTCACGATGTTCTTTGTCACAATTCATCCCATGTGAGATCCCCAATTGCATTCTTCGAACATAACATCCCTAGGTGAATGATACCATCGAGGTGACTTGGCCCATAGATCAAAATGACATACACTCCTCGGTCAAATAACATACACTAACTCAATAGCCAACAACCAAGCATGTTGTAACGTCTATAGTGATACTGCCTAAACGATAACATCATACACTTCAATCTTTATCTCCACACCCCATCGACTCACTTTCTTGTACAGTCTTCGTGTGATTCTTGGGACATTGAGATAATGGACAATTATTCTGATACGTCGGATGAACTTCATGTATGAATGATACATTTTTCACGCCGTCGTTGGCCTTCATGACAACATAACTTATCTGAAAACCATCTAATCTTTGAGGCAGATCCCTCTTCGCCATTCCTCCCGACTTGGAAAACCCTTGGCTCGTCCCGATGTCCACCGAAACCATGCCAGAGGGAAACAAGCTCATGCTTCATAGCCATAGACTGCGACGATCCAAGTACTATCGAGGACAAAAATACATGCATGTGATAAACTACTACGTGAATTGTAATTTTTGACTAGATCTTTCCATTTACGCACACTTGACGCAAACGACAATCACGCAGCGATATGTGACACATCCCGATCCCAATAACGGTGTCTTGCGACACCATCGAGGAACTTCTTCGAAAACTCAACACCCGTCCCAAGCGAATTGGCAAACACCACACCATTCTCCTGCACCACATCGCTCGCACCCTTGACACCCGTTGAAAAATCTCCAGGTAGACAGAGATCCGTGACGAACGGAACGGCGTTGCCTGTAGCACCAATCGTTTTGAAGTGCATGTACGCCTCTCGAACCGCGTGAATCAATCGACCTTGCTTGAATTTCTTGGCAAAAGCTTCGTCCGGCCCACCAACGAAAATGATCGCGTCGAAATGTGTCGAACGTGAGTTTTCGAAAGTAAACTCGGCAGTCAATGTCTCCCCTCCTGACGCCTTGACGGCGCCGGAAGCCACGCTGACTATCTTCGCCATCACCCCGGCAGCCTCCAACTCCGTCTTGAGAGGTGCAGCTTGCGAATAGTCGAAACCTGGTACGCAGTAGATACCCACTTTACGACCTTCGGCGGTGAATACTGATGCTTAGCGACGCCCTTATTGTCAGCAAGAGATAACCCACCTTGAGACTTTCCAGTAACCTGACTGAGATATTCCGACCTCTTTCCATGATTGGGGACCGCATCAGGGACCTTGACATCTTGCAAAGCTTCGGCTACTTGCAAGGCGAAATCGTGATCAACAAGGTTAAATCGTTCGATAGCGCTCTGTTGTACGACCGTCTCGAAACATTTGGAGAGCTCGAATTGCGCGGCCGCAATGATATGTTTCTTCTCGACTTCACTCATTGAATTGTAGAACAACTGAGCTTGACTGACAAACTCGTTGAACTTTGGACCGTGTGCACGCTCTTTGACACCGGAGACTTTTTCCGGATACGGGGCAAAGCCGCCTTCGGCGGGTGCGGTCAAAGGAAGAACGTCATGACGGTTGGGGTGATATGCCATGCGGTTTGACTTGCTGAACATGTTCGGCTTGCCATCACGTTGATTCGTGGCGAATGGACAGACGGGTCGGTTAACTGGTATATCACCAAAGTTGATGCCGAGACGAGTGATCTGAGTGTCTTGATAGGAGAAATTACGACCAGCCAGGAGAGGATCACTAGAGAAGTCCATACCGGGTACGATGTGCTGAGTGCAGAAAGCAACTTGCTCGACTTCGGTAAAGTAATCGACGGGATTGCGGTTCAACGTCAATGTACCAATGTTTTTGACGGGTACCAGATCTTCGGGGATAATTTTGGTAGCGTCAAGTAGGTCGAAATCGAACTGCCAAGGTCAGCGCAGTTCCGCGGCAGACCGAGAGGTGCCTACCTTGTGCTCATCTTCCTCGGCGACCAGTTGCACTCCAAGCTCCCACTTAGGGTACGCGCCCGCCTCGATGGCATCCCACAAGTCCCGACGATGGAAGTCTGGGTCTTGTCCATTAAGCTTCAGTGCCTCATCCCATACGAGGGAGTGAGTGCCAAGATGTGGTGTCCAATGGTATTTGACAAAAGTGCTCCTGCCCTCCGCGTTGATCAGACGAAAGGTGTGAACTGAACCTTAGCTCATTTGACTCCAGAGAATGAATACTGCCCACCTCCAAATCCTTGCATCATACGGAATGACCGTGGAATACCACGATCTGACAGAATCCATTGCTGCATATGGGTGGATTGCGGGTGCAAGGATAAAAAGTCCCAAGCGTTGTCGTGAGCAGTCTGGGCCTGAGGAATTTCATTGTGCGGCTCAGGCTTGAGGGCGTGAACGAGATCGGGGAACTTTATAGCGTCCTGCCGGTCAGATCAAAAACCTGATTGTTCACCTCTTTCACATACCTGAATGAAAAACACAGGCATGTCGTTACCAACTTTGAAGTCAGCATCGGACCGGTTTGCGAACAGATTTGCCTTGAGGGCAATGTAACTCACCCAAATCCCAATTACCTTCATCGGTGTATAATCTCGAAGCGAATCCACGAGGATCCCGCACGGTGTCTGCACTTCCACGAGATCCACCCACGGTGGAGAATCGTACATAGGCGGGAGTGGTTTTTCCCGTGTCTAGGAAGATCTGTCCGTCAGAACAGGTCTCATCGACCGGATGACACGTACCTTGGCGCTAGTGATTCCCGTCAAGGGGATATGGAGTTTGAACTCTCCAAACGCAGAAGCCCCGCGGGCGTGAACAACTCGTTCCGGAATTCGCTCATGGTCGAAATGACTGATCTTTTCCCGATTGTGGAAATCCTCTAGGACAGTCGGTCCTCGAGCACCAGCTCGAAGGGCTTTGTCTGTGTCCTCCTCCGTAAGTAGAGTAGGACCTGAGAGACGACAGACTCACAGAGACTTTTGTTCCAAAGTAAGTTGTCAATGGAGTCGTGCTGTCTTGGTGTATAGTGAAAGACTCCATCTGACGGGCCTTAGCATCACCGACAGTCGAGTTGACTACTGAGCTTTCAGCGGATACGATCGATAGGTGGGGAGAAGGACGAACCCTTGTCAGCCACTTGGTGCAATACTTGAGCCATCGTGACTGTTTTTGTCTATGCTAAAATATACGTAGGGCTGTATGAAAGGCGACTAGAGCGAAGTAGTGGCAAGAATAGTGGAAGGGAAGTCGATTGGGGAAGAATGGAAATCTGGATGAGACAAAGGTGTCGTCTATAAGAGGGGGCGATCATGACGTACGTCGGTGGCCGTGGGATGTTAACCGGCTGATGGCACAAAGCAAGAGATCTGGTTGGCCAGCAACCGTCCCCACTAGTTCATTGCCGATCTCGACTGCATCCACGATTCACGATCTAAGCCAGGTCCCAGATCCCAGACGTCATAGGCCGGTCGAGACACGCGTGGCCAGCACGCCCAACAACCACGTGGCGGAATGCGGAGAAATGTGGGTACGTGGCGGCCATCAGGTTGGGGGGATTCCTACCATAAGTAGTACTCGTTGTCACGAGTCGTTCGAACACACGACCTGTTCGAACACTCCTCTGCTCCCCGGTAGGTTTTGGTGCCCAGAATTTCGTCCTGCTTGAGATCAGAGGCTGTTCGAACGGCTCGTGTTAACGAGTACAGCGTGGACGACTCCATATGCAATGCATCACCCTTCCTTTAAAAATGTTCCCGACTCATGGTACTCACACCTCAATGCTGGCCTCGCAAAGCACCAATTGGATGGCACCACACCGTCCACACGAGCGAGGCTACGGCTACCATTTCAGTTCACCCCAATACTTTACTTCTATACCCTATCGCCTGCTAATTTCAGTGTTAAAACACAATTCGCGACACGATCTGGACGGTTTGACTCCACAATTCAAAGGTATCGGACATATCAAATGGCGACATGTGACCTGTGCAAGTCAGCCATCGGCGACGCACAACACTTATTCGAAGATCGCCCTCGCTCGCCTACGACCCTACAAACAGGCTAGAGTGGTTCGAATATCATCCTGACCAATGCCCTACACCTGCCCCTCATGATACTGTAACTGACGATGATGAAGCTGATCCACACACGAGTAAGGAGAACATCGCAAGAGGGTGGAAAGTGTACATCGCCTCATGATTACTGGAGAAGTAAGGGTGGACGGCCATCAAGGTTCTGGCTGGGTCATGTCCCTCCACCACCCGCACCTCTGACAGCGTGCCATGCAGCTCTAGCTTACGAAGCGGCGATATTGACGACTGGCGTATTAGCGGCAACAATATACGACCTCAGAGATAGGGATAAAAAGGAGAAACAGGAACAGGAGAGACGGACTGACGCGCGGACAATCAGCGATAGCGATATCCATATCGAATACGACAGCACCTCTGAGGAAGAGAGTCTTATAATACCAGGAGCAGATGAGGACTTGGAAGTCGAAAGTGCTGATACATCAGTACCCCCTCAACGCCAACAGGAATATATAGAAAGACGCACCGACATACCAACATCTGCGATATCAACCAATCAACAGTCAATCGCAACGGACTTTCACGGAAACCGACAAATCATACCTGACCGGGCAACCGAAACGCCCAGTTCCACCATGGACCCATCACGTCCCCCATCGATCACCAACTCGCAAACCCCATCACACACCCAATCGAAGCCCACATCCTACCAAATGACAAACCTCCCGATCGTAAGCTCCGAGTTTCCCTTGCCCTACTCCAAGCCAGAAACAAACGGAAGAGAGATTGGCCGTCGAGTACATCCATACCAACTGATGAGGCGATAATTGAGGGTCCGGAGGGTGAAGCAATAGGCATACATATCAGTCAGTCACGATGACAGCTGGAGTCGATGATGAAATGGGGTACCGGCGGTATAATCACAGAGGATCAGTCACGCAAGATGAAGTCGGATCATCGAGAGGAAGTCGAAGGCGAAGGAGGAAAGTCGGGCAAAAATGAGGGGGAGGGGAGGGTTGCCCATCACTCACACAATAACGTCAAACAATGACGTCATGGGCGAGCTGTTCTTCTAGTGGCTAGGAAATTGTGTTGTGGTTGCGAGGAACTTCGACGCCGCAAAAACGCGTGTTCGATTCACGCACAGCTCAACTTTTGCGCACATCGGATTCTACCCGCGGTGCGCTGCCTCATGCATCGCTAAAAGACTTCGAAGTGGCCAAGCAGCTGTTCAAGAGGGGTGGTCTACGCAGAACTCGTGCTTCGACCATAAAACCTCGTTCAAACTCCCAGCCTTTTTCCCGTTGCCTTGTGCCCGACCCCTGTGCATCTTCTCGTCGTTTCGTTCCTTTGTTCCCAAGGTGCCACGGCGCATCCAAACATACGGCAAACGTAGTACGGCGTATGGCGACTGGCTCACAGGCACATGGGCCGAGCGTACGCCGCGTCCGATCTTCCTTGCAAAGGGATACTTTCTTCACCCTTTCCCATGAACTCTGGCTCTTACGGTCCTTTTCCCAAAGTATCAAAGTGCTCCCTCGCCCGAGTAGGGCAAATGCGATTCATGGTAGGTTTGACGTGACCGAGCTCGGCTCTCCCCCCTTGAACTTCTTTCTCTCCACCTTTCTCACTCTCTTCTTGACGGTCCTTGCTACCCCTCCCTCATTGACTCACTCGCGATCATCACTAATTTCTCAAACACAACTGTCTGACTTTGGTCAAGTAAAGTCTCATATACGAAACAATACCCACCACTCGCTTCCACTGCGTGAATCTTACCCATGAATACTTGAAGGAAGTCGCTCCACAGGATAGGGACCGACGGGGAAGGTCTAGCGGTTTTGGGTCAACATCATGGCCCCTCCCGCTCGTCATGCGAGAGAAATGAAGCTTGTGGTAGTTGGTAGTGGTGGTGAGACTTCGTTCGCACTCTTCCCCCATAGTCGTACCATTTCACACTTGAAGTGGAAGATTGGTCTTTGACTGATGTCACAGGAGTGGGGAAGAGCGCAATTACTATCCGATTCACAACTGCTCAATTTTACGATCAGTACGTACCGTTTACTCAATCTTGCCCTTGCATATGCCGTACTACACCAGCCCAGAGGCCTCTTAAGGGATACGTTTCAAGTTTGCTTCCTAAAGATCATTCACCCGATTAGGGGATGGGGTAAATGTGTGTCGTGGAGAGAGGGGAAATGACTGCAGGATAACATTGAGCTTATTGACAGAGGTTATAATCCAACAATTGAAGATTCGTGAGTTTTGTCATGACGGCATGGACGGTAGATGGTCAAAGTCTCTGATTATATTCCAGATATCGAAAACAATTCGTGGTAGACGACGAAGCTGTTACATTAGAGATCCTCGATACTGCTGGACAGGGTCAGTTTTGTCTTCCTTCTCCCTACATCTCAAAACCCTTTGCAGCCTTCTCTTTACCACAATAAGGTATCCTCATTGTGAGCTGCCCTCTGGCCTTTACTGATACTTATCTCCGAAGGAGCAACAGCAGTCAGAATCAGATGCGACTCACGGTTTGGAGTTCCAGTTGAAGCTGATGACCAGAGGAATATGCAGCCATGGCAGATCAATGGTATACTTTCGGAGCGGGTTTTCTCCTCGTCTATTCTATCACCGACCGCCCAACTTTTGACTCCATTCCAGGCTTCCATCAAGATATTTTGAGGGTGAAAGATAGACCTTATGTTCCATGTGTAGTAATCTCGAATAAGGTGGGTCATTTGATCTATTCCGTTTCCTTCTGCCTCGTCATGCACCTTGACAAGTGCAAATGGACATTTGAAACTTGTATCTCCGCAACATTCCATTATAGACAGTCAAGGGTTCGGGACATCTACAACGATGCGCAATAATTAATGCAATGTTGTGGTCGACGTGGATGAATGGCTGACGAACAGTGCGATTTGGCACGATTACGTGCTGTAGGGCAGTTAGAAGGAAGAGATATGGCCCGTTCTATCCAAGCTCCCTTTATTGAATGTTCAGCAGTGGACGGTGTTAATGTGGATGTTGCATTCCGAGAATTGGTCAAGTTAGTGAGGAAAGAAGAGAGGGTGAGTCGTTCTTTTTCATGTAATTTCCTTGCGACAAATCCACTTTTCCCTGCATATCATACGTTTCAATTTCCTCTTTACCTTGCCAGGCCTGCCGAGTGACTTGGTCAGGGTGAAAACCGCGCAATAAGAGTGTCGGAAGATGAAGACTATCCATGGGGATAACAAGTTGGGTAACTGACAAGAAAGAGACAATCTCAAGCAGCTCAAAGATTACTCGCTCCTGCCGTTCATGAAGCCAAACCTTCCTCATCTTCACACTCCCGAGGGTGCTGTATTATCATGTGATTAGTTGATGCTGATGGGGACATTTTGTTATTTGCATGGATGGTTTGATGGGCGACGATGCATTTGGTTTCTCTACAACCTATTTGAGCCAACGTGTACACGCAAGAGTATCTCTGATGTATAGATATCAAGTTGTTCATGGAACCGGAGGACGGGAAGTGGAATTAGGACCGTCGATGATGGGTGGGACACGGTATATCAATGAATATTCGCTATTCGTCAGCTGCCATGAAAAGATAGAAAGCCGGGATGAAGATGATTGAAGTTGTGCACGGGTTGTAGGGCAAGGCTAGTTCAGGATGTTGACGAGAGATTCTTCTCTGCTGGATAGAGATGAGGACATATTGTGATGAAAGTGGAAGGAAAGTGTAAAAACGCACCTATCAGCAGCAGTCAAAGCCCAAGCTAATCTTCGCAAACCTAAATCATTCTGACCCACATCATGTGCGAGATAACCACCCTTCTGAGCCAACCTAACGGAATGTGCCAAATGTCCGCCCTTTCTGACTGGACTCAAATCCATCCTGTACGCTAATAACTTGGAAACCACCATCATATCATCCGTCGGATCATCTTCCTCGGCTAATTGCATAGCCAACAAACAAGTGTCGGTATATCTTTTAGAAGCAGCAAAAGGAAAATCCCCTTCGTCGGCCCGACCTTGACTGATCAGACCTGCCAAGGAAGGAGGTAACTTTTGGTTTTGCCCAAGAACGTTGAAATTGGTTTGTGTAGCATATGCCAAAAAGCAATAAGCAATGGCGACTGTGGTGGCGTCACCTCGGGCGATGGGACGGTGGTGTAAGTCTTGCCAATTCGAACGCCATTTTTCGGCATAAGCCTCGACGCCGATCAAGAGTTGGGAAGAGTCTTCGGTGAAAACATATCGGAAAAGGACATCTTGCTGCGGGACGGGAGGTAAATGATCCAGTAAACCCTGCACGGCTACCGCATAACGATCGATTCGACTAGGGCGTGTAGCTGAAGCTTTGTTGATCCTACGCAGATTTTCTGCGGGATCGATTTTACTCGGTCTTGAGGGAGAAGAAGACCTAGATCGTTTGATAGGTCTCAAATCCCCAGAGATTACTTCCTGGGGAGATATATTCGGAGGACCATTGTGGACACGTTTGACACCGGTTATAGGACTTGCATGACTTTCCAATTCGTCCAATTCATCTTGAGTTCGCAAGAGTGCTGACGAATCCCCACCAGTGATCTCGAGTAAATCGGCGATGGTCGATCGGGGGGGACCCAAAGGGACAGACGTAATTCGAGGTGGGGAACGATCTCCCCGCGTTTTTTGCAGATCCCGGTTCGGATGGGCGTCTTGAACAACCCATGTCGGACCTACGCCATGTTCGCTAGACGCATGCGTTCCTGTACGAGGACTGGACGAGTCTGATTCCGGCTCGTACGATCGTCTTGGTCCCGTCGTGATTGGACCTGTATCTGGGTGTTGAGTAACCGGGATCGAAGGATCATTCGGACCGGCATTGACGGGAGCGTGTGTCCACCAGCGTCGGGCTTGCTCATCTCGCCATACTTCGCGAGGGTCGTGTCGATCCCGTGGGTCAAATGGCCCGGACGGTCCCGGTCCAATTCCAGGTTGAGGATGAGGACGGGGCTGTTCCGGAGATGGGAGACCTCCATTGAGGTAGTTAAGGGAATGAGGATGGGTTCGTGAGGGATGTGGGAGAGAAACAGCTTGGGGTCGAGTGTCAGAATTAGAATTGGGATTGGGATGAGAACGTTGTGTTACCGGTCGATCAGAGTCGTTCTCTTTGTATGGATTATTATTCTCCGCTTCTTGTGAATAATCACATTGATGACCTTTACGAAGACATGAAGAGCATGCAGGTCGAAGTTGATCACACTGTTTGTAAGCTCCTTTATATGTCATAGTGAGAAGCCCGTGGCCCATTCAAACAGATGATGTGTATGTGGGTCGGAGGTAATGGGAACATGTATGGAATGCTCACTCTGATTTTGCGACGATGACAGAGCTCGCAGCTACTCTTCCTACTCTTCGCCCCGCTGCTCTTATTCGGATTCGCAGCCCTCTTCGGCGAGATGGTACGTTGACCCTGAGGTGTGTGTTCATGCGTCAGCGTCGTTCGAGGGTTTCCGGTGGGTTGTGGCGAAGGCGGAGTGGGGTAAGCGCTTGGTACCCATAACGGTCTGATGGGTTCTCGAACGTCTCGACTATCGCGGGACTCTGGAGGGGCAAAATTGAGTCTAGGAAGAGTTAGGTCGGGAGGCGAACCATTACGAGAAGGAGGATCTGATACTCCGGTCCTACTGGATTGAGGGTATATGGAGCGAGCCGATAAAGGTGGCGGAGAGATGGAACGATTATGTTCTAAGATACGGATTGGTGGAAGTTGTATAGGTGGTAATTGTGAACGTCGTTCGGACGAAGCGGAAGCAGGAGGGGAGAACATGGCGGACATGGTGATGTGTCTTGTACCGTTAATACAGAGGATGGATGACTGAGAAGAGAGATGTTGTTATGGTCCGGGTGATAGAAACGAGATTGAAGAACCAATATGATGAAACAGAGAAGTAGTACCGGGGACCGGGTAAGCGGGCGGAGAGAGAGTGAGAGGGATGAAGAGAGGATGAAGAGAAAGAAGGGGGGAGAAACAAAGTAAATCACGTAGCTCCTAGCTCCAACGGGATAGCAACGTATGGCACTAGTCTAGGCTTTCTCAGCACCGCGCACCGCACGCCGCGCCGCGCCGCACCCCCAGGGCAAGGGGCGAAAGCAAGGGCAGAAAAGATGGGTATGATCGAGACCGAAACTCCGGACCGAGAACATGAAAGTGTCAAGGGTAAAAACGGAGGGTAAGGGTTGGGTCCGCAGTGTGGTTCTTTCACGGAATCTTGTGTTCCGAGGCGTTCTGGAAACCCCGGGACCTGGATAAGAGAGGGAAAAGCGAAATTCGAATTGAAAAAAGGGATTTTTATGGCGCAAGAGGCGAGGGACAATGACCGACGGGAATTGAATGACTTTGGGACTTCGGAGATGAATCGCCGACCGAATTGTTCTCCTCAAATGTGTGTCTTTATTTTTGAGACCGAAAGTAGAGAAATCTCTTTCCGTTCCTCCGTTCCATAACCCTTTCTGATCCCATCAAAATCATCGGATCATCCATGCAATCCTCTGAACCGATACTTTTCCTCTCTTCCCTGCCGAAGTGCCGAGAATCGGGAGTCCAGAACATTTTACCTTTACTTTTCATTATGAAGCAAAGCCCGAAGGCTAGGCGTGTGATACGTGAGAAATTGACACTTTTGCATGCTATTCAAAAGTCGATCATTCAAGTGTCTCTCGGCGTACGGTGTACGGCGTGCTTTACTCTTCTCTTTTCACGACTTACGGCCCTGAGTGCTCGTCTTCCACTTCTACCCTTCAAATGCTGCGGCGTACGGGCGTGTTACATGCGAAATGCGGCGTCGGATCATGTTTCTCCCGATTCAAAAAGCCTAAAAACTCTCCTTTACATCCGGAGATTCCTTCTTTCGGTTTTTTTGCTGTGCTTCATTCGACTAGTCATAGACCTCGAAAACACTTTCTTCTTTTACCCAAAACGAATGCAAAGTTCTCAAGGATGCTTTGATCGTCTACCGATCTCCGACAGGCCCGACACTAAGGGGTAAAAGCTAAGCTCACATAGAAATGAGACCGATCGGCGGTACTAGGAACTCTATCCCTCGCTTCGAAGTTTAATCAAAAACCGTCGGCACCCCGGCAAACAAAAAAAAAGGAGAAAATCATCATTGGACACGGACACCGAGTCTCGGACCATACTTGTACCTTTTCTTCCGTCTCATGAGGGTTAGACGTAAGGCACTAGCTCGTACGCCCCTGTCCGATCAGTCCAAAAACGACGTAATTTATCGATTGAACGCTCCACTCTGCTTTTAGCAGCCTCCACTTGGGAAAATTCATATCCCAGCAACCGGCCCTACTTACTAAGATTTTTTTTTGGATAAACTTCCATCCACTCCCTCAACAGGTCAAGTCGAGTGACTTCGGCCAGTAGACACACTCGGGGTGAAGGCCATGAATCGTCGAGCGGCGTTTGAACGGTTTACCCCTCTTGTCGATCGACGCCGATCTCGCCCTGAACTCTGTTCTCTCCGCCGAGGCTTGGCGCCCTGAAACGGGTCTAATGACATACCACCGCTTTCCGAAAATCACGGAGCGGAGATCTGCCTGGATTCCGGTCGCAGCAGAAAGCACGAGCAGATGATTCCGTCCGCGGCCGGTTGTGCCGCTTGTGTGTGCGATGGAGAGCATTGGTGGCAAGTGGCGGAAGGTTTTGTATGCGCCTCTTGTTCCTCTATCCGCCTCTTCGGCTCTAGGAATGATTGTGCAAGAATCGCAGGACGTGCTGTGTGCACTGTGCAGGGATGCAGCTACCTCTCACCACCTTTAGTGTGATGACGGAGATCGCTGATCCTCTTGGCAGGGTATGTGGCAGGGGAATAGCCGGATAACGATGCACCCACATGGCCACATGGCCACATGGAAGCAACATGGAACATGCAGCATGCAGCACATACATATTTGAATACCACTACAATTGATACCAGGTGATCATCGAAATTCCATCATCCTCCATCAACGGGAATAATTCCACCGAACTGCGCTAGACCTTGACTCACTTGGCCGCCGCAAAGCCAACGGCGTTTCTGCCGAGATCGTAGACGGTGACCACCTTGCGGAGGAACACATCACCGACGATCCAGAGAGGTCCGATGGGAGCAGGTATATCCATACCGGTGAATGATGAGATGCAAGTACCACCAGCGTTGAGCACGTAATCTTCGCCCTTGAGCACCCAGTCGATTCCGCCCATGGTCAGGGACAATTCGGGAAGCGATGGCACCGTGTTGCAGTCGACAGTATATTGACCGTTCCATGACTTGGTTGCACCGATTCTCATCATCAGCACTTATCACCTCTTCAATGCAAGGTAACTCACTCCTTGTTCAGCATCTCGGCAACATCAGAGGGCATGACGATGAGAGAAGTACCAGTGTCAATGGCAGCGCCGGTGTTCTCCAACTCGAGCTCTTCTTCGCCAAATCCAATCTTCTCCAATTCGACCTCCCAGTAACCTTTACGTCTGATAGGCACATATTGGATTTTCCCAGTATAGGCAGAGTCATCAACACCACCAAAGATACACTCTCCACCGTCATTCTCATCTGAGCCGAGACGGAAGGAAAAGACAGGCTCGTCGAGCAGACCGCGGTTGAGCATGGTGTAGAAAGGCGGCACGATATGATTTACCGAGATGGTGTCGTAGGCGAGACCCATGATGCCGTCAAACTTGCCAAAAGCGAAGGCCAAGCCAGGCTCTTTAGTCGCCTCGGCGAAGTCTTGGTGCTTCAACGATAGATCGGCGATGGTCACAGTGTCCGACGAGACGAAGCCCTCAAGAGAACCAGAGCCGTAACGGATAGCGAAATCTGATCCGTTGGCTTTGTATGTGGACGATGCGGAAGAATCGTATTTGCTGTGAAGCTGTTCGTGAGCTGTGAAAAGCAGAGTGCAAAGGAGGAGATGCGTAGGTGATCTTCAAAAAAGGTGGAAGAGGCTCGACCAAGCTAGTGACACGAGTCCTGGCACGGAGAGGGAAAATGACACTCACGAAACAAGCGATCGACGTGCATGAAGATGACGGGACCCAGAGATTGGAGGAACCCGTGTCCAAAACGACCTTGAACTCTTGTGGGGGAGTGCCGATGGTGATGGGGGCATAATATTGTGCGTTCATATAGTCTATGGCACCATCAGCACGTGTCCCTCACAGAGCAGGTACTTCATCGACGCACGAATACCATAGACAACAGAGGAAGGTTATGACGAGTATGTTTTGATGTGTTTTGATTGAAACCGTGGGTGTCTCACCTGACAACGGCACTCCATGACCACCCTTAAGCACCCTCTTCTCACTGTCCCCCTGTCCAATCATTTGAGCCCAGAAGCGTTCCACATCCTCGTCACTGAAATCGGGGGCATGATGCCCCTCATGCTCATAATGTTTGTGTTTTCTGCCCGCTCCGCCAAACCCCATGAGAGGATTCTGTCCCAGGAGAGCCTGCTCATGGGACTGACCGAGATGTTTGTGACGCAGGAACTCTGCCTCTTGCTCCGGCGTAGGACGGAAGTCGGACGCATCGGGGAGAAGAGAATTGGCATTGAGAGGGAGCTTCTTGAGCTTCATCCTATACATATCAGCACATGACTCGATCGACGACCTATGGTAACTAGACGCGCTTACGCAGCCTCTCCGCATTCGATTAGAAGATGGATCACTCACCGATGCACACCAGCATCTGCTGAGAGAGCCGCAGCTATAGCTGCGATGGCCAAAGCACCTGTCTTCATATTGTGTTGCGATGTATGGATGAGAAGAGGAGGAAGATGATGTTGAGAGGAAGGAAGGAAAGAAAGAGAGAGAGAGAGAGAGGGAGAAAGGGGTTGCTGAGCAGCTGTAAGCGGATGTGACGACAGCCCCGCCACCAACGGATCATGCCGCTTGGGGAAATCTTCGGCGTTTTACTCGATACCCCGCCGTGTGGCAAATCCATGTCAGACTTTGGAACGGTCAATGACGGAGTGAGTAAATGAATGCATGAGTTGTAGATGCTCTATGTGATACTGCTACATTGTACGGCGAGTCACAGATTATAATTTGATCTGAGTGGTTGTGAAAATACAGGACAGCGACGACACTAAAAATCGGCATCTACTCGAAATACTCTGTCAGACATATGGGTCGAGTCCGAGGTGGTAACAGTGCCATCCGCTCCTGTACTGGTGGTTGTCGTGCCGGGTCGACCGGATCGAGAAACTCCCGCTTTCTGATATGATGAGACACGAGACTCAAAGAAATCTGGAGATCGTCAATATTTGTGCAACACTTGATGATACATAACCTACTAGCTTTGCCTTGCAATGATATGAGCTCCATCCAGTCGAATGGGTTCGTAGCGCCGTATATTTTTGGACATCCCAATGACTCGACTAGTCGATCTGCTACAAACTCGATATACTGACACATCAACTGTCATGTCAGCATGGAATGAAATTGTTGGTAGAAAGAACATACAGAAGCATTTATGCCGATCAGATGGGAGGGAAGAGCATCAACCAAAAATTCTTTCTCTATAACCACCGCTTCAGATACGATGTCATGTACTTGCTCGGTCGAACATCGATGATGAAGATGATCGTACAAAAGACAAGCGAAGTCGGTGTGTGTACCCTCGTCTCGACTGATGAGTTCGTTGGAGAACGTCAACCCAGGCATCAGGCCCCGTTTCTTGAGCCAAAAGATGGCGGCGAATGATCCGGAAAAGAAGATGCCTTCTACACATGCGAAGGCGACGAGTCTGACACGAAAAGGGAGTTCGGGTGTGATGTATTTCAAAGCCCAATCGGCTTTCTTTCTGATACAGGGGACTTATCTGTCAGCTCGATGCCAGCCGTTCGAAGGCCCTCACTGCCGGGTGCAAGAGCTTGGGGGCGATGGGCTATGAAGAGAGAGGAAAAAGGTGGGCAGTAGATAATGGGGAAGGGGAGAACATACTGTTCTCAATGCCACGGAACAAAAAGTCCTTCTCCTGAGTATCCCGAACATATGTCTCGATCAACAGACTATACGTCTCTGAGTGTACTTGCTCCATCATCGACTGGAAAGAGTAAAAAGCTCTAGCTTCGGCAATTTGTACTTCAAGTGCGAACTGCTCGACAATGTTCTCTCCGACAATCCCATCTGAAGCAGCGAAGAAAGCTAATATCCCTGCTCATCAGCACTCATCAGACTGACGACCGCATGAGTGAGACCTACGAAGAATAAAGAATCGTTCGTTCTCTGTCAACCGTTCGTTCCAATCATGCATATCATGAACCAGATCCAGCTCTTCTGCAGTCCAGAAACTAGCTTGACTAGCTTTATATGCCTGCCAGATCTGGTCGATCAGCCATCTCCCCAAGCGATCATTGATGATAATATGACTCTCACCTCTCGATATCGGATAGGAAATAAAACAAAACGAGATTCGGATTCTCTCAAAAGGTCCTCGTCTTCTTCTTCTGGAAATCTTTTAGGTGCTTTCTCCTTCTTGATACCCCCCGATCCAGGCCCACTGATCCCACCACCCGTCTCAGTGACATCTGGACCCATGGTCCAGTCTGAACCTGCAGATTCCAAACTCGAATGAGAGTGATATATCGGTCTAATCTTATCTATAGTGGGCATATCTCCAAGATCGTCCACACTGGTAGCTTGTGAGAAGATGGAAGTGGCCGGAGAGGAAGATCGAGTTTGTGATCGAGACCCTTCAATTATAGGTCGCAAGTGGTTCAGATATTGTGTGGGAGCTTCGGGCATGGTGATCCTTTGAGTAGAGAGTAAGGATCTAATTATACCGCCTAGCAGGTCAGGGACTTTTGAGAGGGAAGATACGAGGTCAATGACAAAGTGGGAGATTGATGAAACGGTAGGAGATGTGGGGTGGCAAAGAAAGTCACCGTCAACATTTTTGCTGATCGGACCAAGTTCTTTCCGACGGAAACTCGAATTTCCAGACGTTTTTCCTTCGTCCTGAATTTCGAACGTCCCACGAGTCAACTCAGGATCTTCAACCCTCTCTCTCTCTCTCTCTCTCCCAACACCGCGAGAACAAGCAAATGGGCTTTTGAGACAATATCATGGCCCAGAGACCTTTATCCTACTTGCAGGCACCATGCAGGTCCTTCTCTCCCTTTCATCCTCCTCCCAAGCTACTGCGAGCCCTGAGCACATCCTCCGTCTATTGTCAAGAACACCAATCTACCTCTTCCTCCGCTAGCTCTTCTACCTCTCGTAATTCCGAAAGCTCCCGAAGCTGGAAGATGCAATATGAAAACCGATCTGATCAACGATCTCGTTCTCGCAATGGTAGACCCTTTGGTCTGGGCGATTCGTCCTCACGCAATCCTTCGGGTCCTAATGACGCCTCGAACCAACGAGGTCCTGGAAGGAAATCCCTTGCAGATGAGAAATTGAGTAAGGGTCTAAGAAAATGGGGCCTGGACGGTCGGACCGGAGCAAAAGACGAGCGAGAAGATCGAGGAGATCGAGTAGGTCAAAGAGATAGGTTCACAAGACCACAACGCTCGGGATTTGGTGTTAAAGGATACTCAGATCCCTACAGACAAAATCCTGATCGTAGTCAAGTCTACAAGCCACCAGGATTTGGGGTCACGGATCGTTCGCAGCGCTCCGACGAGGCCTCGGAACGTCGCAGTGGTCAGGCCCTTCGTGTATTGGCCACCGGGGTCACCGAAGAGGATGCTTCCGTTGAGGCGGATGAGGCGGTCGATGAACCCGAGGTGCTTGGGACGGAGCTTGAGGAAGTTCAGGTTGTGAAGGACAAGTGGAGAGGCAAAAGGGGTGTAGATCGAGAAAGCAGATCTGTCTTGGCTATGTTGGACCAGGGAGATCTGACATTCTCGAGAAATGAGCGGGCCAGACCGGAGAAAGGCAAAAAGTCCAAGATGCGTGACGAACACATCACTCGTACTAGCGATAGGAAAAAGCGGATGAAGCCAGGCAAGACACAAACCAAAAAGGAGAGAGATGTATACATTCCTTCCACTGTCACCGTCGCTCGATTGGCGGATATCTTCGGTGTGAAATTATGTGAGCTTATCCGAACTTTGCCTGGTACATTGTACTGATTTTCCAGTCCAGCTTCGAAGACGTATGCTTGGCATTGGTATCAATGAGGATCAGACACGGGCGACTTGGAGCGAGTTTGGCTCATAACTGAAAGTGAGTAGCGAGCTGATGCGGTAGTCATGAGTGCAGAAGAGGCCTGCAACGTGGCTCTGGAATTTGGAATGAACCCAATTGTGGATGACGAGAAGAGCTTTGATTTGTATCCCGAGTCAGTGGAACTCTGACTCATCCCCCGCAACTCTTAACATTCTCGCAGTCAAATGAGCTTCTTTGTGCTGACTTTATAGGCCAGAGACGGAATCTGGACAAGTGCAACCTCTTCGGCCTCCAGTGTACGTTCTATGCTCCTTGTTATTACACTAAGCTGATATCTCTAGGGTCACCATCATGGTATGTTGTAAAGTCTTTGAGGTGAGATACTTCGTCTGACCTTTAGGGACATGTGGACCATGGCAAGACAACCCTCCTCGATGCGCTTCGTCATACAGCCGTAGCGGCTGGTGAAGCTGGAGGGATCACCCAACACATTGGAGCTTTTTCAGTCCCTCTCTCTTCCTTATCCCCGTCCGCTTCACCCAACTCAACGATTACGTTCCTCGATACACCCGGTCATGCCGCTTTCACCGCGATGCGTGCGAGGGGAGCGAGTGTTACAGATATTGTCGTTTTGGTCGTTGCTGCTGATGATGGTGTCATGCCACAAACGAAAGAGGTTATCAATCTCGTCAAAAATTCGGATGTGGGGTTAGTGGTAGCCATCAACAAGTGTGATAAACCGGGAGTTGACATTGTGAGTCATAATTGATTTATTACTACTGCTCGGATATATTTCCATCTCTACCGAATGGAATGGGTGAATTGGCTTATAGATAGGAAAGAGTCAAACGTGATCTAGGTGCTGAAGGTCTTCTACTCGAAGAAGATGGTGGAGATGTTCAAAGTGTCAAAGTATCAGGTCTCACCAAGTCGGGTCTTGACGAGCTGGTGGAAACTATCTCAACATTGGCGGAATTACGTGATTTGCGTGCTAGACAAGATGGTAAAGCTGAAGGCTACGTTTTAGAATCAAGAGTTGATAAAGGCAGAGGGTCAGTCCCGATCTCCCGACCTTCGAGTTGATACTGATGATTCAGAAACATTGCTACTGTCTTGGTCACCCGTGGAACATTGAATGTAGGAGCCTCAATCGTATCCGGGACCACATGGTGTCGCGTTCGACAAATGTTAGATTCACGAGGTCAAGAAACCCATTCTGTCCCTCCTGGTACACCTATAGCAGTGACGGGATGGAAAGAATTACCTTTGGCAGGTGACGAAATGCTCGAAGCTCCCAATGGAGAAGATGAGGCTAAACGTGTGGTTGAGAATAGAGAAAGAGATATCGAAATGAAAAAACTCATGACGGATTTGGAAACTTTGAATATCAAACGAAGAGGAGATAGGGAAACTCTTTTGGCTGAACGTGAAGAAAAACAAGCTGCTCATAAAGAGAAGAGAGCCGTGAGACATGTTAATGTAGGACATGAAGAAGGGGAGGAGAGGAGAGAATTACGACTGGTCATAAAAGCTGATGTTAGTGGGACTGTTGAAGCTGTCGTAGGATCTTTAGAAGCTATAGGAAATAAAGAAGCAGGTGTCAAGGTAGTACATACTGGTGTTGGAGATATAACAGAATCAGATATTGATTTTGCCTCTGCTTCAGATGGTGAGTTGTTCGGATTGCACACCCACTCTCTTCCATTCTCCTTTTCATAACATCTTAACCCTCCTTCCTTTTTGTCAGCCACTGATATCCTCGAGTATTCTCTGGTCAAGGCACAAACGAGAGAGTTGGAAGCAAATACGATCCAATATGAGTTCACGACGTGTCCACAGATATGTTGCTATGTTTGAGGAAGGGATGCGAGAGTGTAGATAAGAAACAACATATGGATCGAGTCGAAGTTGCTGATACAATAGCCACCATAATAGGTTTCTCCGTTGAAGCCTCTCGATCCATTCAAAACCTAGCTAAACAATCTTCCGTGACCATTCATGTAGATCAAGTAATCTATCGTCTCATCGATCTTGTCCGTTCTCGAGTCTCTTCACTTCTCCCACCAAAGATCGAAAAACGTGTATTGGGAGAAGCTTCCGTACTTCAACTTTTCCCCATCACTATCAAACGTAAAACGAGTATGGTTGCCGGTTGTAGAGTCAATAATGGGATATTGAAAAAATCGGATAAAGTAAGGGTTTTACGTGGGACAGAGAGGAAAGAAGTGTTTGAAGGAAGTATACATTCTTTGAAACATTTGAAAAAAGATGTTGAAGAGGTACATAAAGGTATGGAATTTGGGATACAGATGGAAGGTTGGAACGAAGTGAAAGAAGGGGATGAAGTGGTTACTTTCAATACAATCGAAATCCCTAGAGAGATCTAGAAACGTATATACATCTTTGCATTATCAGATCACTCATTTAGCGATGATCTGAAAACAATGCATTAACATCAACACAATGTATCTCCTTGATTGGTCAAGTCTGAATATCATTTGTATAATGTTCAAAGTCAGCTGAGATTTGTAAGTAAATGATGCGAAGGGAAGTTGAAGAACAAGATGAGACAAGATTCATGAATGTTGAACAATGCAAACTCTACGACCTCGCCTCAAACTTATAATGATGCACCACAAAAACGACGCAGATGGAATTCTATTTCTTGGGTGGTCGGATAGTATAAGTTGCGTCTGGTGGACAGAGATGAAATCCACCTTCTCCTTTCATCTAAAATATCAGTCTCAGTCTTATTCCTTCTCTCCAGTCAATACCACAAGATGTCCAACATGATTTTCAGGCTGATGATTCGCGGAATTGTACGAAGGATTAGTCAGAACGTACATTTATCAAAAAGGGTTTCGAGAGAAAAAATGGGGAAATAACTCACAAAGTATGGCCAATTTTTCCCCCAGAATCGGAATGGAGCTTTTTCACCGGCCTCGGAGATCATTCTGATGTGTTGGTCGGAAAGAGGAAGTACGGTGGTATCTTCTCTAAAAGGAATAGATTGTTCTACCATTCGTTCAGGTTTAGAAGTTGTACTGTTTGATCAATACAGCTTTCTCTCTTCTCAAGTCTACATTGCATTTCCACACATCTTTCTCTCAAAAAAGAAACAATCTGTCTCTTCACAGACAGAAGAATGTCATGGATATATCAAGAGATCGAGGGAACTGTCTCGTGAGAAGTAAGGAAGTTAAAGTTTATGAAGTGATTAGTGAAAAGGGAATGGGAACGAATGAACTCACGTCAAGACCACACCACCTGTAACCTGTTGAGACCACATTAACAAAACTTGTCCTTCATTCTCTTTCCCTCCGCGTTCACTGACGACGGTTTTCACCACTTCATCCACTGGTCCGTTTGGATGACGCCAGAGACTCATCAATGGTGCATAAGCCTCGATGAGGATGCTATGTTTCCTACATAGCGGAAGGAGAGTGGGGGCGTAGATGGGGAGAGAATAAGGGTGAAATTCAATTTGGTTGACGGCAGGAGGTATCTACTGATGAGTCTTACGCATGTCCGTTGACTTGACTGGACAATTTCTCCTGTTCTCTATCTCAACTACCACTGTTCTGCAATTTGTTTCTTCACACACAAGATGGTATATGGTGATATGATATCCTGACTCTTGCAGGAAGGTGTCGAGCCGATACTTAGGAAAAGGTAGTGAAGGAAGTCGATGAGGGAGCGGTGAAAGAAGGATGGAAAGGGTAGATACGAGTAGGATGATTCACCTCGCACATGTCCAACACAGCCTGCAGATTTTCCGTTGTGAAATTGGATACACCAATAGATTTGGCCAAACCGGCTTTCTTAATTTCTTCCATCTGTTTCCAGGCTTTGGTGACTGAACCAACGAGGATATCCGCGTGGATCTACTCATGAGCTATAAGTTCCGATGACATGAGACTTGGATGATCGGCTATTTCAGGTTCAGAGAGACATCTCTAATGCTCAAATGGGCACACACATACATTGAGGAAGAAGAGAGGAGTTTGTTGAGTCAAGAAAAAGACACATACCAAAAAAAGATCGACATATTCCATTCCCAACTATTTGTCAGTCATTTTCTCACTCTTCCGTCTCTGATGTTGATAGTTCAAGGGGAAGGGTGAAGGAATTTCAATGTGATTCTGGTTGAATATAGTATTTGGAAAGAATCACTTACATCTCTCAAGATTTCTTTGATATACCACCAAGCATCGAAATCTTCAGACTTTCCATCATAATCTCCTCCCTTACTGGTAATCCACACATCCTCCCTTTTCAATCCACTCTCACGAAGCGCCGCACTGGTATACATCCCATTCTTGTAGTGCCATGCCGAATCGAGGTGTCTCAATCCCGCTGACAGAGCAGAAAAAACCACTGGAGTACAATCGGTATGAGCTTGTGCTGTACCTGTTCCGAAACCCAAAATGGGGATTCGACGACCGTCATTTAAGACTGCAGTTTTCAGAGCTGAGGTCATCGTGTCGAACTGTGTAAAGCCTCGTTGTCAGTTTTACCTTTATTTCCGTCCGAAGAAAGGGGAGAGATTGGAATGTCAACTTACTGAAAGGTTCGACCAGTATTTATGGATCGCCGACCAGCAGATTGGACACCTTTGATCAAGTAGGATTTCTGATGGATAGGCTGCTTGACGACCGTCGGCCCTCGTCTTTTTGATGAACTGTTGGGCGTTTTGTAATTGATCGTCGTGACGCGCCTAACACTCAAGCCTTCGTTGAGTACCTCTGGATATCGACAAAAGCAGAACGTATGTAGACTACTGTGAACGCATGTTCGTAAGAAAACAGTCGAAAAAGACCAACATGTCGGCAAAAAAACGAAGATTGCGATAGCGATAGGAGTTGGCCGAAATGAATTGCCGATCATATCTCCCCTGTTTCCATGGAAACACCGACATCTCTCTCACATGTCACACATGTCAGGAGAAGATGTTACATGTTACACGTAGATACGTAGAGGAAGAGATCCCGCGAATTCTCAGACCTGACGCCTAGACGAGTTCTGTCTACTCTTACTATCAAGACGTGCTCATGTTATCCTTGAAGGGAACGATGACTTCCTTTGGTGGCATCAGACGTCAAGGGCCTGTCTGTCATTTATCTATCCCCTGACCACATTCCGGTCACCTTTCATGATCTCAAGTCGACACACCCGGCTCACACAGCTTTTGTATGGTCCATTCAGCTCAGGGTGACCCCTACACAGCCCCAAAGTCCCCGTTGTGGACTATAAGACCGGTCTCCTACGGAGGAAAAACATCGCAGCTACAACGCCATCTTCTACATACACATACACACTCACTCTCACCACAACCAAGCACATTACCCTCTCTGATTCAAGATGGTCTCTCTTAAAGCCTCCACCGTTCTCACAGTAGGACTAGCAGGAAGCAGTCTCGCGTCCGCCATACATGATCCTCGACCTTCGGCCACATCGGCAGTATCGATGACTGGCGAGACTGCCCCCATCCCTTCTTCGGGGCCGATCGATGACAATGACACACTCGAAAAGAGGTGTTATGTCGAGTCAACCCAGACCGTCGTCACCGGTACCAAGACCACCCAGACGGTGTATTTCACCAAAAATGACGCAGGCTCTCTGGTTCCATATCACACGGACCAAGCTCACGACGCAGAGGCAACAGATGTCCCGAACGGTCTAGACAAACGTCACTTTCACTGCCATAAAACCGATACGACCTCAGTGGGAGCTGAGGAGGTTGACACTGTGGTGGATGCCCCAATGACAATGACCGTAAACGGGACCGCTGCGACCACACTCATGCCGGTGACTACGTTCCAAGGGGTTTCAGCGATCCAGACGTCGTCGTCTAGCGCCGCTGCTGCGAGGAATGCCAGGATTGGGTGGTAGATAATATCCCTGTTGTCTGACACATATGTGCTCTCAGAGGAATGTGAGGTCTGGCTATTGGTATTGTGATCAAGGAATGGATGATATGTGATGCAAGTCTTCCCTAACAGCTTGGTTTCGTAACCCCTGTGATATATGTGCTACTACTCATGAGCAAGCCCGTATTCTGTCAGGTCAAGTCTATTGGAATGGGACCGGCCGAGTGGGAGACTCGCCAAGGTGTTTGAACCAGCGGTCGATATCTGTGATGTTCTGTCAGCCAATGAGGTGAGGTTTTTCCACAGTGTGGAGATGATTAAGAGCTATTTAGCACATGAAGTTTCCGTGATTGCACAAGAGGCAGGTGAGATTTGGTGCGGTACTTGGTGCTTTGTTATACAAGTAAGTCGTATGGTGCTGGGAGAGGAAAGGAAGCAAGTCCGGTCTCATCGGTTATCCTAAGCGAAGTGGAAGTATCTTGGTATCTTGGTCCTACCCGCATGTTATCCTTGACTTTGTTCACATTCCTCATCACAACACCTACTGTACTGCCAGTGTCAGTGCTATTGATACTCTGGGACGTACAGGCCTATCTCCCCACGCCGTCATCGTGGAAGGAGCGGTCATCTCCTTGCCCTCCCCGCTCAGGATCACTCAGCCCACGGGTTTGTGAGAGGGCGCAATGCACCTCCTTCCTCGAGAACAGGTCTGTCCATCTCCTCCCTTCATGCTCCATCTTGCTGACTGCAAAGGATAAACTCATTCTATCCTCCCTTGGTCAGCTGGCCCAACGTCGTCTCGCTCGAGGCTTGGTGCTGAACCGGTCCGAAGCAGTGGCTCTGATTGCAAGTCAACTGCACGAGCTCATCCGTGATGGCCAACATAGTGTCGCGGAGCTGATGGACCTTGGAAAGAAGATGCTGGGAAGGAGACATGTAATGGGTGAGTATATTTCCCGACTCCTCGTGCTTGTTGGACTGACAAGCAGAGGGTGTAGGCGAGTCTATACATGATATACAAGTGGAGGGTACGTTTCCTGTGAGTCGATGTCTGGGTTGGCGTACGAAGCATCGCTCATATGATAGGATGGAACCTTTCTCGTGACTGTACACGACCCCATATGTTCAGACTCTGGGAATCGTGAGTGCTCTTTGGTTCGAAGATGTCGAGTTCGTGCTGATGACCAGTCGAGAGGGCGCTTTACGGCTCGTTCCTTCCCATCCCATCTCAAGACCTTTTCCCTCTTCCAGAAACTATAAAAACACCTCTCCCGGGCGCTGTCATTTGCGTCAAAGAGAAAATCAAGCTCAACGTCGGGAGGAAACGATGGTCTGTCGAAGTCGTCAACGAAGGCGATCGACCGATCCAAGTAGGCTCACATTATCCTTTCCTCGAAACCAACCCTCTCCTCATCTTTGACCGGTTACTCTCATATGGTACTCACTTGGACATTCCGGCTGGGACCGCCGTCAGGTTCGAGCCAGGAGAACGAAAGACGGTATCTTTGGTTGAGATGGGTGGTAGAAAGATGATCATGGGAGGGTCCGGTCTTGCTTCTGGACCATTCGAAGAGAGCAAAAGAGAGACGAGCGTGAAGGAAGTGATTGAGAATGGTCGATTTGGACATCGTCCGCAATCAGATGTCAAGGAAGCTCCCGTGCAAGAGATGGACAGAGAAGTGGTAAGTCATTTGTTTGAAAGAGATCGGAGAAGAATCATTGATCGAGTAGTATGCTTCAATGTTCGGACCCACGACTGGAGACAGTGTGAGATTGGGGGATACTGATCTCTGGATTGAGGTGGAGAAAGACTATACTGTGTATGGGGATGAATGCAAGTTTGGGGGAGGTCAGATCTTTGCCTGTTGACGTCGGATACCAGATCAGCTAACGTGCACAGGCAAAGTTCTACGTGACGGGCAAGGTCAAGCGTCGAATAGACATGACGAACAAGTTCTCGACCTAGTCATCACGAACGCTCTGGTTATCGATTGGAACGGTATCTACAAAGTGAGTCGTCAGTCAAGCAAGGTATCGAAACACGCTGACATCCAAAGGCCGACGTTGGTGTTAAGCATGGGAAAATTTCAGGCATCGGAAAGGCAGGGAATCCAGACATTATGGATGGTGTGACTGAAGGCATGGTCGTGGGCTCTAACACCGAGGTATAATACCTATCTTGTCTTCGCAAATCTCAGTAAACTGATGAACAGGTCATCGCTGGAGAAAAGCTCATACTCACTGCGGGAGCCCTGGACGTACATGTTCACTACATTTGCACTCAGCTTTGGACCGAGGCGCTTGCGTCTGGCATCACGACTCTCATCGGTGGTGGTACCGGTCCTGCAGACGGGACAAACGCTACAACTTGTACGCCGTCCAAGTTCTACATGCAGGCTATGATGGCTGCAACCGATGACATCCCTCTGAACTTCGGTTTCACTGGTAAAGGCAATGACTCCGGGGAGAAAGGATTGAGGGACATTGTCGAGGCTGGAGCCTGTGGCTTGAAGCTGCACGAAGACTGGGGATCGACACCTGAGTGTATCGATCGAGCTTTGAAGGTTGGCGATGAGTACGATGTACAAGTGAGTCTTTCTGAGCACACAGAATTGTTTGTTGCTGATTATAAAGGTCAACATACACACAGACACATTGAACGAGAGTGGTTATGTGGAAAGTACTTTGGCTGCTATCAATGGTAGGACCATACACACGTGAGACCATTCGTTGTGAGACGACTGAGCTGATGAGATAGATATCACACCGAAGGAGCGGGTGGAGGACATGCGCCAGATATCATCGTTGTAGTCGAACACCCGAATGTCTTGCCCAGTTCAACCAATCCAACTCGACCTTATGCCGTCAACACTCTTGACGAGCATCTCGACGTATGTCATCTCGTTCGAGTCACAATCTAACATCTCGCTGACGAATCAGATGCTCATGGTATGTCACCACTTAGACAAGTCTATCCCCGAAGACATAGCATTTGCAGATTCTCGTATCCGAGCCGAGACAGTAGCAGCCGAAGATGTTCTTCAAGACACCGGAGCGATCTCGATGATCTCTAGCGATTCGCAAGCTATGGGAAGGATCGGAGAGGTGATTGCTCGGACATGGAGGACAGCTTCCAAAATGCGCAATGTCCGAGGGCCTCTCGAAGGTGATGAAGAGGGAAGGGACAATAATAGAGTCAAGAGATACATTGCAAAGTATACCATCAACCCGTTAGTTCATCCATTTTCATTCTACTCACAACTTCTATCCCCACCGCCTTTGCGGATTAACCCCGTCGAAATATGTATGCTACGATGGCTCACCATGTTGGCAGTGCTGATTATAAGAGCTATCACCCATGGTATCTCTCACCTAGTCGGTCAAGTCGCTCTGGGCTGCCTGGCCGACTTGGTCCTCTGGAAGCCAGAATTTTTCGGCGCAAGACCAGAAATGGTCATAAAGGGCGGTATTATCGCTTGGGCACAGATGGGTGATGCGAACGCCTCAATTCCTACTGTTCAACCGGTGATAGGTCGACCTATGTGGGGAGCACAATCTGGTGCAGTGGGAATGAATTCGGTCGTATGGGTCAGCCAAGCTTCGATCGATAACGGTCAGTTGCTGTATCCAAGCATGAATCAAGCTGATTCTAATAGGTATCGTTAAGTCTTATGGACTCAAGAAGAAACCAGAGGCGGTGAAGAAATGCCGGGAAATAGGAAAGAAGGATATGAAGCTTAATGATTCTATGCCAAAGATGACCGGTGCGTGTCGACCCATTTATTGTCTCCACCTCATTTTCTCAGCCTCCGCTCCTTCGTCGATGTCCCGCTTCTTCTGTCATATTCCACTCCTTTTCATCGTTCATCCCTTCTCACACCTCCACCTCCATCTCTGAATTCCATCTACTTTTGTAATTGTCGTACCTATGGTTGTGGGGCGAAAGAGCGAAACTACAATCAAAATTCGAGTGAACGGAGTATATTTGGTCTTTGTCATCCGCTGACGTACCAGTCGATCCCGAGACATACGAAGTGAGAGCCGACGGAGTACTTTGCGACGCACCACCAGCTGCGACCCTTCCGCTTACTAAGAAACATTTCGTCTTCTGATTTTACGAATACAGCCCTATCTTTCAAGTATGGCCGCGACGCTTTGTATGTACATAATCTCATATTTTGGATGTACATTTATCACGGACATGTCCCCCCTCCCGCCAATCCCGCTGCTCGGCTTACGCCACTGACGCAGATGTACGACTGGGGACGCCAGTTCGGCTCTTTGACGGCTACCCAAGATCTCCGACGCGGATAGAAGATCGTAGATCATCTATCATAGCGCCCCTTATCCCGCCTTTCTCCATGTTGACTGGAAACTCCGAGACGCATGTTTTCCTTTCTGACCCAAGTCTGGCGAGACGAGTCTATATCATCGTCCCCCTGTTCACTAACACCAGTACAGATTCCATGTCACATCATATCGGTTGAGCTCGTGATATCCCTCCGTCAAGTTGGCTTGGAAAATTTGAAAGAAGGGTTCGGCGCCTTTCCAATCCCCCGCTATATACACACCGACTGGTGGTACGAATTTTCCATCAACGAAAACATATTCTTCCGCAATTGCGAATCCCTCCGTCAACTTACACAACGCGCAAACCCATTCGACTCCCCCGATTCTCGTATTTGAGGATCGACCCCATTTCATCGACACCGACGCCTCGTTCTTGCGGCGTAACAGTGTCTCACTACCGGCTATTCTCATTGTTCATTCTTCGAACCCCCTAGAAAGGGGTATATGAATTAATGTCACTGTAAGTCGTTTTTCATTGACAAGTCAGTAACAATATGTCTAACAATCAGTGGAATGAGTCGAATCAAGGGCAGCCGAACGGTCCTAATATATACGGATACGATCGAAGACAGTAAGTCGTTCCTGACTCTGGATCATGCTTCCCCCTCCTCAATCCTTGAACTTCTTACTAGCCAATGACTCCAAGAGGCTATCCTTCTACCTCATACACCATCAGGTGGTGAAGAAGTTTGAGAGACAATCAAATGGAGTATACTGATGAGTAAGGAAATTATCGTCGGAAAACGTCATGTGTTCCGAATGTCCATGGTTAAACGATCCCAATGACCCCAATAGTGGAGCATGTAAAGTTCGAAAGAGGATAGATGCTGTGGCTTGTATGCAGCGTGAGTCGTCCATAACCTGTAATCTTTTCCCTCTGACTAATCGAATTGGCCTTTGCGATTCCAGAGAAGGGCATAACTTCATAGGATGTGTGTACCATCTGAGTTCACGCTGATCCGACCAGATAACATCTTCCTCTTGCTATATGGGGAGAAGTGAGTACAACTCTTCTTCCTACCTTTGAATTCGCTAAATCGACAGGAAATAAACACGCGAGACCCCGGAAAAGAGGGTGATAAACAATTCAGACATCGTTTAACGTCATCTACACGTTTCGGCGATATTTTGTCATTTCTTCTGATCACTCATTCTCGGGGGAACGTATACTCATGGCGCTTTCTAATCCTCCGAGGAAAGGGTGGTCAATGTCACGGAAAGAGAAGAATTCTGTAAGCCACTGACTTGCTTCTGACAAGTGAGACGGAGTTATCGAACGACTAGTGACCGCATCATAACATACGACTACGTTACACTCGCTTGACTCGTTACTTCTTTTCTTCAAGTACTTGCGCACTTTCTTTCCCTACCCTATCATTCTGTCCCTCATCTGACTGTCGAGGTTGAAGAAAAAGAGACGTATTAATCTATGAGCGTGCGCCCCCCTTTCCGGCTCATCGGACCGAAGGGACAGGGAGACAGGTAAAGGAAACCCTCATTTTATTCATCAGTCTTGTCAAAATCTCAAGGGACCACGTATGACTTTGCAAGCTGTTGCACTGAAGTTGTCACGGAAATTTGGAATTGTTATGTCTCCGTATCATCTACGATTGGTGGTAATATGTATAGGGGGTTCCATACGGCGAGAGTCTTCCGCGGTCGTTTTCGTGGACCAATTCTTCAAGAAAATATGGCACTTGCCGGGGACCTATCGTATGAGCGACGTTTGTCACAATTGAAGGATCATACGCACCATTCAGATCTCCAGGAGAGCCAAAAACCTGCGGTACTGTCACTGCACCCTCTCACGATACTCGAAGTGTTGTCATCTCACTAGCAAGGTTGATTTTCATCACTTCTGATGGCAACCAATAAGACCTAAAGTCTCTGACTCGAGCGACCCATTTCTTTTCATCATCGAAAGTGAGAGGGATGTGCGGATTGGATCTGCCACTCATTTTGAGAGCATCTGGGATCAAGGGAAGGACTTGAAGAGCTTGACAAGTGTGACCAGATCGGAGAGCTTCAGCTTCTCGTACGATTTCAAGAGACAGCAAGGTATCCTAAGATATGTCAGTGAACTTCTCATGATGAAGTGGCTTGCACTTACTTTTTTGATTTCAATCATCAATTGTCCAAGTCAAATCTCAAGCGTGCTCCTCGAATCACACCCTGAGTCTCCGTTTCATGATGATGTCTGGATTAGTAGTATGGTGCAAGTCCAAGCTGGAATACGGTCATTTCCAAATACGTAATGATACCAATTCGAGATGGCTTGATACAATTCGGCGCCCTGCACGTCGATCGGGACATTTTGGACGCTGGAATTTTCTGCTATGAGTGTTCATGGTCTCAATGGTAAGTTGGTGTTAGTCAAGTTGACGGATGTTCAAGATAGAATCCAGTGGGGATATTGTAGGTGTCACCATTGAGTCGTCATAGGGTATTATAAATGATCATGATGCGGAATGAACCGGTTTTCAACCTCGATCAGCTCATGATCCGGAGGGTCAACAAATGAGTTTATCGTCAACTTATTTTGGAATTCCTTCGGCTAAGGGGTCGGCAGCTTGATGAGAATCGAGGCGAGTAGACAGAAATGTGATCTTACAGAGGCTGAGAACAAACAGGTTGCTATGAGTATGTTGGATCTTAAAATCGTCCGACTTCCCACCTTAGATCAGACTGCATCCGCTGACCATATTTCAGAAGTTTCGATCATGCCATAGAATCAAAACAATATGACCCAAAATGATCCGAGGTGTCGGACGGGGCTTGGGGTCTTCAATTCTCAGAGCAATGACAGTCGTAGCGAGTCAAAGCGCGGATTTCGATATTGTAGACCCGATCGTCATCGTCTCAACTCCGCCGTAAAACCCACATCGGCCCATAGAAGACATTTCCAACATCCTTCCCAACTCGTATAAGTCGAAGGGACGGCGATATACACCCCCGCATCCAGTTTGACTCGATTTATCTTCACCCCGGACGGAGCGTCGGAATAAGGTCCAGTCGTGACTATTTCTTCACCTAGTGCAGAACCCGTGGCACGACGGAAGATAGTCAAATTGAGAGGTGTTGGAGAGGGTGTGGGAAGGTATAGTCTGGCCCTAGCTGTCAGCCGCTCGATCACTGAACATTAGTAGAAAGCTGATGGGATGTAGGGGAGAGGGGAGCGATCGTAGAGATGGATATGGACAAGATGTGAAAGAAGGTGAGAGGTACTCACATGATCATCGTCGGTGAAGGAAGAATGAGTTCGATTTGAGGGTTCAGATCATACTTTCCCCCGGACGGTCGACCGCCTGCGGTGGCTTGGGTCCTACGTGTAAGCAGCGATTTACTCGTATTACTTGCTGTATGACATATAGCGTGCGCAATTTGACCATAGGCGTCGAAAAGTAGAGCGGGATTCATCATAGGGATAGTAGATGGAGAGACAAGGGGGAAGGAGCCGTCTCTAGTCAAGGAGGGTCCATTGAGTGTGCCGACCAGAGGAGCGCCTGACGTGCTTTATAGGGGAATCACGGTCAACTCACCATTGGCCAACGACGGTACGCGAGAACATTCCCGCCCCTTCCAACGCAACATTCGACAACTTCACAGGAAGGTCGCTGTCCACCGATAAGCGATAGGAGCCCAACTGACCAGGCTCAAATGTCGACACAACCAACGTATACGTGCCGACTGATCAATTAGCTGATGCGCAGCCCGTATCCAATACTCACGTTGTATATCTTCCATTTGACAATACGCAGCCCCGTAAGTGTATGGACCGGATCCTACTAGAACACTTTTGGGTTCTAATCTGATCATCAGCCCGCTTTCCATCTTCAGCCTTGCCTAACTCTCAAATAAGATTCCGTGAATCCGACACTGCATAATCACAGGAATAGTGATTTCAACAAAGACCACACAATACCAACCAGATATGGACACCCCTGGTCATTCTATGCAGACATCCCACTGTAAGATGTATAATGTTTGGATTGATATCATATATACAGTCGTGGCGCGAATAACACCAAGACACTCACTCGAAAACTCTCTCCCCTTTACCCCAAACGATACTTACATTCCACGCGATTTCCTTACCTCCCCTGACACTAACCCGAAGAACGCCTTTCTTTCGAAAAGAGTCCTCGCTGATTTGCAGGGAATATTGCGGGTTGAACATATACGTCGGTTGTCCCGGGTTTCCTCCCGCCGTCCGGGACGTGAGAGTGTTCTCAATAGTCTGATCGAAAGGTAAAGATTGTGATATTCTCTCCAATGACAGGGTCGAACTTGGAGGTGCGAAGACACGCAAGGTGAAAGAAGTTTGAAATATGCCCCTGTCTCTTGAGGGAATGATCAGGAGAGTTCCCGAACATCTCCTAAGACGATGTTTCACTAGGATATGGAGGTTATTGGAATATGGTGTCTGTGTCTGCTCATGTCAACTTCTTCGACACATGGGATGAAGTGACACTTACTTCAGTATCAACACGTGTCAGACAAGAGGCTTTGCTAGGAGGTGTAGAGTGATGGTCGAATATATGGAGAGCTATATCGTCTAATATTCTGTCTTTGCTAACTGTATGCTGAGAAAGAAGAAGCCAGATTTCTAAGCTTCCAGGTGGAGTAGTATAGTTGAGATGATAGAGAGAGTTCACTATCAATCAGCCTCACATTGAACGAGTTGCGAGAGGTGCTTTACCCGACGATGCCTCGGGAGATGTAGGAGTAGACCACGCCCAGTGCCGTATTGTCGTTACAGGAAGTAAAGTATGATTCCAATTGAGATCTAACTCGTCGAAAGAGGTACAGACTTGATCCCATGTCATAGTGAAAATACAACGTGGTTCAAGTTTCAGATCCGCTATCCGACTTTCGATATCATGTTGAGAGGTCTCCTGTATCCCAGGATCAAAGATCTCCAAAATTCTCTCCCCCTTTTCTTCCCGCATATCTTTACATCAGCAAGGTAATCACAAGTACAGGTCACGAGGAAAGGAGCTAGTCATGAGAATAGGAACTTACCTAAAACAGCATAAGCATGCAAGGAAATCAGGGTTTGATTCGTCTCACTCCCAGTACCCAATGTCACCAACACCTTCCCCCTTTCCCAAGCCTTATAAACCCTATTCCACTCTTTCTCACGCTGGAATCCTTGTCTGAGGGATATACGTTCAGGTACCCAGCCGGTCAAAGAATAAAGATCGAGGGAGGGATTACTACCTCTTATGTCGTAACCCCCGAGAGACATCAAAAGACCTTTGCTGACGAGCGGGATCCATGCTTGACCTGTGTTAGAGGTCAGATCGGTGGACGAGGTGGAATCGAGTAAGTATGGTAGGGAATACAGTGGGGTGCCAGTGGACATATCATGAGGTAGAAGAGAGTCCAGAATGACCTGAGTGTAAGATTCATCATATACGCCCACAGAAGCTCTCGATAACCTACTGAGCGCCAACAACCATTCAACATGAGTTTCAAAACATGTTTTCCGTTTTGGGATTGTACGGGAGATCCATTTACGTCTTTCGGCCAAAGATTTCCTGCTCCCAACTAACTATCAGCGTCTCACACCCAGCTCAGGAGAAAAGTGCGGACCTTGGTGCCCCAGCGACAATTATGCTCCAAACACACTGTGAGAGCAGCAGCTATAGAACAATCCGCTCCTATTCCCTGCCTCACCACACATCTACCTTGCCCCCTTCTCCTCATCTTCTCCTCGAACCCGGTCCATGAAAGATTGGTAGATTCCAACCAATCGACAGGACCTTCTCTGTGAGGTAAAGCTAATTCATCTCCTTTCCATCTTCCCTCCTCCCCGATGTCAAACTCCCGCGAAGACGGTTCTACCCATTCTTCAAACTCGTAACTATTTATCTTCCTCCCTCGTCTCAAAACAGCTTTCTCTTCCCCTTCATCCCCCACGGAAGCTTTTCCCACTTGGCCACCCAATTCTTCCACCCGTCTCTTGATCTTCTCAGCACGTTCCAACACTAAACGCCATTTCTTCTTGACTGCAGATACATCCGATGAAGGAACAAGACCTGAAGAGAGGAGATGTGAGTATGACTGAGCTGCTGATATGTACAATGGGAAGGACTTGAGGAGAGTGGGTAGAGGAGAACAAGTGGGTGGTAATTTCGCTAAGGAAGCTTCGACTGAGATGGCCTTGTTGGCGGTATCCTATGCAATTAGATTTTTTCTTACCTTCATTCTGCATGGCTCACCGACGCTTTCTGTAGACCATGCTGATATGAAGTCAGTGACATGGGTGAGAGAACAACGATATGCTCACATAGCAAGTCAACTCACCGTCATCGAGCACTTCTATGACGCCACGTGGACACCACGTGTCTTAGCTGTATCCGGCAAAGGTCCGAGCGCGCTCGCGTCTGCTATTTCCGTCTGGGCATAGCATTTGCTTTCTTTCTTTCTTCCCATCACCTCCCTTGTTTTTCCTCTGTCAATCCTTTATACACTTCCTATACACATCTGCTATTCCTAGTCACATTTTCACGCTCTTTCTACCGAATAATCATGCTCAACCTAGTAGCTTTCTCTCTTCTCTCACTGGTCGCCAAAGCGGCACCTTGTGTCTTGTTCGATACCTCCAAAAACCTTTATGTGTTTGGTGGGAGTCAGGATGTGAACCTGGGGACCAGTTCTTCCTTTGGCTGTGAGTAGCGGGTGACTCAGCCCTTCATTTGTCATTCAAAAAGAGTAGGATTATCGACTCTTCATAGTCGTGTCGGTGATCAGAATCTGGCAAGCAAAGTAGATGAGTGAGCTGACCAACAGCACCAAGCCCCAAAACACTCAGCTCGACGGGTAGACCATCTTGGACGGGGAACACGACTCAATGTTTTATCAATCAATACAACAACATCATGTATGTTCTCGGGGCTGATGCGGACATATCTGTGAGTTTCTGGACTTTTTACCAGTACTCCGTCCAAGATCCTTTCCGCCATGATCTCTTTCAACTGCCATCTCCGATGATCCTTTTCGACAAGCCGCAGGCTCACATTCTGTGCGCAAGATACAGGGTTCATTGGTACCTTGAGCAACCAGACAGAAAGTCTCCCGTGGTAGACTAGACTAACCGCAGACCGTATATGTATACAACTTCGCAACAGACGTTTGGTCCACCCAGACCACCTCGAGCCCTCCTCCCAATCTGGGATCCAGATCGGCTAGTACGCTCGACCATGATACCTTGGTGATCTTCACTTTACCGACCGGGGGTAGTCAGAGTCTATACTCTCTCGATCTTAGTTCTGTCACTACTGCCGCCTCGGGCAGCCCGTTGGCTTGGGAGGCTGTCGAGGCACCTAGTTTTTCTACGGACGGATATACGCCCACTATATCTGAAGCCAGTAACCATATTTGTGAGTCAAGACGGCTTACAAACTTCTCCTATCCCTCTCAATCCCTTGCCAATGACTCGAAAATATTTCGGAGATCTGTGCTAGATGTCGGAGTTGAAGGGGCATTTCACTCTAGATATTGAACGACAGGCTGATCAACAGTGTTTTTCGGTGCACCTGGCACCACGGCCGGCTCCGCTGATTTATTTGTCATACACTGTGAGCATCTCAATCAACATGGTGGAAGCTGTCACTGACCTTCAGACTCCTATTTCCAGCCCAGCGCCCAGGCATTTGCCGGATCCAACGGGGCCTCCTCGTTCCCAGACACCTCCGGTCAAGCCTTCAACATTCCTAATGGCGATAACGCTCAAGACCAAGTCGTGTTCGTCCCCGATGATTTCTCATCTACATATGTCGTGACCCATTGGACCAACCCTGGGGACTTTTCCTCCACCTCCGGAGTCCCCTTCGCGACCTCTCTCATCAACTCCACTCAAACCCTTCCCGCTCCTACTTCTCAAGACAAATCGGCCGCGTATGCCTCGGACGGCAGTGCCTTGGTGCAGATCGATTCCAACGGAGACATTTACTACATGACGGGAGCTATCAACTCGGATTACACCGTAGCATCCTCTGCCACATGGACTAAAATGAGTTATTCTCAATCTGGAGTTTCTGGATCTTCTTCGAATTCCACCTCCACTGCGTCTTCCTCTGCCAGTGCATCGGGTAGCGGGGGTGCGTCTGCCTCTGCCAGCAAAACTTCGAGCGTCAGCGGGAGCCGCACAAGCTCGAGTGCATCGTCCACTGCCAGCTCGACCTCCGGGGGTGCCAGCAGAGTGGGAGCGGTAGATGTAGCTTTGGTGCTCGTCGGCCTGGGTGCGTTCGGAGCGGCATTGTTGTGAAGAAAAACGAAACAATGGACGATGTTGAAAGTGTATATCTGAATCCACACGAGGGTGTTCTCCCTCAAATCATTAGTTGCTATGTATGCTTGACATGCTTGCGTTCATTACTTTTCGGACTGCCCAATTGTTCTCTCTTTCCTGCTATTGCTCTTCCTCGCGCCATTTCAAAGTGCCACACTGTCAAATCGTTTACTAAAAGCGGAAATCTCCGAGTCGGCTGGCGTTGCGTCATCGCGCGTAGGGATAATCCCGACGGAACTCGAATTAATCCCGACGAAATTTTGCCACTTTCTCCCAAAATACGTCACTCAACCCGAGGATCCCTCCACTACTGACCCAAATACCTACGGAATGTCCCCAAATCCCCCCTGTATTGAATATGCATCCTACCGTGGCTTCTTGCATATCTATGGGTTGCCACACGTATTCTGAAGCCATTCATGCAGGCAGAACCTCCGAATTCGGAGTCCTTGGTTCTCTACAGCCATTTGGAGTTCAAATTCGGAAACGCCCCCGAAAGGATGTGTCCTTCAACCCTAGGCACTGTTTGGCGGTGATTGGGCAATCATTTTTCTCCTCTTCTTATTTCAATCATCTTCTTTCCATTGATTTAAACATAATAGTAACTTACTGAATTAAGCTCACAAGCTTTATGTCTCAGAATAATCAAGCTGATCAACTCATTCTCAACGCTTTAAAGAGAAAGTCGCCTTTTCGTGGTCGACCTCCGAAAGTGTATGCTCCTAGTGCACAATCACCATCAACATGTCAGTGTCTCCTCTGAAGATTATCTCACCCCTTACTAACTATGTAGCCGGTCCTTCTCACCCTATTGAGCCTTCTTCTATCAACAGGACAGCTTCGGAGATCCAGTCAGTTTCGGTTTCGGTGCCCTGTGAGACATTCTCTTTTCCTCTTGGTTCATTGAAGCTTATGCTCAGTGAACAAACCGCCGCCCTTTCCTGAACCACCCCAGCTGAGCTCAAGAGGGGCTTCTTCTCCATCTCCTTGTCATAAAGTAGCTCAGCCCGATCTCCTTCCAACCCCCTCTGCCTCCCTGCCTGCTTCCGAAACGCGACTGGAATCGCATTTGGATTCGGTGGCCTGTGAGGCAGTTTCTTTTCCTCTGGGTTCATTGAAGCTTATGCTCAGTAAATCATTCACAGCAGTTTCCCAAATCGTCTCCTGGTCACAAGATACCCCTGTCCACGGCTGATTCCAGTGAGTACTTTTGGATCCCCTTTATGTATCAACTGACAGGAGAGTTGCATCAGGAGATACTCCTGCATCGTCCAACGGTATTGGTATTGTGACACCAGATTCGGTACCCTGGACAGAGCTGGTCATGGCCTCCCCCTCCGCTTCATTGTCTTCGGCCGTGCAAGCTTCAGCACCCAACTTATCCGCTGCCGTTCCGAAATGGTCTCCCTCTCAACCTCCGAATCCCATTTCGGTAGAAGATGAGATCATCACTGCTAGGCAAGAGGCGGCCGGGCGCTTCCGAATTGTCAATATCTCTTCCGAATCATACTCCGTACCACGTCCTGAGGCTCCACTCTTGGCACTCAAAGCTCCTCGCACCGACGCTAGTCTTGGGGTCAACATACGTGCTTTGGAAACCTTCTGTCGTTTACCGAATCCTGACCTGGTGGATGATGATCGCTATGAACAATTCGAGGTGGCTTTTCATCATATCCCGAAAGCGTTTGACTCTTTGGTCAGTGTTCTGTTTTGGAGAGTTACAACCGTTGATATATCAGCGTCAGGACTACCTCATTGAGACCCAGCATATATCCAAATGTGTTCAAGTGGAATGGTTGGATCCCCCTGGTTTATTACCCGCCGACATCAGGGGAAGACATGGCCTCTTCTTTGTCTCCGACAGTGCTGTCGCCGCATACCCGAATCGGACAGTGTTTCGGTCGATCTTCCGATGCAGTGGCAACTGTACCCAGATCCAGCCAACTTTGAACAGTGTCCACCACCATGTTGAGCCGAAAGCAAAGGATGAAACACAAACAACAGCCGAAGCTCACCCTCCAACTGCTGCCAGTGCACGATATTCCTCAAGAGCACGTTTAAAGTGTGATCTTTTTCTTGAGGTGGGTCATATAAGGATGATTCATCTTCACTAAGCTGATTTTCTTAGATACGAATGACCCCCAGCAATATCCGAAAAGGGGTCTGTTGTCTGATCCGCCCGAAAGCTGCATATCACGGTCAACCGAACCCGTTGACATTACTTCGGATTTCGCCACATCTCCGAAACCTACTCCATGATGCTGCAACTCTGGTGGGAACGACTGAGTCACGTCTTCGGCTTCGGTGGTACAATTCCTTCTGCAAGATTCACCCCTATGTCCTATGGGTCAAGGCAAATTATCCCGAGCGTCTTCCTACCACCACTGACTTCCAAACTGCCATCCGAACGGCTCTGCGGCAGGAAAGGCTGGATCGGCTACCACTGGCGGCGATAAGTATCTTACATGAGGCCAATCCAAGCTCTTTCCTGCAGTATGTAGCCAGCGTTTCCTTGTCCTCATGAGCTGACTGTCAGTTGTGAATATCCTGAAGGCCTGGCACTCGGTGGCACTCAGCCATTCCCAGCGGACTCTTCGTTCATTGCAATCATCAGTCCGAAACATGCATTGCAATCAGCAATTCGGCATGCCACAGATCGGGGCCTCTTTCTTGATTCGTCTTGGAGAAATAAGAATGCAATACGCTGTCCCGTCACCTTGCTAGCCACAGTAAATGAATATGGTCATATGGTCCCTGGTGAGTCCTGTGGTTTGAAGGGTTTCGGGTTTCGGAGCTGACAATGCTCCAGTAGCTGTCATGGTCTCGAATCACGCCAACACCGATTCCTATACCGAATTCTTGAGCGTTATCCGAAAGGCTATCAAGAAAGAAGCGAAAGCATTACTCAAGGGCAAATCATCAGTGGTCTCCGAATATGAGAATGAAGAGCAAATCCTCATCAACGCCGAATACATTCACGAGGAGGATTTCCTTCCACTACATTTCATGATTGATTGTGATGACGCCGAACGAAAGGCCATTGAGGAGGTCTTCCCGGGAACTCCAATTCGGTTATGCCAATTCCATTTCATGCACGCCGCCCGATCTCGAGCACTTCGGCTATTTGGGAGTGATCTGGTGGGTACCGAAAAGGCCTTTGCCTTCCTTGTGGCACTTCGGAGGTGCCAACGATGTTCCGAAGAGGAGTCTTGGTCAGAAGCTTTTGCTCGACTAGAAGCCGATGTTGCGGCAATCAGCAATAACGATCCCGAAATTTGGGACAAAATCAGAACCTGGCTCCTGTCTGAATGGTTCAGCGACAGATGGAGGGGATACCTTGTCGACTATGGTCTGCCACCTCATCACACCCGAGATGGTACTCTCTCAACAAACAACTTTGTCGAAGCGGCATTTCGGACCTTTGACAGAGTATTCCTTGAATCTCGAGCCAACAAACGTATAGACAAACTCCTCACAATCATCATCGACGTTTACTTTCCCATGTATCTCCATTCACCACCAACATCTGCCCGCTGTGACCCCACAGTTCTGTCACACATACTTCAAGGACTGGAGCTTTGGGAGCAAGGGGCGGTTAGGGAATGTTTCGGAGACGAGATGCCTATGTCATTGAGAGGTCAACTAGATCATACATATTGTGTGACATCCTCCGAATCGAGCAAAACAACACCGGACTTACATTACTGTGGGATCAAAGACAAAACTCGTGAACGATGCTCCTGCAGATACTTTACCAAAACAGGCAAAAGGTGCTCGGGTCTCTGGGCATTGTACTGCTTTCACACTTGTGGCTCCTCCGAAACGTATTCTAATGGTGTCACGGCAAACGAACTGCGACTGCAGACTCGAGCTATACAACTACAAAGACGGTTGGGAGAGATATCTTATCCATTGGATCAAGAAGACCTTGTTGCCTATTGGGGACATGACCCTTCGGAGCCTGTGTGGCATGATTGGTCCTCCGAGCAGCCTCCGAAACAGGGCAAGCTCATCAGCATTGATAGTGCCAACCTTGATTTTGTCGAGCCCGATTCGCCCATTACCCGCCGAAACCGATTCCTCAACCATGCTGACGACCATCCCTCAACCACTGCCACGTTACCGGTTTCAAGACCAGAGGCTGATAAGGGTGGCCGTCCAGCAGCTCACCGCCCTCTGCATCCTTATCGCCAAAAGACAGCCCCCACAAAAGCTGGCATTCCTCGGGACGCACTACCACCACGAGATCGACCTGTTGGAGCAAAGAATTATCTTCAATCCTGTTTTGCTCTGTCGTTGTTCCATATTGTCTTCCGAATTCCAGCCTTCGTGTCCGCATTCAACGAAGCTAATGACGGTCTCAGGCCTCACGCACCTTCTTTGATTGTCTTACTAGGTGACTTTCTTAAAGCCATTTCGGTAACTAGACGGCTGGTGGATCTGAAGGACATTGTACCGATCCTCCGAAGTGAGTTCCCTTCCTCCATCATTGCTGCCAATCAGCATGTTCATTTGCTGATATGCAGGTGAGAACTTGATAGATGAAGAATCTCAGCATGATCCGTGTGAACTGTTTCTCAGAATGACAAGCAAATTCAATCAGATCATTGAACAGAACCCGATTCGGAACACATTCCAATTCGGAGTAACCTGGGAATATGTCTTTCAGCCCTGTTCCCACGCAGTCCCTGTCAGGCAAGAGACATCCTCACTGGAGAAGCAAATGACCGTTCTCCAAATCTATCCACATGGCTCATCACTTAACCTCATCCAGCTCATCAACCTTTCATTGTGGCGTTCATGCAGTCCCCAACATTGCTTTTCGGTACCATGTAATGGACGAATGGCCGTCACTCGAGCACGAGCCAAGATGTCCTTGGAATCCAACAACCTGCCCCGCATGTTACTCCTCAACATTGTCTGGGATCTCCGAAACCCCTCTGCACACCAAGTGATCCACCCTTTTGACATTCCCGAAACTATCAACCCAGCGCAGGTTTCGGCCGTACCTCCTCCTATACTCCCCAGCAATCTTCCAATGTACAGATTGAAGGGAATGCTCTGCCGAAAGGGGGACACCGTGCAGGTGACCAGTGGACACTATGTGGCTTTGATAAAGCATGATGATGTGCTGTGGGAGATTGACGACGAAAAAACCTCTCGTATGTTTCTGAACCGGGACGCTTTCGGTGGTACACGATTCCCGGTCTTGCTGTTCTATACACTGGAAGATGAAGTCAAGCCATCAGCAAGTCAACCCATTGCCAAAAAGAGACGACTGAATAAGCCAAGTGGGAAAGCAATGTCAAAATCGGCTTCGAATCCTGAAATACCAAAAGCTGAAGGCCCAACACTGGAAGCACCAAACCCCCAACCTCCCGTTTCGGACGCCATACCAGCTAATTCTTCAAATTCGGAGCTGCCAACTTCGGCCCCGCCAACGCTTGAACCTCCGAATTCGGGAGATCCGAAAGTTCCTCCTCCAAACCCAACGGAACAAGAACCTGCCCCAGTTGATGTCCAGTCCACAAGCTTGGCGCCCACCAGTACCCCTACAGACCCCACCGCTTCTCAGCCCAATGTTCTTCCCACAGTTTCTCAGGGTACCATCCCTCCGAAGCCTACACATATTTCTCCACCTGGTGATGAACCTCCCGAAAGCGGGCCTTCCTCGAGCAACATGCTGTGCCAAACCAACACACCCCAGGGTGAATCGGCTCCCCCCGATCAAGCTATCAGTCTCAATCCCACTGTAGCTTCTCAAGACATTACAGCAGAACCAGATTCCCCATCATCATCCATGGACATTGATCCTCCAAGTGTCGTTCCCACTGTTGAACGCTCTCCCTCACCCGAGGTTCCGCAGTACTGTCAACTAGAAAAGGCTCAGTCAGTCATTGCCGAAAGACTAGCACAAGTTCAGTGGCGTTCGGGGGAATCCTTTCAACCTCTCATCTCCGTCAGCACATTTCAAGATGTTGATAGCCTTTCGGACGATCTCCTTGAGGACCTGTGCGACCAGATGGAAGCTATGTTTCATGACATGGCCGAAGATGAGCATAAGGGCTTGAAGCTACAGGGTGTAGACTCCACATTCGGGTCAAAAACGTTGCGTAAGTTCTACGGAAGGAATGAGTGGTACACCAATTTCGGAATCGATGATATCTTGCTTTCGGTGTCAGCTTTCATCCGAAATTGTGTGAATCTGGGGATTGGAATGTCTGACCCCATACCAAACTCGTTTGTTTACCGAACCCTAGCTGCTGGTGACAACTGGAACCCATACATACCTGGAGGTACGCCATGGCCTTCTCTGGGCAAGGACGGGCAATGGAGGAAAGAGAACACAGTTGGGGTTCTGATGTCGAGCTCCCATTTTGAGACACTGGTAATCTTTGGGCCACAGAAGCTGGTGTTGATGTATGATGGGGCAGGGGGGACTTATGATTCGGGAGAACAGAAGAAGGTAAGTTGGTCATTCAAAATTACTTCAATGAGGTGCAGCTTCACTGATCAATAGCAATGGTCACGCCTGCTAGAACGCCGTTTGTCCTGGGAAGTCAGAAAAGGCATAGCAACAGAGGCTGAAGCTATGGGTTGGTTGATTGCTCCAAATTCTCAGGTGAGTACAGTACTACTCCCAAGCTCAATAATGACGTTCAGGCTACCAGGGATAACCTGCACTGGGTTACACAAGTGGACTCACACAGCTGTGGTCCTCTAGCATGTGCCGCTGCATGTCTTCTTCTCCAGGGAATCAGACCGACTGCTTCTGTGCTTGGGGTGAAATCATCAACTCTGGCTAGAGGTGAGAGTAGAAAACTACGAACAAGTGTGCTTCAACTGGTGCTTGCAATGGCTGCACGGGATCCAGCAAATGAGTCTATATTCAGTCCGAAAGTGAAAAAATTGATGGACAAGTCTGTACCTTCCATGACTTACTACATAGATCGCCTGTAGAGAGGTATCACAGCTGGTTGTGCATGAATATAATGACTAATATACCTCTGGATGTAAAAATACACTTGGTTTGATGCAGATTGGGGCTTGATTATCTTTCCCAAGTGAGTCCGAAGGCACTCCCGAAACACCGAAAACCCCTCCGAAAGCACATCTGACCATCTCATGTATTCCAATATTGTACTGCTTAGGGTCACTAGTCATTGTGTCTACCCAGTGCTTATTTGGATAGTCATAAGCTCTCTTGCAGTGATATATGCAGCCATGAATGTCCCCAAATTGGTCAAGCCTGCCTCAAGTCGCCCCGAATTTGGCGACCATTAATCGCAGCACAAGGCTCTCCAGCTCAGCTACACACGACCCAATAAACAC